GTTGGGAATCAGAATGTCAAACCAAAACAACTTTCCGCAAACCGGTCTATGGGCTGCCATAGACGCCCAGTCGGAGAAGAAGAATAATAATAAATATAGCTGCAAGCAGCCATTACCGGGGCCAAGCGCAAGAAGCGGCAACATATGCCAAAATGGCAAGGAGTGGCAGACCAACTGCAGCAAGGAGCAATTAAGGGCATTTTGAGAGAACTTTGGGCAAATGGCTAAGAAAATCACATAAACATTAACTTATAAGATGATTTAATGGGTTATCACTTTCGAACAATGGTGGCGCAGTTACGAAATAGATGTGATGTGGTCAGAGTGAGGTGACAATGACACATGCAAAGTTTGGTGTCAAAATGTGAAGGCATTGCAGAGATAAAGCCTAAATAGTAATTTTGGCAGCATGCCTAAACTTTGATGCTGTGGTATACGAAAACGGTTTTGTATATCATCGTGCAATTCATAACTTTTAGTCGGCACGGTCTGGAGATGATACGATTCAATTTTCGTGAAAATCGGACAAACGGTCTAGGAGGAGTTTGAAAAGAAAGTTTTTCAAAGAAATAAAGATGGCGGACAGGAAGTTTGGCTGATTATGCAAAACCTGATATCTATGTTTTCGGCATAACCCAAGGAATCTATTAAGATCAGTTTCATTGCAATAGGCAAATTTATTCAAAAAGTTATTAGCGTTCTCAGAAATTAATTATAACTTTTGACCAACAGGTGGCGCTGTCTCAAAATCTTTTGAGTACCTTCAGGGCATGCTGCTTATGGCACACACTGAGTTTCGTAATGTTAGACCAAAGCATTTGTTTAGTATAGCATTGTATTTCACAAAACTGTATTGAAGTCAATGGGAATTTCACGTTTTGTTCTATTATAGCGCACCAAAGAGGCTCAGTCCCACAATTTTTTTTTATGTGTCCTCAGAGTGACCCCATACATATGTGTGTCAATTTTGGTGCAAATATCTCAATTACTTCCGAGTTATAAACATTTATATGAAAAAACACGTAAAAAATGACTGACACATGACTTTGTTTGAATTTTACTACCCCTTACTATCAATATTTACGCATTTGGGCATTAGCGTATAGTTAACAAGCTATGATTCCGTGTTTCTGGCGGTGGTTTTCGTCTCGATCGGAACAGCGGTTTTGAAGATATCGCCAAGTGTTTTTTTCGCGCTAAATCGCTACGCTACGCCATCCGTGAGACGAAACCCGACATATTTGGTATCGTTGGACTCGGCAACGATTCAGGACCTCAAAAATATGACTCCCGTGAAAATAAGTGTACCACACCCAAAGTTATAAGCGTTTGAATAAAAAATTCACCACTAGGTGGCGCTGTTTCGAAACTTCTCAGGCTCCTCAGGGCATCGTACTGATGACCCATAACGAGTTTCGTAACAATTCGTTCATGCGTTCAAAAAATACAGCATTTTAGCACATAATTCAAAATGGCCGACAGCCAAAATGGCCGATCTGGGAAAATTGGATATCGGTCGACTCGGCATGACGCCCTGAATCTAACGAGACCAAATTTTGATTTTTGGAGAACCGTTCAGAAGTTACGAGCAAAAATAGCCATTTTTCATATCTCCGGACCACTAGGTGGCGCTGCGCCGAAACGCAGCACGTAGCCTCAGGTCATGCTTGTGATCACGTACCAAGTTTGGTCTGAAAAACGAGTAAGCGTTGCGGAGATACAACTCACGTCTGTTTTCGCAAGCGCTACGTAAAATTGTTTCGCGTTTATCGAAACGGTTATTCGAATCATCTTGAATTCCATAACTTTTTGTCAGCACTGCCTGGAGATGATCCGGTGCGATTTTGGTGAAAATCGGACAAACCGTCTAGGACGTTTCGCAAAAGTAGGTTTTTTGGAAAATTCAAAATGGCGGCCGTTTTTTTATGACGGAAAATGACGTCATAGGGTGCGATCGAATCGGCATGAGCTCAGGAACAAGAGGAAAAAAGAATTTTGTTGATAGGCCTTACGGTTCAAAAGTTATTAGCATAATAAAAGTGAAACTTTGGACAGTTGGTGGCGCTAGAGGGAATGAGTTAGAGACACCAAAATTGGTGTATTTAAAGTTGGGACTGTCCTCTATCAGAATGTCAAACCAAAACAACTTTCCCGCAAACCGGTCTATGGGCTGCCATAGACGCCCAGTCGGAAGAAGAATAATAATAATAATAATAGCTATAAGTGCAGCAGCCATTACCGGGGCCAAGCGCAAGAAGCGGCAACATATGCCAAAATGGCAGGAGTGGCAGACCAACTGCAGCAAGGAGCAATTAAGGGCATTTTGAGAGAACTTTTGGCAAAATGGCTAAAAAAATCACATAAACATTAACTTATAAGATGATTTAATGGATTATCACTTTCGAACAATAGGTGGCGCAGTTACGAAATAGATGATGTGGTCAGAGTGAGGTGACAATGACACATGCAAAGTTTGGTGTCAAAATGTGAAGGCATTGCAGAGATAAAGCCTAAATAGTCATTTTGGCAGCATGCTTCAAATTTGATGCTGTGGTATACGAAAACGGTTTTGTCTATCGTCACGCAATCCATAACTTTTAGTCGGCACCGTCTGGAGATGATACGATTCAATTTTCGTGAAAATCGGACAAACGGTCTAGGAGGAGTTCGAAAAAGAAGGTTTTTCAAAAAAATAAAGATGGCGGACAGGAAGTTTGGCTGATTATGCAAAACCTGATATCTATGTTTTCGGCATAACCCAAGGAATCTATTAAGATCAGTTTCATTGCAATAGGCAAATTTATTCAAAAGTTATTAGCGTTCTCAGAAATTAATTATAACTTTTGACCAACAGGTGGCGCTGTCTCAAAATCTTTTGAGTACCTTCAGGGCATGCTGCTTATGGCACACACTGAGTTTTAAAGTTAGACCAAAGCATTTGTTTAGTATAGCATTGTATTTCACAAAACTGTATTGAAGTCAATGGGAATTTCACGTTTTGTTCTATTATAGCGCCACCAAGAGGCTCAGTCCACAATTTTTTTATGTGTCCCTCAGAGTGACCCCATACATATGTGTGTCAATTTTGGTGCAAATATCTCAATTTACTTCCGAGTTATAAACATTTATATGAAAAAACACGTAAAAAATGACTGACACATGACTTTGTTTGAATTTTACTACCCCTTACTATCAATATTTTCGCATTTGGGCATTGGCATATAGTTAACAAGCTATGATTCCGTGTTTCTGACGGTGGTTTCGTCTCGATCGGAACAGCGGTTTTGAAGATATCGCCAAGTGTTTTTTTTCACGCTAAATCGCTACGCTACACCAACCGTAAGATGAAACCCAGCATGTTTAGTATCATTGGACTCGGCAACAATTCAGGATCTCAAAAAGATGACTCCTGTGAAAATAAGTGTACCACACCCAAAGCTATAAGCGTTTGAAAAAAAAATTCACCACTAGGTGGCGCTGTTTCGAAACTTCTCAGGCTCCTTCAGGGCATCGTACTGATGACCCATACCGAGTTTCGTAACAATTCGTTCATGCGTTCAAAAATACAGCATTTTAGCACATAATTCAAAATGGCCGACCGCCAAAATGGCCGTTCTGGGAAAATTGGATATCGGTGGACTCGGCATGACGCCCTGAATCTAACGAGACCAAATTTTATGATTTTTGGACAAACCGTTCAGAAGTTACGAGCAAAAATAGCCATTTTTCATATCTCCGGACCACTAGGTGGCGCTGCGCCGAAACGCAGCACGTAGCCTCAGGTCATGCTTGTGATGACACGTACCAAGTTTTGGTGTGAAAACGAGTAAGCGTTGCGCAGATACAACCTCACGTCTGTTTTCGCAAGCGCTACGTAAATTTTGTTTACACGTTTATCGAAAACGGTTATTCGAATCATCTTGAATTCCATAACTTTTTGTCAGCACTGCCTGGAGATGATCCGGTGCGATTTTGGTGAAAATCGGACAAACCGTCTAGGACGAGTTCGCAAAAGTAGGTTTTTTGGAAAATTCAAAATGGCGGCCGTTTTTTTATGACGGAAAATGACGTCATAGGGTGCGATCGAATCGGCATGAGCTCAGGAACAAGAGGAAAAAAGAATTTTGTTGATAGGCCTTACGGTTCAAAAGTTATTAGCATAATAAAAGTGAAACTTTGGACAGTTGGTGGCGCTAGAGGGAATGAGTTAGAGACACCAAAATTGGAGTATTTAAAGTTGGGACTGTCCTCTATCAGAATGTCAAACCAAAACAACTTTCCCGCAAACCGGTCTATGGTCTGCCATAGACGCCCAGTCGGAAGAAGAATAATAATAATAATAATAATAATAATAAGAACCGGCACAGATACAATAGGTGCCTCCGCACCTTCGGTGCTTGGCCCCTAATAATAATAAGAACCGGCACAGATACAATAGGTGCCTCCGCACCTTCGGTGCTTGGCCCCTAATAATAATAATAATAAGAACCGGCACAGATACAATAGGTGCCTCCGCACCTTCGGTGCTTGGCCCCTAAAAAGGTAAACATCTTACAGACACCAAATTTTTAAATGGTAGGTATCCTAGCTTTTTTATAGATGCAGAACAAGAAGTCTCTTTTAATCGACCCTTTTCAGACATGCATTGCTGAATTCTTACAACATCTTCAACCTGTCTTCTTTATAGCTATAAAGTTCATAGCTCACCATAGCAGAGGATAAAAGTCAATCATTTATTTCAATTTCAAATTTGTGCATGTCGTGTCTGCCTCCATTTCATGGCAGGGCAAGATTATAAAACCCTTCTGACTTTATCCAGCATGATGTCAGCTCTTCATGACTAATTCACATCATCATTAATTTTGAGATGGTTCGAAGACCCCTTGAGTTTTACTTTGATCTTACAGAACAAAGGGAAGGCATTTCAGTACATTCTCCAGGAGATGTAGCTTTAAAGCAACTGCTTTTTGATATTTAGACATTCTCTTCCATGTCTGCAGGGTTTACCAGGAATCCCAGGGCCAAAAGGTGGAGGAGGAGAGAAGGTGAGAGATGTTGCTGACTTTGTCTGTGTTCAGTGTAAATTCATCACGTTTTTTTTTTAACACACTGAACTGACAAAAGCTTTTATCTGGACAATGAAGAAGTCTCACTTCAGCTATTACATATGCAGCTAATGGTTTATGTTATTTTCTTATGTTAAAAATATCTCAGTTTAATATGCAGAGACACATTTAAGGCTTTTTAGGTTCATTTTGTTATTACTTGTGATTTGGAATTGTGATAATTCTGTGTGACACAAATGCATTGATCTTAAATGTTCAGCCATTTTAAGCGCTACAAATGAATCACAACATTTACTCGCAACAGTATGAAAATTGGATATTCATTTTAAGATTGACTAAAGATTAAATTAATCTTTTTTTAAATGGTATTCAATTTTTGATGTTTTCACAGATAAGTTCATTTTGATGATGATAACGGTAAAATGTAAAAATTGGGAAAATGAGCTTGCACAGTTAAAGGGATACTTTGGGATTTAGCATAAAGCTTTGTATTAGTGAAAAAACCTGTAGTATTTTCAAATTACCGTGCTTTCCACCCTCATATCCCCCTGAGACGAGAGATTTATGTTTTTGTTTTTGTCTGAAGAAAATCCTCAAATGACACAAAAATTGTCATTTTGCGTTATCCAGCCCATTCTCACCCCCAAGGTGTCACTTAACTGACGCCTTGGGAAGCATTTGGACATGCTTGAATATCTGACGCTTTAGGCGCCCTTTAGCGTCAGGTAGATGACGCCCTAGGATCGCGTGTACCCTACCCCCACCCCACACCTAAACCTAACCGCGTCCTTTAACTGACGCTTTCCTTTAGCGTCAGTTAGATGACGCCGTAGGATCGCGTCATGTAAGTGACGCTAAAGGGCGCCTAAAACGTCAAATATTGAAGCATGGTCAAAGGTGACGCCTTGGGGTGAGAATGCGTTGCGTTATCGGAGGATTTTTTTGCCAGAGGCTAAAGCCTACAGTCAGTAGTAGTGTCTGTCCTGCATGTTTTCAACCCGCCCATAGAGGGTGGGATCTCACTCACAGAAGGAACACATAGAGTCGGCCATCTTTTTTTGAAAGCTAAGCTAGCAGGCTCTTGTTCTGTGGAGAAAGCTGAGTAGTAGGGGTTACCATCCTATTTTTCATGGACATGTCCGGCCGTCGATGTCAGCTTGGGATACAGCTTTTGCTTTCTGCAGTCGCCATTCATTGTTTACACGCACACCTTTTGTTTCAATCTAACTGAATTCATTCCGATTTGTGAATCTGAATGTAGTGTTTACATGAACGCTAAACAAGTGATCGGTTGATGTGCGTTTTAACATTGCTAAGAAAATTCCCTCTCCTCCGTGAGAGATACGAGACCGGTGCATCCCACAGGTGTCGCTGATCCGTAATCACGGTAATCATGGGCGATCTCGAAACACATTTTTGGGCAGACTCATCACAGAGACTCACTAGTAGCCTAGACTTGTTGTTTAACTACTGTGCTCTGTTACCGGTAGGCGTGGCCAGTGAAGCAAGTGCATTCTGGGAGTTGTTGTCTTTCATCCACATAATCCAAAAATACATTTTCTGGCTTTTCTCAGTCTAGAAAGCTCCCCAATTCAAAAATAATTTCACATTTCTTCAACATAATTGACCGATTTTAAATACACAATCATCTTTGCTGAGGTGAAGTATCCCTTTAAATATCTAATATGAGCACTTACATACATACATACATATTTATATATATTTTATCTCCAATAACCCCATATAATACCAATATTTTGAACATTCCCAGTTGATTTTTCCTAAATAGTCTGACAAGGTGGCTCAGCATTGCTCCGCTGATTGATTGATTGATTGATTGATTGATTGATTGATTGATTTTAGTGGCCCGACGCAGACACATTGGTTTAAAATTTTTGAAATTCCATTTACAGCCATGGTGAAATTACACACTTAAGCTACTATGTCATGTACAGTAAATGACATAAATGATTACAGGGTAATTCTGGACAACCAGGCCTCCTTGGGACTATGGGATCTGCAGGCAAACAGGTAAGTTTAATAGTAAACCGTCCAATAGCTCCGCCATTAGGAATAGATGATCTGACAATAAATGTCTCTGTTCAGGGTGAGCGAGGAGAACAAGGAGAACTTGGACCCATCGGGCCTATTGGACAGCCGGTGAGTACCCATTGCAGCATTACTAATGGCCAATGCACAGGCTGGATGTGTCTATATTATCTCACTAAGGTAAATATTGCAGATAATGAGAGTGTATTTGTGTTTAGGGAGACAGAGGGGAGCCGGGGCCACTTGGACCAATGGGAAAACCAGGAGCCAGAGTAAGTGTATAATCTGTATAATGACATGGTTGTGATATCAAAGCAAGCATCTGCCATACTTTACTTTCATCATACAAATTACTCGGTAAAAACCTGCAAGTAGAGAGATGGCTGTCCTGAGGTCACCTTTGTTGCTCAGATTTCATGGCTCAGCAAACATGTTCAAGTATGAGCCCTGTCTCACATGTTTCTCCTAAAAAAGAAATAAGAATGAAACACAAATTAAAACAAATGTTGACACAGTTAAGGCCTATTCACACCAAGAACAACAACTATAAAAATGACTATAACAAAAACTATATTAGCATCCACACCAACGCATTCTATTGCTCTGTTTATTCTAAGTACATCTTGTCATCTGCCGCTTTACATGCTCGAGCTCTGATGAGAAATATGGGTTCTGATCATTCCTCAGCTGGAAAAAAAATAATTCTTAAAGTGATTCCAACAAAAATTTTCTCTCTGTGGACTCTGCTATTCTTTTATATTTAGAATGATTTTTAGAACTATATATTTATTGTTATGGTTATATATCGTTCTTAGTGTGAATGGACCTTTAGAGCAAATGAATGTACTGTATAGCTCAGATTATTTTTCTCCTGGAAATTTTAAAGAGACATGTTCATATTGAAGATTGCAGGTATATGAGATTATTAGGGATTTTTATTTATTTTTTAAGCAGGAAACTTCAGAGGTTTCAGATGTCTTGATTTGTTCTCCATTTAAACCAATTGCTGTCTACACTACAAAAATAAATGATCTTAAAGGTGCATTTTGTAACATTTGGCGCTCTAGTGGTTAATAAAAAAATGACATCCGTCTTGCAGAAGAACATTATAGTCAGAGCTACTTCTCTCTGTTTAACCCTTTCACGCGTACGATCACACCGGTGTGATCAGTCTTGGCTGGTCCCTGGAGCGTACGATCACACCGGTGTGATTAGAACGTTCAGTGCACACGTCAGCAACTGCTAAATTCAAACTTGCTCTCGCGCGTTGGCTGGCGCTCAGCCAGAGACAGACGCACTCAGTGCTGTCATATATCACAACTATTGAGTGTTTTCAACCACATAATGTTTATTTTAGGTTTCAGACATTTAAATACACATATGTACTAGCAAAACAACGATTTTGAGTTTGTAAAATACACACAGATGTCTATGGAAGCGGCAATAATAATCCTTTCAATTATAATAAGACGACACATTTTATTCATATCAGATACACATTGTGTAAGTAGCTTAACATTTGATCCTATTCTTCTCCCAGTTCACCAGCCACTTACTATCATGTATTTCGTGAGAAGTGGATGAATTGACGTTATAAATCCAACAGATCCGATTCTCTGAACTGAAAACGAAACTAAAATGGCGCCGCCCGTTGTGCATACAGCTCAACTAACGCGATCGTTATAAAGATGTCTAAACAACAAAACCCATCCACTTGCACATATTTGACAATCGCTGATTTTTTTTCTCATTTGGCACTTGGCGAGTGTTCATTTTTGACCAGTGTAAAAACCTATTATAGGCCTACCATAGTAACCCAGGATAAGAAAAATAAAATTGCTTTGGAATATTGGTTCATGATGTAGGCCTACTGAGTCATTATGTAAATTTTTAACAAAATAAGTTACATAATGAAGGCTACTTTAATCATTATGATTTGCCTTTTCCCCCCAATAAACAAGCGATTTTTTTATTTAAATCTAACTTTTTCATAGTTTTACATCATTGGAAAATCGTTGTTTATTTTATTTAAGCATAAAATATACTACATTTGACTAGATTTACGTTTTAAAAAAAGAAAAAGAAAAAAAAACTCTAGGTTTTGCTTGTCAAGTGAATGCATCTTGTTTTAAGGTTGTTTAGATATTTAGTTACAGGGAAATAAGACAAACATAGTGATTAAAATAAAAGGATTTTGTGCAGTGTGGAACTGCTAACTTTAAAGAGATCTCATTTATTATTGTTCAAAACAAGTCATAGGCAGCACCACGTTTAAATTATTCCATTATCCCAGTGTTCAAAGAAAAAGCAAGTCGTTTTGACATCCACTAAGCTCAACTGCTTTTACTTATTTAGACGGTTTGGTGCATGGTGAATTCAAAAAACTTTTCACTAATAGTCTTTTAGGGGAATTCGTGACTTTATATTATGCTAATGTGAGGGTCAAACCAAGGCAAATATTCATAGTTCTGAAAAGCAGACACGGTGCTGGTAAGAAGGGAAACATCATGCTGTGCCTTGTAGAAGAGAATGGAGTCAGCGGCTTCTCTTTTGAATTGGACCTCATCACACTGTTTCCTCACTACAGAGTAAACAGTCAAAAGAATGTCCCACAGCAGTGTCTCTCAAAGAGCTCTCTGTTCCCCTGCCATTCCCATGAGCACACACTTACTGTATCTACACACACACACACTCAATGTTTAAACATGAATGTGTTATGTGACTAAATTCCAACATTTTTAGGAATATTATTATTTGATTCTTTAAAAACTTTGAAATGCAGTACAGCCATGTATTCAGGATTTACATTTGTATATTCAGATTTATGTGTATTATTATTATTCTGAATACTTAGTTGTTTCTGGTTATATGTTATCTTTATCTTTTACAGTAGTGCCCAAAAGTAATGTAAGTGTCAGAGTTATGGTAAACAACTTGCACAAAGTATTCTTTAAATAGTATGTAATAACACTCATATCTGTTGCGCAATTGTCGATGACTTCTCTTATAAATAGCATTAAATAGAATGTAGTATATAGCATTTTTTTTGGTGTAAACTCTAAAAATACATCAATAAAGAACTAATAAGAGTGAAACCTCTCTTCCATTGACATCCATTAAAAAATAGCCTCTGGTCTCCTTCCCTGCGTACCCAAGGCTATCTCACTACCAATTCGTACAAATTTGTTCGAGTGAGTAAAAGGTGGCGAGAAAGGTCGTATGAAATGTCTAAACCCCAGTGATGGGTAGGTTTAGGAGTGGAGGTCAAGTGTAGGTCATTCGTACAGATTTATACGAATTGGGCAACTCGTAAAACGTGCGATTAAGCAAAAAACATACAAATTCGTACGAGTAGGTAAAAGGTAGCGAGTGAGGTCATATGATTTGTCTAAACCCCAGTGATGGGTAGGTTTAGGGGTGGGGTCAGGTGTAGGTCATTCGTACGGATTTATACGAATTAGGCAACTCGTAAAACGTGCTATTAAGCAAAAAACATACAAATTCGTACGAGTAGGTAAAAGGTGGCGAGTAAGGTCGTACGATTTGTCTAAACCCCAGTGATGGGTATGTTTAGGGGTGGGGTCAGGTGTAGGTCATTCGTACGGATTTATACGAATTGGGCAACTCGTAAAACGTGCGATTAAGCAAAAAACATACAAATTCGTACGAGTAGGTAAAAGGTGGCGAGTGAGGTCGTAGGATTTGTCTAAACCCCAGTGATGGATATGTTTAGGGGTGGGGTCAGGTGTAGGTCATTCGTACAGATTATACGAATTGGGCAACTCGTAAAACGTGCGATTAAGCAAAAAACATACAAATTCGTACGAGTAGGTAAAAGGTGGCGAGTGAGGTCGTACGATTTGTCTAAACCCCAGTGATTTTTACGTTTAGAGGTGGGGTCAGGTGTAGGTCATTCATACAGATTTATACGAATTGGGCAACTCGTAAAACGTGCATTTAAGCAAAAAACATACAAATTCTTAAGAGTAGGTAAAAGGTGGCGAGTGAGGTCGTAGGATTTGTCTAAACCCCAGTGATGGGTATGTTTAGGGGTGGGGTCAGGTGTAGGTCATTCGTACGGATTTATACGAATTGGGCAACTCGTAAAACGTGCATTTAAGCAAAAAACATACAAATTCTTAAGAGTAGGTAAAAGGTGGCGAGTGAGGTCGTACGATTTGTCTAAACCCCAGTGATGGGTACGTTTAGGGGTGGAGTCAGGTGTAGGTCATTCGTACGGATTTATACGAATTGGGCAACTCGTAAAACGTGCGATTAAGCAAAAAACATACAAATTCGTACGAGTAGGTAAGGTGGCGAGTGAGGTCATATGATTTGTCTAAACCCCAGTGATGGGTAGGTTTAGGGGTGGGGTCAGGTGTAGGTCATTCGTACGGATTTATACGAATTAGGCAACTCGTAAAACGTGCTATTAAGCAAAAAACATACAAATTCGTACGAGTAGGTAAAAGGTGGCGAGTAAGGTCGTACGATTTGTCTAAACCCCAGTGATGGGTATGTTTAGGGGTGGGGTCAGGTGTAGGTCATTCGTACGGATTTATACGAATTAGGCAACTCGTAAAACGTGCTATTAAGCAAAAAACATACAAATTCGTACGAGTAGGTAAAAGGTGGCGAGTAAGGTCGTACGATTTGTCTAAACCCCAGTGATGGGTACGTTTAGGGGTGGGGTCAGGTGTAGGTCATTCGTACGGATTTATACGAATTGGGCAACTCGTAAAACGTGCGATTAAGCAAAAAACATACAAATTCGTACGAGTAGGTAAAAGGTGGCGAGTGAGGTCGTAGGATTTGTCTAAACCCCAGTGATGGATATGTTTAGGGGTGGGGTCAGGTGTAGGTCATTCGTACAGATTATACGAATTGGGCAACTCGTAAAACGTGCGATTAAGCAAAAAACATACAAATTCGTACGAGTAGGTAAAAGGTGGCGAGTGAGGTCGTACGATTTGTCTAAACCCCAGTGATTTTTACGTTTAGAGGTGGGGTCAGGTGTAGGTCATTCATACAGATTTATACGAATTGGGCAACTCGTAAAACGTGCATTTAAGCAAAAAACATACAAATTCTTAAGAGTAGGTAAAAGGTGGCGAGTGAGGTCGTAGGATTTGTCTAAACCCCAGTGATGGGTATGTTTAGGGGTGGGGTCAGGTGTAGGTCATTCGTACGGATTTATACGAATTGGGCAACTCGTAAAACGTGCATTTAAGCAAAAAACATACAAATTCTTAAGAGTAGGTAAAAGGTGGCGAGTGAGGTCGTACGATTTGTCTAAACCCCAGTGATGGGTACGTTTAGGGGTGGGGTCAGGTGTAGGTCATTCGTACAGATTTATACGAATTGGGCAACTCGTAAAACGTGCGATTAAGCAAAAAACATACAAATTCGTACGAGTAGGTTAAAGGTGGTGAGTGAGGTCGTACGATTTGTCTAAACCCCAGTGATGGGTAGGTTTAGGGGTGGGGTCAGGTGTAGGTCATTCGTACGGTTTTAAACGAATTTGGCAACTCGTAAAACGTGCGATTAAGCAAAAAACATACAAATTCGTACGAGTAGGTAAAAGGTGGCGAGTGAGGTCGTACGATTTGTCTAAACCCCAGTGATGGATATGTTTAGGGGTGGGGTCAGGTGTAGGTCATTTATACGGATTTATACGAATTGGGCAACTCGTAAAACGTGCGATTAAGCAAAAAACATACAAATTCGTACGAGTAGGTAAGGTGGCGAGTGAGGTCGTACGATTTGTCTAAACCCCAGTGATTTTTACGTTTAGAGGTGGGGTCAGGTGTACGTCCTTCATACAGATTTATACGAATTGGGCAACTCGTAAAACGTGCAATTAAGCAAAAAACATACAAATTCTTAAGAGTAGGTAAAAGGTGGCGAGTGAGGTCGTACGATTTGTCTAAACCCCAGTGATGGGTACGTTTAGGGGTGGGGTCAGGTGTAGGTCATTCGTACGGATTTATACGAATGGGGCAACTCATAAAACGTGCGATTAAGCAAAAAACATACAAATTCGTACGAGTAGGTAAGGTGGCGAGTGAGGTCGTACGATTTGTCTAAACCCCAGTGATGGGTATGTTTAGGGGTGGGGTCAGGTGTAGGTCATTCGTACGGATTTATACGAATTGGGCAACTCGTAAAACATGTGCGATTATGCAAAAATCATACGAATTTGTACGAGTAAGTAAAAGGTGGCGAGTGAGGTCGTATGATTTGTCTAAACCCCAGTGATGAGTAGGTTTAGGTCATTTGTAGGGATTTATATGAATTGAGCAACTCGTAAAATATGTGCAATTATGCAAAAATCGTACGAATTTGTACGAGTGAGGTCATAGAAATTAGCCACCTTGTAAAATACGTACGAATTGCCATGAGGGAAGGATGCAACTTAACTTGGTTATGGTATTTATCTGACAAAATTATTTGGCAAAAGACAAAAAGAAGCAAACTATAGCTATAGGTTTTATTTTACTATATCAAACAAGGAAAATGAATAGAAAAACAAAAAGCTCACATGAAAAGACATGCATTAACTACAACATACCAGTAATCAGTTGTTAACATTTAGTTTGGTTCTCTCTTGTTTTTTTGGATATTTATAATTTCTTTGTATGAGAGCCTGACAAAAAGTTTCATTGCGTTATCACAAATATAACAATTGACCACCACAACTATATAATTTTTTAACTTTTAATAATATTTGAATAAAGGCCGGACATCATTTTATGTTGTTGCTACCACAGTATTTTGGAAATGTTATTTCTTCATTGATTGTTTGATTCATTTATTACATTAAAATGTACTGAAACTCTGTGGATATATTTAGCTATACTGTCATACAGACATTCAATTTCCAAAACTGTTCAACCCAAACAGTGAAGGAAAATCGTTCACAGAGCAAAATTATTAGCATTTGCCATTGTGTGCTGGTCTCGCATTTTCTCAGATTGCTCTTTTTTGTCTTTAAATGCATGAGTGTGTTTTTGTGGGGATGCACAACATGATTCTGAAGTCTTTTCTCTTTGTTGACAAAGGTTTTAAACATTTCCCATCTGTTTGGAAATCCTGCAGCAAGAGTGGAGAGAAATATAAACACATAAACCAGAATTTCACAGTAAATGCCAGACTCTGACTGTACGCCATCTTTACCGTACATTGATTGTCGTTTCAGGGTCCGAAAGGTGACTTAGGCTTGCCTGGACTTCCCGGACCGCCGGGCTTGCCTGGAATAAAAGGAGATAGGGTGAGTGCCTACCACATTTTCACTGAACATCCAACAGATTTTTTTATAATCTCAAAATGATCTTTTTAAATTGCTTTTTCATTATGATTTTGTTCCTTGATGAACTGATAAAAACCTGTGCACCTCTGGAAAATGTGTTGCAGTCAGGCAGTTTTAAGTGATTTTTTTCATCTTTTTGTATGCAATATGCATCAGATTATCAGACAGTGAACCTGAGGCTCAAACTACACAATTCATAGGTGATCAACCTTAATTCTTTATTTATTAAGCAACAGCAAATTGCAAAAATCAGTCACCATTATAAAAAGTTATCCACAAACCTTTAAAAACAGCTATTCAATTAGACAAGGATTCACTTTTTCCAGCCTTTGAGGCATTGCAATTATTATGAGCTCCCACTGGTGTTTTAAAGTTTAAAAGCCTTTGAAAGTACAATGAGGCTTTTGAAAATCTAATTCGTCTCTTTTAGACTCAATGATTTCTTCAATGCATTTGGGTAGGGGGGGACGTAAGCACCTCACAGATGTAAGATTTATTAAAAAAGTAAAATGCTGAGCGTACATTATTAAATAACTGTTTTTATAATGAACTCTTCAGACATGTGCTTTGAGTGAAATATTCATGGGAATGAGTTTCTGATTGTGATATTTCACAGGGTGAAGCAGGTGAACCTGGACCAAAGGGAGAACAGGTAAGAGCGTGATTCGCATTATCACCACTGCAGAACTAAACCTAGCACATCAGATACCTTTAAAACCAAGAAAACCAATGTAAGAAAGGTGACACTGAAACAATTTCTGTGTGGAAACTAGCACATCAGATACCTTTAAAACCAAGAAAACCAAATGTAAGAAAGGCGACACTGAAACAATTTCGGTGTGGAAACTAGGTTTAACCAAAGTCCTTTTAGGCAAGTCATGCCACCTCCGGGCAGCTATTTCTTACTAACAAGACCAGGCTCCTATCTAAATGAATGGGCAGAGAGTCAAAACATAAAAACTGCTTGTATAGAAAGAGCAGTAAAATATGATAAAAATCGCTGAAAAAGTTTAATTACTTTGCCCCAAAATAAGGTTTAAAAGGTCTTTTTCTCACATACGTTTACTACGCATGCGCGAGGGTTCTCGTCTCTGCTGTCACAGACCTCAACTGTGCGTAAGCGTCAGTGGAACCAGACGATAGGCTTACATGTTTCCCAGCTTGACTGTTAAAAGCACACGATTGGCTTACCAGCGGGAGGGGCGGGGCATGTGCATACAACCGCCATCTTTAGAGTTACGAGTTTTCCCTAAATAAATAGTTCTATTGAGGATTGACATGTCTCTACATAAATTGTTTATTGTTTAACTCAGAAACTGCTAGTAAATATCACAAATTAGTTAAAAAAATGGCAAGTAACAATTTCGAAGTAGAAATTCCAATTCCAAAAATCTTTGCTTTATTTACAGCTTTATTTTTATATATATTTTTTTAAAATATGTGTATTAATCATTATTTATCCACAAAATTTAATAGAGCAGTAACTGACAAGTTACGGTTAAGGAGCATCGTCAGTGTGATGGCCAGCATCAAATGATTCAATGCATCTAAAAATCATAAAGCTTACATTTTAAATATGTAAAGGCAGCAATAATCATTAAATAATACCATTTACTAGTGAATAAAATCACAAAAACAAATCTCTCAAAGTAATATGGTTTCTGTAGGCTATGAATACAGCTCATCCAGTCACATTTTATTACCAAACTTATCCATTCTAGAAGTTTTACAATAACACAACTTATTCATAGACATCTAAGAAATGTTCTCCTACACGATGATGTGTTTTATTGCAGGGAGATCAAGGTGTCGAGGGAACGCCAGGAGACAAGGGAGATCTTGTGAGTAGCTCTAAAATACTGAGCTGAAAATAATATGAATGCAGTATGCTAATGTACACTGAGATGGTGAACTTTAATTCTCTTGCTGTTTCTGTACTTAGGGTGATCCTGGCCAACCTGGAGCTAAAGGCGAAGTGAGTTTTTGATCATTCTAATACTGGCAGCACTTTATTTTACCGTCATGTTCCTCGTGTACATACTAATTACCTAGTTATTATTACCCATTTATTGTAATTACTATAATACGTAGTATTATGCAATATCGGAGGTGTAGGTCCAGGGATCGTACCTAGTTATTACCCATTTATTGTAATTACTATAAAACGTAAATGAGTAATAACTGGGTACTATCCCTAAACATAACCTTAACCCATGTAGTTACCTTCTATTACCCAGTGCTTTCTTAGGTAAGTACACTGTAAGTACATTGTAAAATAAAGTGCAACCGTCTTTCTTGACTATTCAGCTGTCAGATATGACTTCAAATATCCTTGAAGCATTTTCCTTGGCTTTATCTCAGCTCTAGGCCTCAGATATAACATTGAAACACTAAGTCATTGTAATGATTTACTGAAAGAATTATATCTATTAATGTGTACATACATATCTGGTGTGATTCAGGTTGGCAACCAGGGAGATCCGGGCAATAGAGGGCCTGAAGGTGCCCGTGGGCAGCCTGGCATTGAGGGACCTCCTGGTAGTGCTGGACCACGTGGCATGCAGGGGAACAGAGGAGCTCCAGGACCTCGTGGCACTCAGGGACCAGCGGTATGTTTATAACCTCTCAACGATTATGCTTCATAAGCCGAGGCTCTATTTAGATGGAAAAAAAAAAGAAATGGATTCAAATATATTTATGCCTTTTACCTATTAACCTCATTTTATTAATGCGGTATTCTTGGTAGTTTTCATGCTTTTGTTGCACATGTAAAAACAGTAACACTTTACAATTAGATTTCATTTGTTGACATTAGTTAACTTATTACATGAACTAACCATGAGCAATGTTTCTGTGTTTGTAAATATTTGTTAACTAATGAAAACTTATTATAAAGTGCTACCATAAAAACTAGATTTTGCCCATTATCCTGATTTCGGTTTGCATGTACACTACCATTCAAAAGTTAATGGTCAGTAGAATTTTTCTTTCGTTGTTGCTGTTGTTTGGACTTTTATTCAGCAAGGATGCATTAAATTGATCAAAAGTGACAATAAATATACATTTATTATAATATGATTTCTGTTTCAAATAAATTGTTTTTTTTTTCAACACTGTCAAAGATTTTCAAAAAAATGTTTAGTAGCACAACTGGTTTCATCATTGATAATAATAAGAATTGTTTCTTGAGCATCAAATCATATTAGAATGACTTCTGAAGGATCATGTGTCTTGAATAGTGACACATGAATAATTCAAAATAATAGACTTGAATAATGATGATGAAAATTAAGCTTTGACATCATATATTTTAAATCGCACGTTTGACATTAAATATTTTAAATCATAGTTTCATAATATTACTATTTATACTGTATTTTTGATCAAATAAATGCAGCCTTGGTGAGCATAAAAGCACTTGATTAAAAACATTTAAAAAAAAAAAAAAAATCGCACCAACCCCATTCTTTTGAATGGTGTGCGCACTCTATATGGCTTTATTGGCCTTCTGTCAGCTTCAGCGCAGTCTCATCCCAAGTCTTGGGATGAGACTGTGTTATCAATGTTTGTGTTTTTCACAATCAGAGGATTTTGACATGTACAGGGTACCTACGGTCATTAAAAATCATGACTATAGTGACCATAATTGTGTTCTGTAATGCCCCAGTCAAAGTATATTTAATTGGCTGAAAATCGCTCTTTGTGAGTGCAATCTTTATCAAATTAATAATTGTTCATCCTTGTCCAGAATTCATAAATGACAGGAGAACCAACATGACATCATGACTTTTGCGTAAACATACTCGCCACTTCCGAGTTTTGAGCTATCCGCGTGTATGCGTGTATGTCTACGCCATTAACGTCCGAGTGATTCCACGTGTCTGTACACGCCGTCAAATGTCCGCGCGAAACGAAGTAAAATGTAGATCTACATCTGGGGAGTGATCTTTTTTTTTCCTAGGATGGTAAGGGAACAGTCATAAATGCCATTAACCCCAGTGACGGTTAGGTTTAGGGACGGGATTGAGGAAAGTCATATATTTATATATACAGTAATAACGTTAAGTCAACGGCGTTCATAAACCCGCTGAAAAGCGATTATGCGTCTTGATAGCACGCCAAAAATGGAAATACGAATTGGCGTGTCATACACACGCTACTTCATGAGATCAGTCTGGGAGAACTGAAAATTCAAAGGCCGAAATGTGTGAAAAACCCAATTTTCAGTGTTTTGCTGTACACACACTCATTATGTTTGGAAAGGTACACTGTTAGACCTTACCAGGTTTTTTACAGTAAAATTTACTGTAAAAATGCACCACAACTCAAGTTAACTAAAAAATACAACTTATTAGTTTTAGTGCATTTTTACAACACTGTTGCCAGTAATTTACTGTAAAAATGCACTAAAACTCAAGTTAACTAAAAAATACAATTTATTAGTTTTAGTGCATTTTTACTGTAAATTACTGGCAACAGTGTTGCCAGTATTTTACTGTAAAAACCTGGTAAGGTCTAACAGTGTATATTAAGAAAAACCATACTGTGATATCTGAAAGCTTCAGCCGCTTTTAAGAACACTTCATTCCAATTCCAATGTTTGTGTTTGTTATTTTCTGATGTAGAGCTAATTAGTGGTCTGAAATAAGATGAAATGATCAGATACAGTAACAGGATTGTGTGATTTTCTTCCAAACATCTCCTCCTGTGTTTACAGGGTAAAGAACCAAGTGATCAACACATCAGACAAGTGTGCATGCGCGTCCTGCAGGGTGAGTCTTGAAGCCAAAGTTTTTATCTTTTTCGGAAATAAGCGGAATTTCCTTTTATGCATGCACTTTTGCTGTTAGAAGAACTCTGGAGGCAGGAGAACACAACTACTGACAACTAAAGAAAAAAGTGAGATGAAAAGAAGGAAATATTTGTGTTTTGTTTCAAAGATTCTTTTTGAACCTACTCTGATGATCTACGCAGAGAGTTAGCCATCACTTCTACCTCTCTCTAAGTCCTCTTGAGCGCACGCCAACGATTCCCTCATGACTTTTTCATTCACATTTCACTGAAAAATTCATTTTGGTTTCAGCTGATCTGCACTTTTCCCTCATAGTGATGAGTTGCCCTCCTTAGGCTTGGTTTCCTCCCTGAAAAAGCTCAGTCAAGCATCGTGGCGCATGCATTTTCAGGACGTTTTCCGACTGAAAGTAGAAACTCACTGTACCCTAGCTTCTGCTCAATGGCTCAGGGCCTGGGATTGGATTCTTTACATCAGGAATAAATCGGTCTGCCCTTTTATCTCTTCACACAGTGAAAAAAGAAAGTTATAAAAACGGCAGCAATGCTCTTCCTTTGTGCTCAATTTCCCATTGCAAATTGAAAACGTAAAAGAACACCGTTCAAAGGGATGAATGAGGACAAATGAAAGGAAGGTGTGAGCTTTAACAGCTTTCTGCAACACAGCTTTGAGTGAATTTGAAAGTTGGCAAGGCAAATGATCTGCTTATTCACATAACAATAGCAGAGCTATAACAGAGTAAAATTAGTCTAGGGTCTATTTACTTCCGAAACATAAAGCAACTTAAAGTGTGTGCAATAAAGAGCCAGACGTGCGATACTCACAAAGCCATATCTCTGACACATTCAGCTTTTATCCAAAGTGACACACAGCAGGTACACATTTTAGCCTGAATTGCAGTGCTGAAGGTGTAAAGTGTGAAATGAATGTGGTGCTAGAATGTTAAGGGCAGACAGCCAGCCATAAACAGTCTCAGTCATTAATTAATTTGCTTTATATTAGGGATAGATGTGTCTATTATGAAAAAAACAACTCATGAAGCACCAAAACCTTTATGAGTCTTTGTTACAAATCAGTGCTTATCAGTTATTTACAGTATATTGGTAAAAGTTAATTTTATTTACTGGCCAAAACAAAAGTTGCTCTTTGAATTTAAACAGGCAAATACATAAGAGTATATGATTGGATCATTATTGCTGTTATTATTATTTTTATAGCATGTTATATGTTTGGGAACAGTTCTTCTAACCCTAATTGATGGAGTGAGTAGCTTTTTACTTCTTATAGGAATAGTTCACTTAAAGCTACACTGTGTAACTCTTTTAATTTATTCTTAGCTAAAATCATTAGTTCTTTTAACAATATATGTGCTCATTAATGTATATTTACTTTGTTCAAGTAATAAAGTATTCTCGTGAGTGTATAATATGCCATTGAAAATACATACGGGTAAGGGGTTCTAATGTCGGTCGCCATGTTGCCCCTCCATCTTGAAAGTACATTAGCCAAAGAGGGACATACCCGTTAATTCAAGCTTCGCCTTTCGCATTTACGTTTACGTTTGAGTTAACACTCATGGATGAGGTCGAACTGGAAGCCATGTTAGTCTTGGACTACATTGGCCACCGTAGGAGTTAAAACGAAATCAGAATTGAGAGGAACAGAAACTAATATTCACTGGATAGTCATATACCTTTTCACCACTAGATGGAGGTAAAAATCACACAGTGTATCTTTAAAAATGAAAAAAAAAATAATAATATTTACAACTCAAGTTGTTCAAACCTGTATGAGTTTCTTCCTTCTGTTGAACACAAAATAATATATTTTAAAGAATGTTGGTAATCAAACCATTGACTGAAGCCATTGACTTCCAGAGTATTTGTTTTCCTAATATGGAAGTCAATGGGTGTCGTCAACTGTCTGGTTACAACATTCTTCTAAATATCTTCTTTTATGTTTAATATACGAAACTCATACAGGTTTGAAACAACATGAGGGTGAGTAAATGATGACTCCTCTCATGTTGTTCCAAACATATTTTACAAAAGACAATGCTTAAGAAATGTCATAAAGAAATGTCAGTGTTTTTTTACCAAACACTGAAAGCCATGTTCTTCAAAATATCTTCCGTTCTGCAGAAGACAGAAACACACAATGTGAAATATGTAAAACAAACTACACAGTGTTAATTACTAACCCAGGATAAAGCAGCGTTAGCAAAAACATTCATATTGAAAGAAACATTGTCTCAGAATAATTTATGAATTGTTCTGAGACTGTACAAAGCACATGAATATTTAATAAGGTAACCACTAAAGCACTTTATGATTGATTATTTGTTGTTAAACAACTGGTCATAACAATCCAGTGTTTCACAGAGTTTTATAAACCACGGTTAAAAGAGGCTTTGTTATTTTGAATCATTTCTTTAACCGGGAGTTAAAAAGACAGTAACTCATGGTTAAAGTCAGAATGAAATAAAAATCCATTGTCTATTTTCTAAATGCATGCAATAGATCTTATTGTGAACAATTCATTTGTGCATATTGTATGTATTATATATATATATATATATATATATACTGTATATATATATAATACATACAATATGCACAAATGAATTGTTTTTTAATATGCACAAATGAATTGAATATATATATATATATATATATATATATATATATATATATAATTACCTCACAATGTTTTATCCAAATGTCATGCCTTGCCTTGTCTAGAAGATCCAGTTAAGTTTATTTATTTAGCACATTTCATACACTTTGGCAATTCAAAGTGCTTTACACAGAAAGGAATTAAAATAATCACAGTTATAAAAGGAATTAAAAGAGATATGATACATTTATAAAATGAATTAAAAGAGTAAAAATATGATGCATAGATAAACTTCTCATCAAGCAAACACTGGTGTATCATATTTTTCACAACTCCCTGTTTTACTGTGAGATCTTCCTATGGTGATCGAGCCCATTCTCATCCTTTGGTGTCATATACAGTAGGTGTCGAAATACTATGCATATCGAAATACTATGCACATGCCTCTTTAGCGTCAATATAACACGCAGAACCCAAGGCGTCATATAGGTGACTGGCATACTTTAGCGTCAATATGAGATGCAGACCCTACCCCACACCTAAACCTACCCATAACAGCGCGTGTTATATTGATGCTAAAGGGTCCCATGTGCGTAGTATTTCGACAAAATGTCCTATGGTGTCACCTATATGATGCCAAAGGTTGAGAATGTGTTGGGTGATCACACTGTGTCTGTGGAATTCTTTCGGCGCACCTAAGAAATCTATTGGACGTCCCCGATGGACCCGATTTTCCCCTAAAATCAGACAGGAGGAGCTCTAAGACTGACTCAAGGGGTAACCTCGGGTTCACTGCCCCATCAGTCCGCACCCCAAAAAAAGATTTGTTCTGAAGCTCTGGGAATTGAATCGATCCAGTCCGCGCCCCACAGAACCTTGAGTTTAATTACACATCAAACTCATTACTCCACCACAGACCCAGGTCATCAGCATGGTTTCATTTCCCTTAACCAATTCTCACTACCATTTGAATTCAGTTTCGAATCAAAAGGAGTCAAACAAATGTAGGAGTAAATTCACAGCTAAACAGAGTCTGGATTTGAATACTGAAGGATCACATCTGATCTCCTCTGGGAGCTGGTTTCAGCTGCGGCTGGCATACTAGCTAAAATCAGACTCTCTGTACTTAGAGTGAACCCTTGGTATTTCAAGCTGATGTGATCCTAATGAACTGAGTGATCTGTTTGGTTTATATTCAGTGAGCATATCTGCAATATATTGAGGTCCTAGGCCATTGAAAGATTTATATACCAGTAAAAATACTTAAAAATCAATCCTAAATGTAACTGGGAGCCAGTGTAAAGACCTGATGTGATGTTCATATTTTCTGGTTCTGCATTCTGTATGAGCTGCAACTGTCTGATGGTCGTTTTAGGAAGGCCAGTGAGGAGTCCATTACAATAATCCACCCAGCTGGTGATGAAAGCATCCGCAAGTTTCTCGAAGTCTTGACTAGAAACAAAGCATCTAATTCTTGCAATATTTTTCAGATGATATTATGCTGATTTAGATATGAAGAGCTCTTTTCCAAAACTCTATAAATCCATTTCAATAGTTTTCAGGAAAACTAAATTTTTTACCTAGACCCACACATTTTGTGTATATTTAAATTATCCTGTTTAAATGTTTTATTGGTTCAGTCTGAACATTTTGAACAATAATTATTAAATCAATCAACAATATTGTTAATGATAATTTAAAAGTTAATTTTTTTTTTCCAAAACGCTATAAATCCATCCATTTTTTTTGTATCATTTTTAGTAAAGTCATTTTTAGTAAAGTGTCAAACCTCAAACAAATAGTACCAATTTCAACATATGCATGAAAAAAACGAATTATTAAAAATGATCAATTTATGATAACGATATTCAAAAAAGAGATGGGCACCCCTCCAGAACATGCACACACACAGGCTACATAACATGTGAGCAAAGCGGAGCAGCATGACGCTTAATTATAAGTAAAAAACAAAAACAAAAAACAAAATAAACATAGGCTACGTTTCACATTTGTGTTTAATAATATTACATTACTTATTTTTATTATTTCATCTATGTTGAGTAGGCTATGAAAAGGGAACCGCATGAGATGAGTAAGATAGGATCAAAATTCAAAAGCTGCCCAATATCGGAAAATATTTGGAGTGCGTCAGACATGATTTTGACCACTTATTAAGTTTTGTTTTGTAGAAAGCTTGTAAATTTCGTTTCATATAAATTGTATCTTCATTTTAATAAATGTTTCATCGACAAATTGACTGGATTAATACATTAGAAGTAAATATCCAACCCGATCTCACGACCAAGTCGTACGAATTCGACGAATGATTAAAAAGTGGCTAATTCGTAACAATTCATACGACCTCACTCGTACGAATTAATACGATTTTGCTAAATCGTACATATTTTACGAATTGGCCAATTCGTATGAATTCGTACGAATGACCTACCCCTGACCCCGCCCCTAAACCTAACCATCACGTGGGTTTAGACAAATCGTACAAATTAGTACGAGTGAGGTCGTACGAATTAGTACGAATTGGACACTTTTTAATCATGCGTCGAATTCGTACGAATTGGTCGTGAGATAGTGTTGAAATATCAGACAATATAATCAGGACACAGAGGCGCGCAGGTGAACCGGAGCGCGTCTCATGAACCGAAACACCGCGACGCTTGCCTCACACAGACCTGAGAACTAAGCTACAGAAAGCTTTAAATATCTACTTTTAAACAAAACAATTAAAAACTAAAATAAATTGGCAACTCTCTGCGTATGTAGGCTAATTCGAAGTGCGTTTCTATAGGCCTATGCACGTTCACTGCGAAGATGGCGAGTAAGCATCATCAACTTTATCTTTGTTGCTGACACTGACAGAAAACACTAGTTTATTAATAAACAATTCAAATGTTTCATGCGTAATCATTTCTTTTGCCGGTTCTTTGTGGCAAGCTTTATGCATACGTTGAGATGCGGAATAGGCAATTAAAAACTCTCATATGGTTTCTCTCCCATTTATTTAAATCAATATATGTGATTACTGATAATACAAATGGCTTAAATGATCTACTACTAGTTGACTAGAAAACTAGGACTCATTTTGAGGAATGAATGAACATAATAAACCTCTGTTCAGAGTGCCGCAGTGCTGGATTGTGTAGAGCGCTCATTGAATTTGAGGATTTATAGCGTTTAGGCTAAAAACAGGGCTGGCGCTTATCGCGGTTCGGAAAGAAACTGTATCTTGCAGTACATTTTAAACAAGGAAATATAGCGTTTTGGCATGAAACGTTGATGGAGCAGTGAAAGGGTTCTGTCCACAGCAGAATGACACGACAAACTCATTTTTTTTTTAAATGGCATTTATCGCGTTTTGGAAAAGAGTTCTTCATATTGCTTTGACATGACTACTGAAACTAAGGTCTGACTCTAGAGTTTAGTCTTGATTTTTAGTTGTTTGACCCCTAGAATGAAGGTATGCGTTCACCTTGAGAACATCATCTTTGTTTCTGAACGAAATGACTTCAGTTTTGTCACTTCCAACTGTTGACTTCATCAATGCATTTGCACAGGGAGTCAATGGGGCTGTAGTCGTTAGGCGATAGGCTTAAGTAGAGCTGGGTGTGATCTTCATAGCTGTGGTAAGCGATTTGGACAAACTCCGCATGTCATGGATGTCCATTTAGATTTATGGCCACCTATACTCACATAATAACCTCTCCCTCCTAAGTATGACCTGAACCTATTGAAAACAACAGACTTCTCTCTGGCGACGTTTGGAGGACTTGTCCAATCTTTTATTCCACTTAAAGGTGCAGGAAGTGATTTCTCAGAATCTTTGTTGAACGCTGCTGATATTTTTAAATCAACACAAACAAACACACCCCTCCCTTTATCGCTCCGCCCCCAAAATGGACGAACGCGCTATGCAAGAGTGGATCTTTTTATCACACAGTAGAAGCAAAGCAAAATAAAGTGAAGACGATGAATGAACAAGGAAGAACAAAAAAATAACACTCAGTACAAAAGCGTATACAAGCAAGAGTTCTTTGTTATTCGCCGGTCCAGAAATGACACTCAAAACCAATGTTACTCATGTGGTGTCCATTTTCAGGTCTTTCCAGCACTAGAAAGCTTTTCTTGCATTATTGAAGTAAAAAAAAAAAAATGTTATTAAAGCTCTTGTCTGATCATAGCTACATTTGTACATTTATTCATTTAGCTGATGCTTTTATCCAAAGCGACTTACAATTGCTATATATGTCAGAGGTTGCACGCCTCTGGAGCAACTAGGGGTTAAGTGTCTTGCTCATTGGTGTCTCACAGTGGATTCGAACCGGGGACTCTCACACCAAAGGCATGTGTCTTATCCACTCTCTAATTTTTCCAGTCATATTCCTCCAAGCTTTTCCCTTTTTGTAATGTCTCTCAGCCATTTCTCTTTCTACACTCTTTCTTCAAATCCTCCTTTTGCTCACTCACTCTCTCTCCTCCCCCATTATGAGTGTATACGCCCCCTACGGCTGATTGGCTAAAGGTGTGTAGTGGTGCTCGGTCTGATACAATTTCAACAGTGTGTGTTTCAGAAATCGCTTAATGCACCTTTAAAGTTGTGATGTGAAGTTCCATATTGTGCATACACTGATGATGGGGGAAGAGAGAGTGAGCAAGAATGAGATTTGAAGAAAGTGTGTTTCGGAGGCCAAAGTTGCGTTGCTTCTGCTCCATACATGAGTAACACTGGTTTTGCTGTTTCACAGGACCAAGCTATGCTGTCGTTGTAATGTTCTGAGTATCATTGTTTGTCTGGAGATTGTGTGCTGCTGGTTACTAACAACAAACTCTTGCTTGTATATACTTGTGTGCTATCCACAAGTTTCCGAGGGGCGCTCCTGTAAAAAATAAAGTGGGTGAAACTTCCGGTGAGGCGGCGGAAGTAGCATTCCAATGGTATTTTGTGTGTTAGTTTCGGAGAATTATTTTACTATTTAAAGACGCAAATCTTTATGAGAGATGGTATTACGGAGTTCATGGACAACATGTGCTGTTCGCGGTTGTATGTATAACCGGACTAAACTAATTTAGTGGCTTAAACGTGATTGTTTTGAACATAAGCTGAAAACGAAATCAGAGTGATCCTGCCAGAGCCCGTCTCTGATCCTGCCAACGACTGTAGTTTCCATCACCTCCCAAAAGACGACGAATCTTCCTGTGTACATTTGTTTAAATTCGTAATATTCTCTAAACTCTCTCAGCATGTGATTGGCTGTTCGCTACTGATGTTACACCTAAACTCAGGATCAAAGCCTGTGTTGACAGAATACCAAATGTGCCAGCTAATGTATTAAAGTAGAACATTCATTTATAATTTTGAATAAACTCCAAAGCACAATGAATAAGTGTGTATTTTTTATTTTAATTGTTTGTCAGCTCACACAACTGTCTGTCACCATGCCTTGATGAGTATTGATAATTAATAATGTTATTATAATACTCCCAATCAACTACTGCGGAGGGTAAAGGTACTGTTATTTCACCCTTTTTAATTTCGTTGAGGTTGTGTTCCCACATCATTTGCTAGTTTGGATAACTTGAATGACTGTCAACTGTTGAATGAACGAGTGTCAAGCATGTCAAATCGCGCTTTGTTTACTTCCAACCGGAAGTCGCGCCCACTTTTGACGCAAGGCCTCATGGGGCGTAGAAAACTTGTGGATACAGTATGTTAATTTGTTAATATTCATTGTTATTTGTTCATAATCTTTGCTTGATTTTTCACAGTGTTATTTTGCTTGGCTTCAGCTATGATAAAGAGACATCGTTTGCTCATTTTGGGGGCGAAACAATGAAGGAAGGGGTGTGTTTGTTTGGGTTGATTTTAAATATCAACAGTGTTTCTCTGAAATTGCTTATTGCACCTTAAAGTATAGTGTAAATGAAGAAGACAAAGAACAGGAACATGGATCAACCTCAAGGAGGCGCCCTAGCATTAGTTCTGAAGCACAATAGACAAATCACAAAGCAGTCAGTGTGCAGTGTTAGATGACTCTAATTAGTGAGTGCAACTGCAAAATCAATGGAGAAATGAAATAAAAATGAGCTGTGCTAATAGCAGGGGACCATTCACACTCATTAGTGCATTTGGTCTTTGACATTTCAGGGCAACTGGCCCAGTTAGCTGCCAGTCTGAGGAGACCAGAGTCCGGTGCGGTCGGACTGCCAGGCAAACCTGGTCCCCCCGGCCCTCCCGGACCCCCAGGTGACAGCGGCTTCCCAGGGCATGCTGGTGCAAGAGGACTCCCGGGACTCAAAGGGCCTCCGGGACTTCTGGGTGTCAAGGGGCCGAAAGGTGAGTTATAATGTGACTGTGAGTTTGGATTGCTTGTTGTTCCCAGAACAACATATAATGGAATGAACTACAGGGCTTCCGAATTGATTAAAAGCTGAAATGTGGCTGCAAAATGAATCAAATTACAACTAAAATGTGTGATTAAATACATAGATACATAGTGTGTTGCGCTTGTTTTTATGAAGTGAATCGCAGCACTGGTACAGGAATGCAGCTCACTGCTTTCTTTGCATCGGAACGCCTCAATTCAGAGTAAATGCTGTTTCTCAACAACTCCATCTCTGTATGTGCAGTATATCTATATAAATATTTGATCTGTTTACTTGTATGCGATGTGAACATAACCAACATCAGAGAACCATGAAAATGCGACATTGTGACATTAAATTATTGAAATACTTAAAACCTCACAACTACTTCAAGTGAATATTTTATATCTAAATTAGAGTATTCTGTGTAAAGGCACGGTCATGAGAGTATTATTGTTATAGTAGTGTTGAATAGTGTTTGTGTGCATGTTACAGGTGAGATGGGAGACAAAGGGGACAGGGGACCTACACATCGGGGACCCAAAGGCATGCCGGGACCTCCTGGATTACCAGGTCAGTTCCGACTGCGTCACATATCCTACTTCCTCTTGTCAGAGAAAATCATGGTATTAATGGTTTTGATGAATACCGTCTGCAAACCAATTAAATCTGAAACAACTCAATTCATTTCTGAAATGAACCTGGAGATATATATATTTAGCTCCATCCTGTTAATAGACTTTTGAAAGCAAAGTTAAATTGGTGTTAAATGAAGCTGTCAGGCGTCCAAAGAATTGGAGGTATATGAAGCCTTCTTGTGTGTCACTGACACTTACTGTCAGTCCAATGAAGCTGTCTGTTTAAATAGGATTTCTTATGCAGTCGTTACCTAGTAGTCTAATTGAAACGGACAGATCGGCTGTGGTGCCGTGTGCTGATGTCAAGTTTTTTAATTTTCATGCATTTCATTCAGTAGCTAAGATATTTTAAAATGATGCTAAAGAAGTAGATCACCCAAAACATTCAAATTCTACCATATACTGGTGAAGAATATTGCAGTTGGACAGACACTGGAAAAACAAACAAGGGTAGTTAAAGGGATAGTTCACCCAAAAATGAAAATTCTGTCAGTATATACTCACCCTCATGTTTTTCTAAACCCGTAAGACCTTCGGTCATCTTCAGGACACAAGTTAAGATATTTTTGATGAAATCTGAGAGCTGGATCACTCCTGCATACTAGTCCAAAGGCTTCTTGAGGAATTGAAACTTGCCGGCCTCGAAAAGTTATTAAAGACATCGACATTAAAATAGTCCAAGTGACTACAGTGGCTCAATCTTAACTTTATCAAGCAACGAGAATACTTTTTGTGCGCAAAAACAAACAAAAATAACGACTTTTCTCTATGGGCCGCTAGTCAGTTAACGTAGTGTGATAGCGTAGAGCTACGTCACACATAGTAGGCTCACTATTGGCCGACGCTGGTCATGTGTGTGATGCGTGTGACGTACAATAACAGAAGCTCACACTATTAAACTAGTAACCTGACTCGAGGCAGAGAGAGAAGTAAATGAATAGTTGAAATAAAGTCGTTATTTTTGTTGTTTTTTGCGCACAAAAAGTATTCTCGTTATTTGATAAACTTAAGATTGAGCCACTGTCGTCACTTGGACTATTTTAAAGCCACCTTTCCATTGCACACGACATTCACATACGATTGTCGCATTTCGCCCCCTAGTGTCAGTCACACGGAACTTTGAAACTGGTCGTGAAGCAACCGTTACCCTCGGATATTCACAATGGTAAAATTAATGATTTTAATGAATGTAATGCATGCATGAATATATCTACACAAAACAAATGACCCTCAATACATCTCAAATAAAAACATAGTAGATTTTATAGAGCTAATTAATGTAAATATTGATTTCATTATTATAAAATATTTTTTTCTGCTATAGTTAATTATAACCAACATTTTTAAGGAAGAGCGTTTACAGAAAAACATTAAAGAGTTAAAATATTGGTAATTCTAGCCTCGTGCTCAAAGTTTTTATTAGAATACATCACTTCCGTAGGGCCCTATGATTTCCGCGATTACGAAATCACGGACGGAATCGCGGAATTGGCCAATTAACGCGGAATCTAGTGTTAACGTGGAATTTCATGGATTTTGACATATTTGGTTTGAAATTGTAAACGTATGTCCGGCGAAAATGTAGCCCAGGGGAAGCAAATCTGGGCGACACAAACCTCTCAACCCGTCATTTGAGCTACAATGATGAAATCAAATCAATGAAATCATGGTGAAGTAGCTTTCCACGGCTCTCCTTTCGTCGGCTAAAAGAAAGAAACTCAACGCTATAAGCCGTCAGTGCCGAGCAGTTTGCACGTGACTTATGCAGTGTTTCCCACAATTTGACTAATTAGCCGCCACATGCTGCGTTTCGGTTTTTAACACTATTTAAAACACGCAGCGTATTCTTTCAGTTGTATTTCCCCGCTCTCCCTCCGTGAGAGACAGAGTGTGACTTTATTTAAACTAATATAAATGGATATAATTTATATTACAGTTTAAAGCTCATAACCATATTTTGTTGTTACTTGAAGAGTGCACTGTTATGTGTCATCATGCAGTATTTGTCCTGAAAAGGCTCCTGAGTAAATGTCTGTATTACCTCAATAAATTTAAGGTCATTCCTAATTTATTTGTATTTAAAACTTTAAAAGCATGCTATTTTTACAACTAAAATAACAGTCAAGGGTAAAAAAAAAAAACAAATTCCCAAAAATTAAAACGAAAAAAATGGAATTTGGGAAAAAATAAAACGGAATTTGGGAAAAAATAAAACGGATTTCATAGGGCCCTACTTCCGGTTGGCTGGTCGCATATGGTCTAGCCCCAGAAGTTCAGATATTTCAACACATCCAAAGCTCAAATCGGATCCAAATTTTCCGCATACGCATATGATCAGAATTCCCCGCTGCTACCATACGACTCTCCATTAGAAATGAATGACTTCCGGTCCGACTGCAGTCGTTTGTCGTGTGCAGTGAAAAGGTGGTGCCTTTGAAACTTTTCGAGGCCAGCAAGTTTCAATTCCTCAAGAAGCCTATGGACTAGTATGCAGGAGTGATCCAGCTCTCAGATTTCATCAAAAATATCTTAATTTGTCTTACGGGGTTAGAACAACATGACAGTGAGCAAATACTGACAGAATTTTAATTTTTGGGTGAACTATCTCTTTAATATGTAAAGTAAAAACACCAAAACATTGTCTATTTGACTTCCCACTCAGGTTGGTGTATTCTATGCGGAAATGCATATGAGATTAACTTTACCACGCTTTGGCTTTTTGAATCTCAAATAAGAGTTTTTTTTGGAAAATGAAGATGACTGACCTGTTTCTGTATTGCAGGTGAACCTGGAAAACCGGGATACGGTCAGGATGGGCGTGATGGAGAAAGGGGTCTACCTGGTTCCCCTGGTCCGTCGGGCGTTCCTGGACCTCCCGGTACAGCCGGACCACCCGGTTACTGCGATCCTTCGGCCTGTAATCTTAGTGCAGGCGCCGCACACCAGTCTCTCGAAGACTCTAGCTTGAAGGGACCGGGCAGAAACTAAAACGAAAAACCTTCAGGACATTCGGAGAGACTCCGTTACAGCTCTGCGAAGAGCACACATCATTATCGCCCCTCGCAGATCATTTTACTACAGCTGTGATGACTAAAACACTTTACCAGCTTCCCATGTTCACCCGGTGCAAATGAACTTTCACAGAACTTATTGGTCATCTAATGTTCTCTAGACTTTTTTGTTTTTTCCAGCTTATACTTTAAATCCACAAACGTCAATGTGGCCTTCAGACCTGAGGCCTTTTTCATTTCTGTGTGGCAAAGATAAACCTGGCCGAAATATTAATGGTGCTCGAAGTTCATAACAGAAACAGCTGCTGGAGACCTGCTGTCAGAAACAAAAAGAGAGAAGATGTATTTAATGTATTCTATACATCTATGTAAATGATTGTGGTTTTGTATGAAATTCACTCCCCCTGCTAAAAAAAAAAAAAAAAACCATCAGTGTGATTTATTGTTCCAGGATTGTGGGCGGGAATGTGATGCATTTGACAAACACACAAGAAATGCAGATATGTCATTTCATGGTATTTCTATTTATTTTACATAGGTGTTTGATGACGATGAAGTTTGTACAGAGATCCAAGGGAGACACATTTGAATAAATTTGAATGTTTTTATATGAATTCAAAATAAATGGAGGTCTCAAACATTTGTATGATTCTTCCCCACCCAATGCTTCTGACTGCACTCGTAACAGCTTTTACCACACTCATTTCTCACTTAAATAACTCATTACATGCCAGTGCAAAATAGTGGCACAAACACATTCAGATTGCTCTTTTAGTGTAGATGCTAATTTGGAAATGCTGGCAAACTGAACTCGGCAATTACTCAATAGCAGAATCAAACTAAGGGTTGCAAAAATGTTATTCACTTCAATTAAAAATTTAAACATGAAATACAGACTTGATAATGGTTATGCATTAAGTGAATGCATGTTTATTAAATCAATTATTTAGATGTTAATTAAAATGAGACATTTTCTGAATATATAAAGTGGCATCAAAAAAGCATCTGGACACAAGACATCGGCGCATTAAAAACCAAAAACGTTTTACAAAAAGTTAAAGTACATTTTTTTTTAAAACTTTTTACAAAAAGTTCCCTTAAAAATGTAAATTCTGCCATCATGTACTCACCCTCAAGTTGTTTCAACCCTGTATGAATTTCTTTCTTCTGTTGAACACAAGGAAGACATTTTTAAGAATGTCGGTAACCAGACAGTTGATTGGCCATTGACTTCAGAAGGGAAAAAAGTAAACTGGGCCCATCAACTGTCTGGTTACCAACATTATTCAAAATATCTTTCTTTGTAGTAAGAAATTCATACAGGTTTGAAACTACTTGAGGTTTTTTAAGGGAACTATTCCTTTAAGTTTGGAACAATAATAATTAAGTCTCCAAATTATTTTTGTTAATTCCACTGTACATACGCATATCTCATGCACTCAACATTTAAAACGACAACAATATGAGTGGAATTCTGAAAGTCTGAGCATCCTGAAAACACCAAGCAAAGGATAAAACTGCAATAAATATAGCAAATCCTTCTATCGCACATAATCTACAGAACATATTAATGGTATTGCAGTATGACATTAAGTCACACAAGTATGGGAAACAACCAATAAAGTTAAATTATTAACACATATTTTACATGACACCACAAAAAAAAAAAAATTACAATACTTTTCTAACTGAATATACAAAGAACCAAACGTGTTAGTACATTCATAGTTTAATATACAACAGTCTGCAAAGGCAAGTTACCTTCTGCCTACCATTTGAAATGAACTGGCCCTGGTTCCCCGATAACGTTCACTATTAGCACGCTAAGAAGACTCGAAAGATACATTATACTAAAGTTGTTCATGTTCTTAAGTGTGTTCCCCGAAGTGTCCCTTAACACGCTGCCTCTTACGTTCGACGTCACAAAGGCGCTGTTCCAAGTGAAGATGCTGTCCCAAGTGAACGTGCTAAATTAGTTGGCATCGATTGCACAGGAATCGATTTTCCACTTCACGCGAAGGTGCATCACGGCGTTAAGAAAGACAACTATGCAAACGAAACTTTCCTCAAATTATTCCAGTAACATTTATTTTAACATAGTCTAAGTTATCAGTAAAATATAGACTATTAATTAAATTATCAAATCGTCAGTAATATGTACACATGATATGTTGTGACGGGTAGATGAACCCTTGCTAATCATCCACCCTTATCCTGTTGTGCCACTTGTGCCGCTTCTTGACATGGGTTTAACGACTTTAAAAATGATGTACTACACTTTTATATTAATGGTAAGGTACTTTACAATCAGAATTGATTGGCAAGCAGCTGCAGTTACTTCTGTTTAATGTGCTATTGACTGCCATTGGTTAAAGGCTTCAAGCAAAATTATGCCGTGTTAGCCTAGCTAGCGCAGGTCTGAGAAGGTCTATCCGCTCCCTAATGAGTTGTCTTGGGAGGCGAAATTTTTTTAATATAGCCACGGCAGGCAAAATGTCAAAAGGGCTTAAGTTTTGCCGAATAAGAAAAATTGACATGGACTTCACGGCTCCGCGGCCGGCGCCATCTTTGATTCAATACAAAGACATGTCGGATTGCTGTCGCTTACTGGACACCACTCAGCTTACCCATTTTTAGATATTAGCCATTTAGAGCCAAATTGTTTGCCATATTTTAATTATCAAAAGTGATTACCAATTTAAACTTTTAACTTCCAGATAGCACACGTACGTCTGCAAGATGTCTGTTAAAGATCACTTCATCTGGAAAGCATCTGCTGTTTACTAAGATCGGATAGACGTCTTTAAGATGTCAGTTTAACATATATTCTAAATCATTACATATTAAATACATCTTCTAAACGTCTATTTGACATCTGACAGGAAACGTCCTGTATATAGATGTATAGCAGATGAGAAAACACTCTAAAAAAATACATCTTCCAGATCACATAGACATTTCTGTGATGTACGAATGACATTGCGAAATAGCCTAGGCTAATTACCACCATATTAGTTCTGATACCAAATAAATCAACTTCATAAATAGGCCTGTATCCATTGCGACTAGCGTCTTGAGCTCAAACCACGCTAAGAGAGAGCTTACGAATGGTCCAGACCAACCTTACGAAAGTGTGACTTATGGAAGATCTACTTAGCGTACGAACGTGTCGAGTTAAGAGAGAGGTTAAGAAATAGGCTCATAACTACTTATGGATAACAACGTTTTGGGAAACCGGGCCCTGAACTTTTTATCCCTCATACAGTATATAGTGTTTTGACATTGAAAATGTCCGAAAAAAACAAAAAACTGTTGCATATTCAGAGATATGTACGCAAGACACTACTGTTTCACAATGAATGTTAAATTAAGTACATTTATTAAAACAATGTACAATTAAATATGCAAACCAAATGCATCAACAAGACCAAGAACAACAAAATCTGACCACAATGAGCATTAATTCTATTGAGAACAGAACCATGTTATATCTTCCACATATTGAGTTGGTGATGCAGTGCATATCAGGTAGATGTGGTGTTTTGTCTTAAGACTGTCCTTCAAGTAAGTCCACAGTTTTAGCCCTTGAGAAACATATTGTATTCATGCTACATGTCATCAATTTCTTTATAGCCCATTTCTGTAAACTAAACATCTGTGGGTTGACTGAAAACCAATGCAAATATGTTTTTTTATGATAAATAAAGATGACAGAACTTTCACTGCAGTTAAATGATCTCTAACAAAAAGAGCCTTATGACTTGATCCATCAATATTTAAACTCTCAGCAGAGGTAATCTGGTACATCACGTATATATATATATATATATATATATATATATATATATATATACTGTATATATATACTGTATATATAAAGCATACAATTAAAAGAGTAAAACAGCAAAAACCTAATAAGGGTTTGCTTCGTCAAACGTACTTTTCGCTGCAAAGAAAGAAAGATGTAATGGAGGACGACTAGGAAGACGCAAACACAGCAAAAGCAGAATGTCACAACTGTCATCCACTCACATGACTCCAGTACACTCTCATCTTCTGAACAAAAGCAGATGAGTGAAGTCAAAAGATTCTATGACAGGGCATGTGAGCGGATATGTTACGTAATAATTAAGCGCCTTTCTGAAGATTCGGCTGAGGGCCGCTCGCTCAACCCAGAATGCCCTTATCTGACATGCTGGTTTGAGGATACGTGAAATGCGTCTAAGGTTGATGAGTTCAAATATTGTTTTAAAGAAGCTTATACATAAATTAACGCACAAATGATAAGGAATTGAAAGGGAGAGTGGAGAAACTGAGTTAGCAAAGATTCATTTTGTGAAATACTAACAGCGAAGTTCTTTTTCGTTCTATGTTTAGGGTAAAAAACAAAACAAATACCTTCGCAGCTGTTAGCAAACATCCCTTTTTTTTCTTCAAAAAATGTTTTTCACCTCACCGAGAAATAACGGTAATATCGAGAGGTCTCACATCTAATATTTATATTCATCTAAAAACTGCTCACTTTTTTATGGGGGCAAAAAAAAAAAAAAAAATTTCTACATCTAGTAATTCTGACTTCTTTCTCAGAATTGTGAGATATAAAGTTATAGCGAGTTATAACGTTAGAGTTGCAAGATATAAACTCCAAATGAGTTTTTATCTTGCACTTCTGATTTCTTTTGTCAGAATCGTGAGATTTAAACTCTCTATTGTGTTGTAAACTTACAAAATCAGAATTGCAAAATATAAAATCGTAATTTACTTTTTCTTGCTATTGCCAGTTTATGTCTTGCAATTCTCTTTTGCAATTTTTTGCAATCAGAATTGTGAGATATAAACTCGCAATTGCAAGTAAAAAAATAAATAAAAACAATGACCTTTTCAATTTTTATTCCATGAGCGGTGTTTAGATGTATATGTAGCCTATATTAGGGGTGTGACGAGATCTCGCAATATTAACATGACAATCTTTCTCATCAAGTTGAAAGTTGTCTCATGAATAATGGAGTTGTGTTTGTGGTAAAAACTTCTACGGTGCTTAGATTATATTGTTCTGTCTTTTACTGCATATGATAATTCATAGCTACTCAGAAAGTAGAACTGAAGTGACATTCATTACAAGATGATTAGTTAAACCATTTCTAATGCACCTGGATTGTTTTGCATCATGTGACTGTCGAATAAAAGACAATAGAGTGCCGAAGTGATGACGTCACTTTGTAGGACAACTCGGAAGTTAGCGTCGCATGGGTTCCCTCGATCAAAAAGCTATGCTTTTTCCCTATAGAATTTTGGAAAATCGCAAAAAATAAGATCTGTGTTCAACAAAGAGTTGTGACCCTTACATGTTTTGTCTATCTAGATAATCTTTACAAGTTAATCCAAAATTTATACATTTTGAAGCCTATATAAAGATTAAAAAAAAAAAAAACACAAGCAGACACAATAAAGTTTAAAAAATATAACTGTGTGTTTTATGTCATAGATCAAAACGTGAAAATATTTAGAAGTTTTGTTCACCACAGACCTTATTTCAGGCGATTTAGCAAAAACCCATTCAAAAATCCCATAGACTTTAGAGTGAGGGAACCGGGAGTGCTAAAATGCTAACTCACTTCCGCGTTTTGGCCTACAGAGTGGCGTCGTAACTTCGGCACTCTATTTGTCCACTTACATATTTCACCACTGAAGTTTTGTTAAAAAACAGTGTTAAAATATCATCTCGTGCGTCAAGTGTATCGTCACATATTATATAGTTCATATGTACAGTGCGTTTTGCTCTCATAACAAAATAGGATAGTTTGAGATTCAGCTCTGCAATTCGGCACTCCAGTCAAATCACGTCACATTTATTTATACAATATGTAAGCAATAACTAACGACGGGCTGTTGAATTATTAAAAAATGTGGTAATGCAGCCACAATACGAAGCAGGGCTTTTAATTTGCAAAACTATTTTACTAATAAATCGTCCAAGCAGTGCTGACCACACTTTTGTGTGCGCGTTTGAGCGGGAGAAAGAGAGTATGTGCTTTCTGTACAAAATAAAACGTAATTTTGTGGCAAAAAACACGGAAATAATTTGTCGTTTTTAACGTATTGTTTACTTGCTCGGTCAGCATCACTGTGGGTTTTGGTTCTTTTGCTGTTGTAGGACAGGCGAAGTGATATGGAACTGTAATGCGGTCAAAACCTGCCTGGAACTACTTTAGCAGTGCATTTCCCTGAAAATAAGTACACACCTTAGAAAGTCCATCAACCAATCAGATTCAAGCATTCAACAGCTGTAGTATAAACCTTATGTAGCTCCACCTCTTTTCAGCGTTGCTCTCGTTGTGTTCGAACTTCTTCCGCTTTGTATTTCCACAGCATAAAGGTGAGATCTTACGGATATATGAATGATTTAAAATTATTTCCGGTCTCATGACATTTGTTATGAGATCTGATTCAAACATTACAATGCTCATAATAACTGTCGTTAACTCTATAATAAGTAAATCCACTTCACTAGCTAATTACCTTTCCACAGCAATGCCATAGAAATATACAGAGTTACCGCAAAAACGTTCAAAAACAAAATTATGCGCGCTTGTTTCTTTGCCGCATAATGTCTATTTCATGTCAGAGCGGGATTCGTACCCATGCCGTGAGCGATTGAGCGGAACATTGAGCGTCGCTCACATGCACATAGCAATGAGTCGACTCGAATATCTTACCTTACTGATTCTGGATCACCATATTTATGATATCTATCAAATAAATAAATAATTCACCCTGGACTACAATCCTTGCAAAACTAAATTACACAGAAACATGGTTAAGACACACTGCTACCCATGAAAATAAAAATAAAAAATGTACAAAGTTTGATGTTAAAAGGTTTGCCATTATGTTAAACTGTGAACATGAAATTGACAAATATGTCTTGTAAAAACATTCAAGTAACATGGAAGGACGCTTTCCATACAAAGCAAAAGAAATGAGAGATAATTCAATTCAAATGCAAAGATAAATATATTTAAAAGCACTTCACATCTTTTCTTTGGAAAATAACAAACCAAGTAAAGAACAAAATATACATACAACACCGATATAAGGGTGTTTAAACTTATTTCCCTGTAAACAATTAAAGCGTATCAATGTCATGAGCAGTTTTCACCTCACCAGCCCTGGCCAACACAGCGGGGATCACGAGTAGTATTTCTCTAATCGCTTCTCTTTGCTGTGTTTGGTCAAAAAACAAAATAAAAGTCTGATGCCACATTGAAGATATGGGATTCAAAATCTAATTTAAACATGGAAATAAAATCAAATTAAAATAAGAAAGATAAAATGAACAACATATGAAATGAGATATTTCTGTCTGTGTTCATTTTCCGCTTTAAGGATACATTTGTTTATGATTATTAAATAAAATAATAAATAAATACTACAAAACAATAAATGAATATATAAAAAATACTTATTTATATATTACACTATTTTAGGATTTATTTACTGTTTATAATGTATGTCTTTATATTCAGCGCTCCATTACTGTATGTAACATCAGTGCATCTGAGGTGATAAACATGAAAATAACTCCCTTCACGAGCAGGGCTGGAAAGTACACTTCTTTAAAAGCAAAAAAAAAAAAAAGCCTGTTATTTACATTAACTTAATATTTGTTATCATATGTTCTATATTAGATTGCATAGCGCCATCACAATTTAATTAAAACTCGACTTCACATCAGCCTGAAGAAAATAAGCGAACGCACGTAAAATTCTCATTTCACCTCCATTCGCCGTCTCATATAAACCTGTCCATTGTGATTAGTGTAATGACGGGACTTGAATTCTCACACCATACCGACAAAACATGGGAAATGAGTAAATGCATTGGTCACAAACATAGGAAATGAAACGGAGATAAATGATGAAATGACATCACCAGTCATGGCTGCACTACGGGGATGAGGTTTGCTCGAGTCTTCTCCTCCATTTCTTTTTAATAGGATTTTGAAGCTTATGTAGATGAGCTGGTTCATTGGTTTCTTATCAGGTTTGATGAGGAAGCGTAGGATTCTACCCGTCCCGTCTGGCGTGAGGATGGAAGCAGTCACTGGGGTTACATTTTCCCTGCGGACCTTGGGGCCCCGGGGCACCTGGAGGCCCCTGGAATCCCATTCCTGGTGAACCTGTGGACAAATCAGACAGGTGGTTTGCCATGCGTGAAATTCATCACTATGTTGCTGGAGTGTTGTTGATTTACCATAGAGTGGTCACAACAGAATATTTCACAATATAAACACACAAAAAACTACTTTTAATGGGCTTGTTACCCTTTAAATGCGGAGGAAGGGGGGAATAGGGAAACCACAGCACACAATGATAACGGTGTGCCGTGTAATTATCAAGAAGCCACAGTTAGAAGTCTCCTTTGTATTTTTTCACTTGAAGACAAATCAGTGAACTCTTTGTACCTCTATAAAAGAGCCGTTCATTAAAGAATGCCATAGTCATTAGTTTAGTTTAGAGCCATTATCTGCCCGAGCTTTTAAAAAGTTAAACATTAGAAGCACCAATTTAAATAATTGCTGTTATCTGGGTGTTGCAGATGTCAAGAATGTTAAAAGTGTAAAGTACGGCCATCAGGGAAGCAATGAGGGCCTTTCTGGACCCCAGCAAAAACACAAAGCAATGTTTCCATGGTTCTACATGACAGAGTTTGATCTAGTTTATTCATTCTTACAACTCAACAAAACATAAGCTGTCACGTAAGAGATAATGTACCTCTCACTCTTAAAAGAGATAAGCAAAAACAAGATTCGTTTTTTCTTAATTATCTCTACTCATTACGTACTGTAGCATCACGGCTCATGTATTTAAGGAATATTCTGGGTTAAATACAATTTAAGGTCCATTTGGAGAATCTGAGGCATGTGGTCAATTGCCAAAGAAAATAATTCAATTTTCCCTCATTTTGTAAAAACAAAGATTAAAGCGTGTTTAAGCTAATGCTCTTATGGAAAAGTCTAGCGCTGAAATACAAAGGACTTACACTCATGTTCAAAAGTGTGGGGTCAGTAAGACTTTTTTATGTTTTTTATGTCTCCTTTGCTCATCAAGGCTACATATATTTGTTCAAAAATACAGTAAAACAGAAATATTGTAAAATACTATTCCTATTTTAAATAGCTGTTTTCTATTTAAGCTTTGTATCTTTAGAAACCCAGTCATATTTTTGAATGGTCATGGTTTATTCACTCATTTTCCCCTGAGATGGGAGAAATAAGGATTTAAGTGTTTTACTTCTTGCTTATTATGACGTAAAAATCGTCGTTTTGCGTCATAGTAAGCAGAAAGTCACATTTCATTAAAAAGTGTAGAGACTACAAACATTAGCTCATTAGTATTCAAGGGTGTGGGACCCACTCACGCTACAGGCCTATTACAGATCAGTGGGTGGGACTTCGATTGCAGATACTGAATCAATATCCACCATCTTGTTTGGAAGCTAAGCTAACAAGCGCTGTGGAGATAGTAAGTATGACAATGACGGAAGAAACTAAACATGATATGGAAGAAGAGGATTTTGAAGTTCTGCTACTCGAATCCGATGTTCATGGCTATCTTTATGAGTCGCAGTATAGTTTAGAGCAGCTGAGGCTGATGGAGGAACAGGAGGCGGCTGCCTGTCGCGGTCGAGGAGCCCGAACTGGCTCGAGCTGGGCGGACTGCTGGTGCATGTGCTCTCGTTGTGAACTACGAACACATATAGAGTCCGTCTGCTGCAAAAAATTTCAACAATGGCAATTTCTCCTGAACGAAATCTCTGAATCAGACGAGCACACGGACGTTTGTGTTGTGATAGTTTCGCCTGATTGAACATCCAGGTATCATGCAGTAATTCACCATATAGAAATAAATACAAACGAGGAGTAATTCACTAATGAGTTTGCCAATGTAACATTAACAGGGTTTGTTGTTGTGGGAAGGAGGAGGTGGGAACCGGCGAACATTTAAACATTTTAATAGTAAAATGAACAAATACAAAACGAAAGTATAAGCCAGCAGCCCCTCATTGACTACTGCTGTAACGTTACTCACAACAGAAACAAAACAACATAAAATCAGGCCTGTTTATCTCTCGGTCTGCCGTCGTTGCTGCTCATTTTACGCTTTCGCTCCTCCGTGCGAGACGCGAGACCGGCGCACGCCTCAGAGGTGTCTTTCATTATCACTCATGCCACCGGCCTCACACCGTCCTCTTACATCCCTCACCTCGATCGTCCTGCTCACCACAGCCAACTAACTAGACATTTTGTGTGAAATGAATTTCAAACTCTGGTGACAGCTAACATTAGCCTTGTAGACGGAACGGAAGAGTGATTTCTCTGGTTGTGCTGTTCCTGATCAGTGGGTGTGGCTTGAGGAGCTGTGCAATGTGGTGCATTGTGGGAGTTGTTGTCTAATGTCTAATCTAACAAATGCGTCTTTTCTCGGTCAAGAGGGCACCAAATTCAAAAATTATTTTATATTTCGACTACATATATGATCCACTTTCAATAAAGATGATTAATGTTGAAATGGGTGAAATGCTCCTTTAAATATATCTTAAAATGTAATTTATTCCTGTGATGGTAAAGCTGAATTCTCAGCATCATTATTCCAGTCTTAAGTGTCACAAGATCCTTCAGAAATCATTCTAATATTTTGATTTACTGCTCAAGAAACATTTCTTATTACAGGTCATTTATATTTTTGTGGAAATTGTGATAAATTTTTTTCTGGATTTCTTGATGAGTACAAAGCTGAAATGGAACTTGAAACAGAAATCATTATTTTTTTATATAATATTATATATTTTTACACATTTTTGATATAAATTGAATGTGTTCTTGCTGAACAATATTTTTATTTCTATAAAAACAAGTAAATTCATGTAAAAAGTAACATTTATTTTATGAATATAAAAAAGTCATTTTTGTACCTGGTGGGCCAGTTGGGCCTGGAGCTCCTGGAATTCCCAAACCCATTTGACCTCGTTCTCCTTTCTGCCCTCGATACCCTGCAGGGGTAAAACACACAAAAACCCAATGTCAGATGTAGAATACATATATTTAGTCTTTATACAGAGTAATAGTAGGGGGAGAAATAGTCAAGTGACTATTATTATAAGCCGTTTCACTGTATACCATCTTTGAAAAAGCATTGACGAATCTTAGTTTAGCTGAGACATAACATCAAAAACAATTCTGTTCTAGATTCACATAAACTCAGACTTTACATTCCCATAGAAGTGCATCCTTAAAAAAAAAGTTAGTTGGAAACAGTTGGAAACTGCACATAAAACCCTGTCCAAATTTGTTGTATTACACAACTAGTCTCATACAGTTTTCTAAGCCCTTCAAGAGTAATGACAAATCCATCTATCAGAAACACGCTTTCAAAGTATTTAAAGAGCACCACAAATGCTGACAGTGCTGGACGGGCAATGTCACACACAGCGGGCAGGCGAGACGAACAAACAAAAATGCATTAGCTGTTGCTGATCTTTTAGTTTTGTTTTCACACACTCAGTAAGAAACCATTCATAAGATCATCTTCTAATAACATGCCGAAAACTGCCTCCAGTCAAAACACACATGCATTGGTAATGTGTTTCCTTTAAGGCAGCCAAGCCTGAAACAGAAACACAGTAGGTGTTAATAAAGAAAATACCCAAGAGATGCCAAGTAATGCAGTAATCGTCAGTGTGACCGCCGGTACCAATTTACACAAGCAAACACACTAACTAGCTAGCTAACTAACTAAAGTGTGTCGACACCTTCAGATGCATTCATCCAATGCAATGGCATTCCAATGAAGGACAGAACTCTACCTGTGGCATCACATCATGGCTTCCTCACAACAACTGCAATACAAACTCCTGCTCGAGGAGGGAGTTCATACTGCACAAATATAAGGCAGGGGGAGCTGCAATACAATACTTGCCCTGCTAAGATCTTACATTTAAAATCATTTTTTCATACTGAGGAAAAAAAAAGTCTAAACCTTGTGGAGAAATACAAATGAGAACGAAAACATTATAGTGTATTTACATTTAATTCAACATTGCATTTCCATGAAATTTGCTCATATAAACCACCAGTTAGTTTAAAAAAAAATAATGTTGCATTGAGATTATCAAAAATCCTGGTATATTATTCACATAATCACTGCTCACTCAGCATTAAGTATAATTGGGTATGTTCTTGGGATGCAGGAAAATACAGCGTAAAATATCAGATACATTTTAAAGCTGCAGTCCGTAGTTTTTCCTCTTTGTCGCCATCTCTGTTTGAAATCTGCAATTGCAGGCATTTGCGGAATTATCAACTTTAGTTCGACACCGCACAGCGTGGATGAACACAATGTTTGAGGATCAGAATCACAGATTATTCTTTTTGGAAGTATGACCAACATAATCATTTTCGCCAGAAAGTGTCATCTGAACAAGTACAGTAACATCCACTTTTGTTCTGGTTTTGACATTGCAGTAAATCGCGCTGATTAAATCTAAAAATCACGCAAAACCATGCAAATTATACTTTGTTCAGGTTGTTAATGTTAGCAACTTCAGCATTGCGTGACTACATGTAATGTTCATCTCATATGTATTCTTCTTTTCGTATGGGTCCGGTTGCTTTTTCTGTAAGTTAGCCACTCCGAAGTCTTTCACATTTTCAACAGGTGAGTCTCCAGTTGTCACTGGTGATTGTCGTTTAAACCTTTCTGGATCCTCCTTCAAATTGATAAGTTTAATTATATCAAGTGCTGTGAGAAAAGGCCATACATCTCCACCTCCAACATCCTCACAAGCAATATAGCCTACTAGCCGAGATTCCTCCTTTATGTGTACAGATGTGACGTAATGACGCAAAGACATGCTCGTGGAAATCAACCAGTACTACTGAAATTTAAAACATTATTACAAGCTTACTGCTTTGAATCGAGCTAAGGCAAGCAGATAGTTTTGAACACTGACTGGTTATGTATTTTTTCTAATATGTATTTTGGATCATTTTAACCCCCCAAAAGCTACGGACTGCAGCTTTAAGGAAACCAAGTTAGAGGTTTTCATCACCCTTTAAATGAAAAAAAAAAAAAAAATAATAATAATAATAAAATAAATGATACAAAGGGATTAAAAATTGTTATCCCAAAAAATGTGTTATACAAAAGCATGGCTGATTACAGGTTTGTAAAACAGCTGCATAAGTAGTTTTAGAGGTTATGATGTTATAAGACTCTCAAATCGCATGAACCATATATATGTGGTTCATGTGCATTTTAAGAAACAATATGAAACACAATAAATCATTTCATTTTAAGAATATATTTGAAATCAAAATTAAGTAAAAGTTAAACGGCATCCAGAAAAAGGCACAAAAATGACATAAAAAAAGCATAAGCATTTCAATTCAACACCAGCATTTGGAAGCGTTCTTGAAAAACACCTACAATGTTGCAGATTCTCATTTAGTATAACTAGCAAGAAAACAGACCCTGAGTGGAATTAATGTGACTCGAACACGTAAAGCATTCAAGATTTCAGAGATATTTGTCTTCATAATGATATATTTTAGCATATCACATGAAAAAAAAGTGGCCAAATTGAGGATTCCAAAGGAGGACACACTCCAGCAGAGGATAACGAGGAATAATGAGGAAATTTTACCCGCAAAGCCAAACTGAGGTGGACGTCAACATATGACAATAATAAAAAAAAAAGATTTACCAGGATTAAAATCCCTGGTTTTCTCGTGCCTGCTGAATATCATTTCTCTCCAACATTCTCCAAAAGCACAATCCACAGTTAAATGTGCGACACAACACAAATACATATTAAAGTGATAGAAATGAGGATTTCAGAGCTTCCTCCTCTGTTTGTAAATGCATCAACACAATCTATATATAAATAATACAATCTTCACAGATGTGTATACGCACTCAGCACAGCCCAAAGTATGCATTCTTTGCATGGACATCAAGTTCAAATGTACACCATATAGTATGGCATCATTGTCTAATGGTTAAGGGTCCTTAGGAACTCAGACAGGAGGGACAGAACCAAACTGCATGTCATTATCAATGAGAAACCCTAGTGGAGAATGACATTTAGTTGCCAGTCTTTGATGAATGTTCAGAATTGCTTATTTTCCTCACCCCCCTTCGTTTTTTTTTTTTTTTTTGCAGGGCTTAATCCAACAAAGTGAGATATTGCGTGGCTTTTTTCCCATCCGCTCACTTCTCTTTATCTTTCTTGCTCTCACAAGTCTGTCCAGGGCGATATTACATCCACCTATTCTGGGCCGGTTCTTCATCCGTCTTCATATGTCCCGCCGGGGTCTCGGCACCATATGCCACTTTGTCAAGCAGCTAACCGTCTTCTTTCTTCTCTGACGTAGCCGGAAAGATTTTTGTGAAGCCCTCATGCATAATATTCCAATTAACGGCCATTTTTTGCATGGCGTGTAAGGAAGGACATTACCATCTTGCTCATTTTCTAGTCTTCTGAGCTAGATACTGTTGGCTCAAATAATAGATGCTGACTCCTTTTTTTTACTCCTCAGCTTTTTTGATCAAAACTTGAGGTTTAAAGCTCGACTTGGCCATAACAGCAAGATGACCTCTACCCGCTCAGTTCAGTGTAACTCAATCATCTGAGGAGAAGCCAACACAGTAAATCCAAATATAATACATACCCATAAACACACACTTTTACCTCAAGAGAGAGAGAAAGAAAGAAAGAAAAAAACCTGGAATCCTTGAGAAGCAAGCAAAAAAGCTTAATACTGGGGAAACGGATGAGTCATATAAATAAATCATGGTCTTGCTCATCTGTGTTTTTGTGTGAGCCAAGACCATCGTAGGAGCAGCGTAAAGAGGTCCATAATAGGTTTAGTCTTTTGGGTTTTGGCTCCTACCTTGGGAGCCTGGAGGTCCTGGCTCTCCAGGGGGTCCTGGGGAGCCATCGTTACCCGGTGGCCCCGGAGGGCCTTGTCGAGCCTGTGCGGCTAATATAGCTGCTGGTGTCTTCTGCAGCGAAGAGTAACTGTCTGAAAACCTCTCTGAAAAAAGCACAATTAAGATATTATATTATATTAAACATCATATATCAAGGCATGAAACAGAGTAGTCAGTGAACAAAATGTCAAATTGTCCCCCAAATCAAATCAAATAAAAGATTAAATAAATAAAATACAATAAAAAAATACAAATATAACAAAATTAAATAAACGGGATAAACAATTAGTTGGGTCATCTATAGCCGTTTTGTGACCGTGGAGAGCGAAGGTTCGTTTCTCACTGGATTTGTCATCTATAAAGGTTAAAGAAAAAAATGAGCCGGGGTGCCCCTCACAAAAAAGTGGGGAAATTTTGTGAGAGCCCAATATCCAAAATGTTATTGGCAGTATTTTCTGATTTCCAGGGTAACAAAAAGAAATATTCATAATCCCCTCTGGTAATGTCTTTCATTGAATATATCAACAAAATGCTAAAATAATTTTGAACCTTGTTTTTTTCAATGGTGAGATTCGTCACTTCAAAATATATGCATATCAATGCATATTTAATTAGATATAGTCCGATTAGCATATTTAAACATACAATTACAGAAAACTCACAATACATTTTTTTTCTCCTATTCATGCGAGTAATCAACTGGTAAAGTTTCATGGTGATGTCTGCAAGTTAAAATTTTTAACCTATTCACCTGTAGTGGTGTCTCACCTTAAAGAGCCAATTGGCGGCCATCTTGATTTTGAAGGTCAAAAATAGGTAAAATCAATAAAGCTACATAATTTATGATTTTCTTGACCCAAATAGTCTCAGAAACCATGTATTATGCAGCACTGTGGGCAAAACCATTCAAAAGTTCATTTCTTGGCCGACGGCAGCCATTTTGGATATCGGGCTCTCACAAAATTTCCCCACATTTTTGTGAGGGGCACCCCGGCTCATTTTTTTCTTTAACCTTTATAGATGACAAATCCAGTGAGAAACTAACCTTCACTCTCCGCGGTCACGAAACGGCTATAGATGACCCAACTAAATATGGAATAGAAAATTAAAAGAAACTTACTAATCATTTGCAGTACTCAATGTATTTTATGCACACCAAGTCTGCATTTATTTGATACAGTAAAAACAGTGATTTTGTGAAATATTATTACTACTTCGTTATCTTCAGTGTCGCATGATAATTCAAAAATCATTCTAATATGATGATTTGGTGCTCAAGAAACATTAGTTAAGTTTAAGGTCAAAGTTCTGTAGTAGCAGACATTAAAACACCAGCTGGTAATGCATTATAAGTCACTCCACTTTATCTTAACTGTTCTCCTTTTTGAATCCCATCTGCTAAAAAGCTCATTTGCAGTACTGTTGATGTTGACAAGTTTTTTATGCCTTTTAAATGTCTTAACAAAGTTTTGTCACAAACATACATGAAAAGAACAGAAACCCTCATCTACTGGTGAAAACACCTCAGTGGTGGCAGATGATGTACCTTCAAATACACGCAATACTTCATTTCGGATGAATGTTTTAATTTCCTCCAAGGCAGCTCTATCTCCCTGAAAACAGGAACGAAAGTGGGAAAAAAAAAAGAAGACAGACAGAGAAAACAAACATCAGCACAACATGATTTGCAGATTAAAAAGTGCAGCTTCAAAATGGCAGTGGTTCATGTTTTATTCATGCTGAGAAATGTTCTCAGAGGCGAAGGGATGGATGACACATAATGGCGTAATCACAATCTCTCCTCAAAGCATCCCGCCATTCATGATCACTGCTCTACATGGGAGAAGGCCTGAATTTGGAAGAAAATCTCGTAGGAAAACAAAGCTCCTCCATCTAATCAAAAACATACCTTGCCCAGTTCAAGGCCATTCCGTCAAATGCTCAGAGGCCCCAGCGACGCTCAGTGCCTCGGGCTGTTGAAAATCTCAGCGATCAGTCTAAAAACCGTGTGTGTTAGGGCTTACACATTTGATTTGATATGATTCATATGTCCCAACAGCAACACACACAACAAGTTAAATATAGATAAAAACATTTACACCAAGCTAACACGTTTGACACAATAGAGTGCCGAAGTTACGGCATCACTCTGTAGGCCAAAACGCGGAAGTGAGTTAGCATTTTAGCACTCCCGGTTCCCTCGCTCTAAATTCTATGGGATTTTTGAATGGGTTTTTGCTAAATCGCTTGAAATAAGGTCTGTGGAGAACAAAGCCTCGAAATATTTTCACGTTTTGATCTATGACATAGAACACACAGTTATAACCTGCTTGTGTTTTTTTAAACTTTATTGTGTCTGCTTGTGTTTTTAAAAAATTTTATATAGGCTTCAAAATGTATAAATTTTGCATTAACTTGTAAAGATTATCTTGATAGACAAAACGTGTAAGGGTCACAACTCTTTAGATCTTATTTTGGTGCAATTTTCCAAAAGTCTATGGGGAAAATGCATAGCTTTTTCGATTTAGGGAACCCATGCGCCGCTAGCTTCTGAGTTGCCCTACAAAGTGACGTCATCACTTCGGGACTGTATAGCACAGTACACAACAAATCATGATCAACTTTGATTAAACAGTTTCTACGGACCCTATCATACATCCGCTAGTGTTTTTAGCTAGTTTCAGCCTGACGCAGTTATCATTTTCACGTCCTGCGCCACATTGTTTAAATAGCAAATGCATTTGCGCATATTTTTGCGCCCATCGGCATGCTGGTCTGAAAACAAGCTGTGTTGGTACGTTGCTATTTTAAGGCAACTGAAATAGACTGCGCCATCGACCAACTGAAACCTTTTCTAAAGTCAATGGCGCAGTATTTTAATATCTTATTTAAAGGGCGCATAGGGTCCACAACATGCGTACAGCACACAAACATGCCAAATATTAAAAATAAAAGGATTACAATGTAAACGATTAATATTGTGTAAATAAAAATGGTGGAACGGCTCGCTTTAACCTCGCGCACGAGCAGATCTGTTTCCTCTGAAGGGTTCAGTCTTTCGGCGTGGAAATTCTGCTATAGCAATCCACCATTGCACAAGCGCAACTGGCTTTTAATGGGAATGGGAAATGAAACTGGTTTATTGCACATTACTCCCAAATCACACCCATTACTCATTAGGAGAATAGGGACAACCATTTTAGATCATGCGCTGGGTGCGCCAACCATTTTTCCCTTCGTTAAACTAAGAGCACTTGGCCATGCGCTTTAGACCATGCGCTTAGATCATTAAAATAGGGCCCACAATCTCTCTTTTGAGCAACGTGGATACAAGTCTATTGCTAAATGAGCCAGTTTTATGGAGGGGGTGAGCTTTATGATTCATGATGGAAGACTTTTTTTCTCAATTACATCTACAGAGGGCAGAGAACACCTCAGTACTGAACTAGCATTCCTAGTCTTATTTTACCCCACTCAGAAATCCCACTACCCCAACATACCACAGCGTAGAAAAGAAAAGATCCTACTACAGTATCATACAAAAGTCCTGACTCACACAAAAGCTAGGTAATATTTTTTTTTCTTCTTTTTTTTCACCCATACATTTTATTTTGACTTCCACAAGAAAGTATTTGCAAACAGTGTCAAGGAAGGGCGATTTTACAAGGTTGGTAGCAATAAAGCACTAGACATACAAAAGAAAAAAACTGTGAAAATGGTCAAAGTGAATGATTTTATGCATTTGAACTTGGAAAAAAGTACTAATGATTGCTTTGAGAGGGTTCTGGTGAATTTAGCATGAACATAATCAAAGGTGTTATTCGTGGAAAAAAAAAGAAAAAGGTTTTATCTGCGCTGCTCGCCTTGGCACGCTCAAAGGATTTCAAGAGGAAGTTGTGATGTTTGATTCATGAAGAAAAAAAATCTCAAACTCAAACTTTGTGTTCCTCACAGACGTTCGGAGTTGGTAAGATTTTTCTCTGTTTTCGAAACAAGTCTCTTATGCTCACTAAGGCTGCATTTATTTGATCACAGCAAAAAGAGCAATGTTGTAAATAAAATATTTTCTATCTTAATACACTATAAAATGTAGTTCATTCTTTTTTTTTAGCAGTCTTTAGTGTCACGTGATCCTTCAGAAATCATTCTAAATTCTAATTTGCTGCTCATTTGCTGCTCAAGAAATGTCCATATGATTATCAATGTTGAAACATTTGATTCACATTCATTTCGATTCAATTCACATTCGATTCAACAGCTGTATTTTTATTAAAGGGTTAGTTCACCCAAAAATGAAAATTAAGTCATTAATTACTCACCCCCATGCTGTACCAACCCCGTAAGACCTTCGTTCGTCTTCGGAACACAAATGAAGATATTTTTGATTAAATTTGAGAGCTGTATAACTACCACATTGGCTCCTAAGGGAATGCCGCTTGACGGCCCAAAAAGTCAATGAAGAAAATGTTTAAATATCCCAAGTGACTACCGTGGCTCAACTATATGTTTATCAAGCGACGCGAATACTTTTTGTGCGAAAAAACAAACAAAAATAACGAGTTTATTCGACTATTTCTTTTCTTCCTTGTAGGCCAGAACGAGACTTCCTTATAGATTTCCACGACGCATGCGCGAGAATTGCGATCTGAAGTAGTGTAAGCTGGTGTAAGCAGATCGCAAATCTCGCGCATGCGTCGTGGAAATCTAAGGAAGTCTCGTTCTGGCCTACAAGGAAGAAAAGAAATAGTCGAATAAACTCGTTATTTTTGTTTGTTTTTTCGCACAAAAAGTATTCGCGTCGCTTGATAAACATATAGTTGAGCCACGGTAGTCACTTGGGATATTTAAACATTTTCTTCATTGACTTTCTGGGCCGTCAAGAGGCAGTCCCTTAGGAGCCAATGTGGTAGTTATACAGCTCTCAAATTTAATCAAAAATATCTTCATTTGTGTTCCGAAGACGAACGAAAGTCTTACGGGGTTGGTACAGCATGGGGGTGGGTAATTAATGACTTAATTTTCATTTTTGGGTGAACTAACCCTTTAACTAACATACTGTAACAAATGTATCGCTCACTGTTAAGTCATGTTAGTTAACTAATGTTAACAAATGAGACCCTATTTAAAAGTGTTACCAAAATTTCAAAAGCACAGCATTTTTTTTTAAATATGAATCTTTTGTAACATTATGTCTTTAGTCACTTTTTGATAAGATTCTTACTGAATAAAAGTATTAATTTATTTAACAATAGGGGAGCGCGGGGCACAACCTAACACGGGGTTAAATGTAACACGGACCATTTACATAGTTCGTCAGGATCAAGCCGGCCGTCTTTCCGCTATTTTTCTCTTGCTGCCAGAAGACGGTCTCCCGCGAATTTGCGGAAAGTTCTGATTATATTTCGTGAAGATACTGGACAAAGAGTGTTTTGACACCATGAAAGTAATTTTTTTCATCATAGTTTTTTTTTTTTTTTCGGTTTCTGAGTTGGGTGTATACGTTTCCAAATCTAACTTTATATTGCCTTAATCACTGTCTTGTTTGCTCAAACATAGCACCGTTTTGAAACATGTCAGCAATTCCTAGCGACTGTTAGCTAGGGTTAAAATATGTAATACACAGCGGGGTTGGTTGTAACAGAGTGTTTCAACTAAGCCTCCAAGTGTACAATGATAATCAAATGAAAACGGAGCCACACAACTTTGCAGGTTTGAGTATACATTTAACTTTGTTAGACTTTCACAAACAATATTGGGATTTAAAATGGTTAAAATTTAGTGTAGGCTATGAATGATAACTTGTTTATTTATTAAAAATATGGCCTGTTATTAATGCAGTAAACCCTTTACATTTTTATTTTAAGCTCATTTGTATTATCATTACTGTTATTAATAATAATAATAATTGTACATCATGCAGCTGCCACACACAAATCTAATTTAATTGAAATTACAATATTTATAATTTTATTTATTATTATTTATTGCAAAACAATGCAGCCCTTTTCTATGTCTCTATCCATGATATAGATACATAATAGAAGGATGATTGGATGAGGGATGGATGTATGGATATCTGTCTATACAGATGCACAAACAATATCAAACTATACAAATAAAATAGTCCTGAAGTATGCATGTTACACACAAGTGTTACAACTAACCCCTCTATCTGTTACAAATAACCCCGCATATGGGGTAAGTTGTAACATTTGCACTTCTGTCACTTTCAGTGCAACTGTACGAAAATGATAGGTCCTAGAAAAAAACTTGTTCATTTGTAGCAGAGATGTGTATGTTGCTTGTGTAAAAAAAAAAGTATTAATCTAACCTAATTATTTTTTTAATTAATTGAGCCAAAACCAAAAAGCGTTAGGTTGTGCCCCGCTCTCCCCTATATATTTTACACTGCCCCAAATCTTTTAACAATACCGTATATGTTTTATTTTCCCAGTTTTATTGCTTTTGTGTCTTATATTAAGCTTTACAGCATTTGTTCTCATTCAGTTTCATTAAATATAAAAAAAAAAGCCTTTGGAACAACATGAGGATTGGATAAATAATAACAGAAGTTTTCTATTAAAACCTGCACAACCTTGCCATAACAACAGCCCTCCTTCAAAGAACACTAATGTTTGTTGCTCTGTGTGTGTGTGGTTTACAGAGGTGAAGTTGAGTAGAGCTCCTGATGCTACTATATCCTTCCACCCCCACCACACACACACAATACACTCCTGAAGATCCCCTCCTGTGAGTTTGTTTGATTGGGACTGAGCGTTGGATATAGACATCGAAGCGGGCGGCAATTTGCTGCATCCTGTGCTGTTCAGAGGCTAATGGGTTCGTGGACATGTGTGGGTAATTATTGTTATGCAGAGCTACTAATTATTTATTCTGGACTGTTCACGCATGTGTTATGCACAACAAAGCAATCAATGACGGTTGCCCTCTGAACAGCGTGGGGTGACCCCGTGGTTATGGATTCGGGATGGGGGCCAAGAGGCTGGTGCAGATTGGGAGAAAAGCCAGCAACTGAATCTTTACTGAGGTCAAAGAGGTGCTCCACCTCTAGAAGAGTGTGCAGTCATTGACAGGGTTTATTGCTGGAGGTTATGGAGTAGCAGTACAGTTGATTGTAGTGGGTGTTCTTGCTGATGAAGGCCCTAAAGTTTATTTGAGTGGCTGTGCCACTGGCAGCAGCTTTTGAAAATCTGATTTCAAATGGGATGTAGTAGTCTTTGTATCAACACCTCCAAAAATATATATGTTCTAATAAAACGAATACAAATATAATTCAAAATAATCAAAAAAATTTGATTTAATGACGTAAACCTGCTCTATGTGAAAAGTGTTGATTACGGCATTACATTTCAACACATTCTCATCCTTGGACGTCATATAGGTGACGCTCTTGACATTGCGTGTAAATCCGACGCACATGGCACCCTTTAGCGTCAATATGACACACTTCAGTTATGGGTTTAGGTCTGGGGTAGGGCTAGGGTTAGACCACTAGGAGGCGCCCTCTGGCCCATATATATCTGCGTCTCATATTGACGATAAAGGGTGCTATGTGCGTCAGATGTAGACGCAATGTCAAAAGCGTCACCTACATGATGCCTTGGGGATGAGACTAGGCTGTATATTTAGATCTAGTCCTGTCGCATGAAAGGTTGCAGTGATGAGCATTGTAGCCAATCACAGATAGGTCTATTGAGCGCATGAATGCAGTGATCTCATCATTGCAACTAGATATCTGCATTGAATGCTTTCAAAACTAACAGTTCAAACATGATGTAAAAAAGAGTGTGGACAACGTCATTGATTATAACAGGAGTTATCCAGACTCTAATCACTGATAAACTCTCTCACTTTGATTGACCGCTCCAGCGATTATAAAAGGAGTGTTCTTTGACCACTTTCTACACATAACAATCACAATTTAGTAACTGATTATTTTATTACTAACAGAAACAATGTGAAGTTGAGCATTTAGTCACTGGCTTAATTCACTGGTGCAATAAACGATTTTGAGACAAAGAACGTCTGACTGTACATGAATCATATCAGAAACAGATCACAGGTCAGGCATTAGAGTTAACACTGTTACTTGCATGTTGTGGTGTTACTGTCGGGTCCATATCTTACAGTAAAAGACTGTTTATGCTGAAATGCGACTGGTTTACCAAAGAATTCACAGTGAAATGTACCAAGCAAACAAATAATGCGCTACTGAGTCATTCACATATTTGAAAATAAACATTCCTAGCATTAGGATCCTTTGGAAGGTAATGCTATTGTTAGTCCAGTGATCTGTATCGCTCTTATCTCCTTCTCAGCTAACTAACGTACCGGTGGGCGTGGAAAAGGACGCAATGATGTAGAAGCAGGCGTTGATTTGTTTCTCTCTAATGCACGCCATAATGTGACACAATTCCAAATGATTTGTTTTCTGAGATTGGACTCAATAAAAGCCGTCTTAGACTAATGAGGAACTTCTGAAACTAACAAGTTCTGAAAGTTCTGAAAATTACAGGATGTTTTTAGAGTTCAATGATTTCTGATATGTCAAAAGATCAAGGAAATTTGGATTTCTCAATTCATGACCCCTTTAAATTCCTCTAATATGAGCAATTTGAGTTTCATCTGTGCTTGATAACATTACAGGATGTTATGAATGAACGCATTTTGTTAAGTGAAGTGAACTTCAACAGATATCCCGTGCCTAGTAGAGCAGTGAACACTGCTGGGGACCCTGTCAATCAGGGCACACCTTAATAGCAACATTTTTGTGCTGGAAACTGATACATTTTTTTCAGTATTTTATGATGACTAGACAAGAACAGCATTTGTTTGAAATAGAAATATCTACCCCGGCCAAAAAAAAAAAAAAAAAAAAACTTACTGAGCCTGAACTTTTGAATGTCAGTGTATATATGTCTCAGCATTAGCCTAAGAAAGTCAAACCAACCATAAATCCTTCCATAAGTGTAGTGAAGTCTTTCAAAATGGAGAGTCTATGGGTTGTAACAGTAGGATATTGTGCATACCAATAGTGTTGTTGAAGATCCAGGTGAGCCCGGTTCTCCTTTCTCACCAGGCGGCCCCTGGGGACCAATGGGCCCTCTGTCTCCAGCTTTCCCTCGTTCTCCCTGGACTCCTCTCTCTCCTGAAATCCCCTGATCTCCCTGCAAAACCACAGCCAGAATATAAATAACATAACAACACAAAGAACACAAGCTGCCTATTGGGAGCTGCCTTAACCTTAACTGAGTAATTCAATGAATGATGAAAATAATCAAAACTGATTTTTTATACAGTAAAAAATACAATAGATTTTAAATGTGTTGACTTTGATTATTGATATGTTGTTTTCTTAGGGATATTTTTCTTCCTGATTCCTAATTACACAACAGTGATTTTTACAATGATGAAAAAACATCATTAATATATATTCAGAAGTTGAAATCATCATTGAACGGGTTTATTCTTTACGCATAAAAATGGAAAATGGCATACAAATGAAGGTCACACGGATACATTTTTATATTGTATGTAATCCATCCACAAAATGTTAAAATCTTACCCGTTCTCCTTTAGTGCCTCTGTCTCCAGGTCTACCTGTGGCTCCCTGTGAAAATGTGAAGTGAGAAAAATGTATACACTTTTTATATGGGGAGGTTTCACAGGACATATAAATAATCTGATGGTTAATTTTGCATTTTACATACACACCAACACACACACGCATTATACATACACAAAATTCACTTCTCACTTTTGTTTTCAAACTGAGAAAGTCTCCAAAGGTGATTCTGTCAGATTTAGCAAACGTCTAGGCACATTTTCGTTGGTCCCCAAAGTAAACCCTCATACATATAGACAGCTAAACCGCACTATATTTCAAAAGACTGCTCCCAAACTGCATTAGCGGAATGAAATTATTTTGGCTGCTTTAATGGCCCAACTTTTCCAGCTATTCAGTCGAAAGCAGATTGAAAGAGCTCGTGGTTTTACAAATGACCATTTTCTCTCCAAACTCATCAAAGCCGTGAACCTCTGGATCTCTCATTCTCTTATTCCTCTCTCTCCCTCTCTCTCTCTTCTGAGAGGGCTCTGTTGAGAAATACCTCTTATTGTACTCCAAAACCACTCTCCCCTTGCTTTTCCATCTATCTCTGCTCCTCTCTCGCATCACGGCTCCCACTGGCTCCTCAGGGAACATCTCTGTATCAAATTCTCCTGCTGGATTACAGCAGCCGAGCAAAAAAGAAATGCAATCTAGCCTGCGTTTCTAAAGCGGGCGGCACTTTGTGAAAGCATCCACAACCATCTGCTTTCATTCACACCCCCATCAGTGTCTAACACTCTCTCTCCTCCTCTCTATTCCCAGGCTCCTGATGAGGAGAGCTTAAAGCCATCACCGTGCCCACTGAATTGTGTTTCCCTCAGCCCCTGCCATAAAAGAGATGGAAAAGTATGAAACGGAGAGGACCGAGAAACGTCCTTCCTGCTAGATGGCACTGTTGCACCACCGAAAAAACAGACAGCCATCCATGAACGAAGAATGGGGGGGAGAATGGAAAAAAAATTCTCAATGAGTGGTCCAACACCCTGCAAACACACAGTCGTGCCATTTGAGAAGACAGTGACGTGAATGAAAGCGAAAATAAGGCCAGTGAACTTCCTCCCGACGATCTGCACCCGTTTGAACCTTTGACTCATCCGGAGGTGGAATAAAGGGGAGAAAGGTAGGCCACTTGTCGAAAATCTCGGTATAAATTCTACCATATTTGGTCACAGGAGCTCAGTTTTGCTCCCAAGCAGTTTTGAGTCAGTTCGAGTTAGCCACAAAACCCACGTGAAATGCAGGAAATGATGTCACGAATGACGATCAGTGCTGTTATTGTTAAAGGGGACCCATTATGCCCTTTTTCAAATTCCAAATAGCTCAATGTGCTCTGATTGGTTAGGCAGGAGAGTGTGCTGTGATTGGACAACGTCTTTTTTTCTGCGTATGTCTTGGTCAGGAATTATTTAAATGAGGAATATTGTGACATTTCACAAACTCAAGACTACAATCGAGGGAGTTCAGAAACAATGCTTATGATATAGAGAATAACGCCCTTTGGAGTGACTTTGTGCTTTGCAGACCTTTTTTTATGCTCAAACAGTATAAAGCACCCTAATGACTAAATTATAATAGGTCATTTTGAACTAAAACTATTAAACATAATTTGGGTTAATTGGAAAATAAAGCTCAGATAAAATAGAATATAAAAAAAATCGGCAATAAAACCTAAACTTAAAGGCAAGGTAGGTTTGAGAAGTTTGAGAAACTAGCAGAAAACTGCTGGATTTTAGATATAGCCAACAGAGAAACTCCCACCCCCTCCTGGGCTCCTTCCAAAGCTATACGCCCCCAAAACACATGGACACATGATGCCGACTGCTCAGCTGGAGGACGCGTTTGGAGAGGAGTGCAGTGCATGGAGTGACATCACCCTTTTTTGTCTGCACTGACTGCATATTCCCAAAGATGCTCTATTGGGTTGAGATCTGGTGACTGTGGGGGCCATTTTAGTACAGTGAACTCATTGTCATGTTCAAGAAACCAATTTGAAATATTTCGAGCTATGTGACATGGTGCATTATCCTGCTGGAAGTAGCCATCAGAGGATGGGGATATGGTGGCCATAAAGGGATGGACATGGTCAGAAACAATGCTCAGGTAGGCCGTGGCATTTAAATGATGCTCAATTGGCACTAAGGGGCCTAAAGTGTGCCAAGAAAACATCCCCCACACCATTACACCACCACCACCAGCCTGCACAGTGGTAACAAGGCATTATGGATCCATGTTCTCATTCTGTTTACGCCAAATTCTGACTCTACCATCTGAACGTCTCAACAGAAATCGAGACTCATCAGACCAGGCAACATTTTTCCAGTCTTCAACTGTCCAATTTTGGTGAGCTCTTGCGAATTGTAGCCTCGTTTTCCTATTTATAGTGGAGATGAGTGGTACCCGGTGGGATCTTCTGCTGTTGTAGTCCATCCGCCTCAAGGTTGTGCGTGTTGTGGCTTCACAAATGCTTTGCTGCATACCTCGGTTGTAACAAATGTGGTTATTTCTGTCAAAGTTGCTCTTCTATCAGCTTTAATTAGTCAGCCCATTCTCCTCTGACCTCTACAAGGCATTTTCGCCTACAGGACTGCCGCAAACTGGATGTTTTAACCTTTTCACACCATTCTCTAAACCCTAGAAATGATTGTGTGTGAAAATCCCAGCAACTGAGTAGATTGTGAAATACTCAGACCGGCCCGTCTGGCACCAACAACCATGCCATGCTCAAAATTGATTAAATCACCTTTCTTTCCCATTCTGACATTCAGTTTGGAGTTCAGGAGATTGTCTTGACCAGGACCACACCCCTAAATCCATTGAAGCAACTGCCATGTGATTGGTTGATTGGATAATTGCATTAATGAGAAATTGTTCCTAATAATCCTTTAGGTGAGTGTATAAAGACAGTTAAAACAAATTTTGGAAAAAGTGTTTTAGAAACAAACTGCCTAACCTGCCTTTAAAAAAACTTATTTCTTCAACGATTGTGGTGTTCTGTTCTTGGGTGCAATAGCAAACAAAGAAATCATTTTGATGTTCCTAAATCGGAACCGCTGAAGTGGCTAAGTTTTTAACGCAGTGGCTAAGTTTTGTTTATGATGGGAATGTTCCCCACTTTCAACGTCAATGCTTTCATGTTTGCACGAATAATTTATCGTTGACTTCTTCATAAACGAAGGTCAGTATAAAGATGGTTTTGGTAAGAAGCTGTTGGAGTGTAAAGTTTTATTAACCTTTATATTAATCTTTGCAAATCGCGGGAAAACATTTTTCATGACCATTAGTTTTAACGTCAATCTTTCAATGAACTAACGTATAACTACATCAGTAAACACACAGCATTCAAATCTCACTACTCTACCCTGTCAGTGCATACAAAGATAGATCAAAGTGACATTATGTTAACCAAACATTCAGAAACGTCCTGTTCGAGCCTTAATTGTCAAACTTCTTTGCGGCCGTTACTTTGTTCCGGGTGCGACTCCAGTTCAAACCGATACAATAGGACAGATGTGTCCTCAGAGAATCCTGCAGCCATTCTCTCTCCAAATATACCTTCAACTGTTGTCAAGGCAACACTCCACGTGTGCTCTGTCAAACCATGGTCTAAAGGCCCACAGAACAGAGGGGCGGGGTTTATTATTTAAAGGCATATGCACTGAAACGGCATGCTGAAAACAGAGCTGATTTTGACCAGGTAAAATGAGTGTTTTCTTAAAATACTAATGAGAATTTTTAATAAAAGTATATTACAAAGTTTTAATTTAGACCCTAAACATTCATATTAACTTATACAAAAATGGCATTATATGACCCCTTTAAAATAAATACTATAATAGTACATGATACTAAAACAACACTGGACACAACGATTGATTATTACTGCAAGCTATTGTAGCTACGGAATATATCAGCAGGGGCTAACTTGACCATGTTAACCATCTAAAATCTGAAATTGAATACTTCCTTAATATATAGCATGCGAAAAATAGTACATGAAAAGAGCAGTATGTCCGAATTCATGGTGTTTGGGAAAAAAAGTAGGGAAAAAGTCTCCGGAAGACCTACTACTTCTGAAGTGTGCATTCATTGGACACTTTACTATCCCATGAGGCCGCGGGAAATGATTTATAAAATGACAGTGAAACGTCGTAACTGACGCTGGTAGGTCACGTGATAATGACAACATGGCGAATTACATTCATAAACACATTCATACTATAGAACATACCTTTTTAATGTTCGCAAAGTAAGTTCAGATTCAAATGTACTACCTACTAAGACAGTAGTCGATTGCAGACGCACCCACCCCTAGATTCTTACAGCCAATAGAGAGCAACAGTCTGGTTCCAGAAGTAAAAACTCCATTCATTTTCTCCATAGGGAAATTGGTTTTAAACGATGACTTATAAACCTTTAAAGAGACCGTTACTATGAACTATGATGTTGTTAATTGATAGTATTTGCTTCAGTTAAATCCTTCAGCCCATATTATTTCAAATTAGTTTTAAAATAATTGTTTTAAATAATTGTTTATCGGAATTTATGGTGAAAAACTTCATTACATATGATGCTTTACAGAAAATTCCACCAATAAGAGATTCGAAACAAGCTAAATGTGCCAGAAGTCTCCCTACACTCTCAAAATAATTCAATATTTCAATATATAACCATATTTTGCAATAAACTTAAAATATGTTTATATAATCAACATTTTTAAATGAGTAGTTTTATATTTCTCCATTATTTTTAATTCGATTGTGCTGTTTGCAATGCTTCATGGGATTGTCAAGTACACAGTCTTGTTTTCAAAAAAAAAAAAATGTTTGCTTCAAATTCAAGTTTTAATGTTATGATTCACCTTGTAGCTGATTGGCTTGGTTCATGGAAAGACTTTTTTGGAAATTCTTATGAGAGAAATTAATGGAAACAAAAATGTCCAACTCTACTGGAAAAGTGGACGGTCACTGTTGCACTCTATAGAAAATAGCCGTCCATGAATGTTAGCAAGATGGCCGCTGAGCAAACTGACTTCTGACTCATCCTCAGCTTTCTCACTGACCTCATTAAGATCTGCAGATGCTGTATTTACTGGATTTGTCAGTCTTTGACGGAGGCGTCTATATATGTGCGTTCGTGTGTTGGCGGCTCTCTGATGTGTATGTTTGCTGCTGTAAAGTGCAGAAGTGCGATTTGTCATACAGTTCTGCCGTAGACATGAGTTCTGTTGTGACAAGGCATCAGAGAAAACAACTTTATTTATTTATTTATTTATTTTTTTAACGTGACAAGGCTTTCAAAAAAACTACAAACCTGTTTGTAGGGGACATTTAATTAGTGATCGCATGCATTATTCATGATTTAATGGCTCATGGGCAGGATTTTATCCACACTGGAGAGCATCAGCAGTGAGTAAGCGGTCTTATTATTGAAAACTTTACAAGACTAATGACTGGTGTTGGGCTTTTATTTGCTTGGGAAAGAAAGAAATCGAGTGAGACAGAGATAAACATAGACCAGCACAGAACCGAGCCTTTGTCCTACACTATTCTAACTCGCTGGCAAAATATTAAGGCACAAATTATTAGACGCTGCATGCATTACAGTAAAAGCATTCATTTTCTACTAACATTATACAGCTGAAGGCAAACCTCTCTCAAAACCATAGACTCACATACCTCATAGCCTGGAATTCCATCTTTTCCCGGCCTTCCCTGCGGAGGAGACAGAACATTCCCATCAATCTTTGCAATCCAAGGTAATTGTAGTTAACTGAATCTAAAACTAAAACCATAAAAACATTTGTTAAAAACATAAAACCATTGTTGTTGCTTGAAATAAAATAAAATAATGTTGTTTTTTTCAGTTACAAAGCCAAACACTTCTCATTTTAATTTAGTTGAACTTGGTATACTAAAATAAACTAAAAATGAAATAAAAATGAATAAAAAGCTTAGACATATACTGTATTTAAATGTTTTTTGACAAAACACAACAAAATTACTAAAACTTAGAAATTAATTTAAAATATTAATAAAACTATACTATCTCAATGATACTAAAATAAAACTGTTACTTTGCATTGTTTATTATTTCCATTGGTATTTAGATGTTGCAATAGGCACAAATGTTTAAGGATGCTATTAGAAAAGCACTTTCATGATTTTTATGTGAAAATGGAAGCCATAAAAAAAATAAATAAATAAATACTATAATTGTAAGATTTTAAATTAGTCGCAAAGAGTTGAAAAATGGACGCAATTTTGATAAATAATGCTAATGTTGCGAAAGTCAAAATTAACTATACTATGTGATGGTAAACACATTAAGAGAAATCATAATATGAAAGAGAAATTAATATGAAATCAAAATTCCTGGTCATATTGTGATTGATTCATCAGGGTAGGTGTATATAAAAGAAAAAAAAAATCAAAGTTTTGTCCTGTTTCATTTAGAAAACAAAAGAAATTCCACTTGATTTGATATTTTTTATAATCTAACGCAATGACATTCTTGCGTTTTAATTGTGTCTAAAGCATCCAAATACTTCTTGGAGCCAATGTGTCAACTTTTATGTCTAGTATCTGTAGTTAGCTAAGCGTACACCGTTCCACTAAGGTTAAGTGCGAACAATTAGGAACTGAGCTGGATAAATTAGGAATAAATCGTTAAACGTCACCTGGAAGAAACAGGAATTCCTCAGGGGAACTGTGTGCATTCAGCGGAGGTGCTGAAGGCATTATGGCTGTGCGAATAACAAAGCAATTATATGAGGCCGATGTCTCTTCACTGAGACAGCCAATCAAATGTTTACCCCAGTGACTGCACACATTACCACAGCACAAATCAGCCAGGTTTAACACCACAGAACTGAGAAGTATATGAAGAGATTACTCTGTGCTATGAAGTGAGATATCACAGCTGAAAAGAGTTGCTGTGGTTTATTGAGAAGAACCTAACACGGAGCTCTGTTGCATGCCGCTCTATCACACTACATTAGAAATCATAGCAATTCAGCCGATCAAAACCTGTATATATATCCAGTTGCGTATTAATATCTCTGATGGTTGTTTACAATGATTTTTTTTCCCTCAGCATTCTGGGATATTTAATTAAAAACAGTCTAGACTCTGCATTAAACTACAGGCCAGTGAGCAGGAATCAAGGATTGAGGAAAAATAAACCCCAACAGAATGTGTGAATCTACATCGAGTCAAACTGTGAATCAATCATCACACTAATCACTTAATTAAATCTGGTCTGCAATTCAAGGCTGGATCAAATGATGCATCAGTCTGTTATAAAATCACAGAGGACAGAAACTAATGAGAACTAAATGTTATAGACCGTAGATCACAACCAGGTTCAGCACTGAAAATCTGATCAAAAAACAACAATAATAATAATAGTCTTTGATAAAACATAGTTGTATTCTATTCATTTCTCTCCCTATGTGTGACTATCTCACAATTGCAATATTTCATAATTACATATATTTCTCAATTATTTATATTTTATATATCATATTTGAAACTCAAATGCTTATTTGAAAATCTCACAATTGCAACTTTATTGATGATATAATGATATAACCTTATATCATTACGTATTTAATTTTTTAATGTTTTACTCTGAGGTGAAACCTGTCTTTCATTTTCATTTCCATGAAACTGCTAAAAGAATATTATGAAAGTGGTTTTCTAGCATCTCAAAATACTAGAAACTAGAAACAGAAACTCACACACATACATTCATTGTGTTACATGTTCCCTGTTTGTATGGACTTTTAGGTTTTATTTCTAGTCTTCTCGACTATATCTATCCACAGGTGTCTTACAGTGGCGGTTCTACTTTGATATATATTTTATATATCCCATATTTTATTAATATAGTGACCATAATGATCACGGTTATACACAGAATCTACTTCAAAAAGCCTAACATTGCATTGTTAATACAAGATAATAACAAGATATATTAACATTGTTAATAATAAGATTTGTTTTAAAGGAGTGTCTTTTATGTTATCCACTAACATGCACACGTTCAAATAAGCTTTTAACAAAAAAGGTTTTATAAAAGGATAAACCTCCCATATTCTTTTATAAAGATGATTTAAATGCTGAAACGAGTCAATATACATTCCTGACATTTCCATATAATGCACAGTAGCTTATCTTTTATTATTAATAGTAAAATTCGGTCCGATTTTCCCATGGCTGTCTTTCCTATACAACTAATGCACTGCGCTCTAAACAATGACAAAGAAGTTTTAGTAGCTAATGTATTTCCACCACAGAAAAACTGTAGCTCTGCTAAAAGATTTATTTACGGAGAAGAGAAAAACACCAACGTGTTTGGGTGCATGTGCACTCCCATATTGAAGCATTTACTCCCGTGCGCCTACGTGTGAAATAACGACCTCGAGCGCACAAAAGACGCGATACGTGAACAGCCTCTTGGTGAGTTCCTCAGACTCCCTTGACAAAACCGCCACTGGTGTCTTGTCACCTTAATTTTTTAGCTTGTCTGTATATATTGCTGCGTTCTTGCCATGTCATAGTCTCGAGATTTCATCACACTATTCTGAGCTGTTCTCAAACTGGGAATTATGCGTTCCTATAGCACCACTATCAAGGCCTAAATGAATCTGCAGCGGTCATGTGGTACAAATTTGAGCTCTCATAAAACTCCCATCTCACTTTGAACATGAACGCTATTATACAAGCTGAAATCATATAATTGCGGTAATTACGACATGACGTGAACGCACCTTATAGCTTATTATTATAGCTTATTATTGCTTATTGCTTATTTGTATTTTGGGACTGAACCTACTGCATTAGGATCCAACCCTCCCTCGACTCCAAGTTCGTTTTATAGTTTCATGAAATAAAATAAATATATTTTGTTCTGAAAATATACAGATGATTTTAGGATGCGGGTCCCTAATAAGGGGATTATGATATGTGGGGGTCCTATCATAAATATGTTTGAAAACCCCAGCTGTACAGGCAGGTGTGCATTAGTACATATTACAGATTACATGTGTAGTGATTGTTAAGATTGATTACAGGGGCTCCAGGAGGCCCTTCGGGTCCAGGGAAGCCAGTTTCTCCCAGAGGCCCTCGTTCTCCCTGTGTGGAAAGACAAAGAGGGAAAATGGGACATCATCAGTCTCGCATCATCCTGCTGCCAAAACCTGCCATATGATTGACAGCGGCTAACAAGCAACAAAGCAGATCTCACCGGCTCTCCAGGGATCCCTCTCTCACCACGCGGACCTGGCTTTCCCTTCACAGGAACAAGGAGAGAAAGAGTTAGACCTCAAACCTGGTGTCCATTTAAACCACCTGTAGGCTGGGGACACAGCTACAAACCCACACTGATTTTACCGAAAAATTCACATGTGATATGAACATATATCTTGTGACAGACCATGTCATGTAATGAAAATCTGCTACTCTTGTCAGTGAGTATAGTATATCTATTAGCATAAAGTACGGTTGCACCATATACTCATAAGCTGATACGAGTACTTTCATAATTACTTTCACTTTCATAATAAAATATATACATATATTTTTATATTTATTTATGTATACACATATACATAATATATATATATATATATATATATATATATATATATATATATATATATATATATATATATATGAAGAGTTCAGATGCAAAAGCCTCTAAATGCCATTTGAAATTTTCTTCTTTAATGATGATTTTTATCAAACTTGTATATTTAAGTTCAGTAATTTCACTTAAATAACAATTAATAGGTAATCATCATTGCCATTTAAGTGAAATCACTGAACTTAAATATACAAGCTTGATAAAAATTATCATTCTAGAAGAAAATTTCAAATGGCACTTAGAGGCTTTTGCATCTGAACTCTTCATATATATATATATATATATATATATATATATTTTTAGATATATTTATTTTTTATATATATTTATATTAGGGCTGTGCAAAAATTAATTGCGATTAATCGCATCCAAAATAAAAGTCTGTGTTAACGTAATATATTTGTGTGTGCTGTATATAATTATTTTGTATATATAAACACACACACATGCATGTATATATTTAAGAAAATATGTTATTCATATATAAAATAGTTATATTTATATAATATAGATTATGTATTAATAAATACAGAATTTAAGCGCAAATAATTCTTAAATATATACATGCATGCACAGGTATTTATATATACAAAATAATTATATACAGCACACACAAATATATTATGTAAACACAGACTTTTATTTTGGATGCGATTAATCGCAATTAACTTTTGCACAGCCCTAATTTATATATATTTATGTATACACATATACATAAAATATATACATATATTTATTTTATTATGAAAGTATATTACTTTTACTTTCATAATAAATATACACCATAGAGTTTTAATAAATAATAGCAATAAATACAAAAAAAGAGAAAAGTTATAATGTACAGAATGGAAATGTAACATTTATAATGAGATTTGCTAATGATTACGTGTATTTTTAAGATTCAGACAACGGTAAAAGCAATGCAAAGGTTATATAAATGTATAAATATGGAAAACATGCACAATATTCATCATTGGCCATTATATTAATATTTTACTTTATTATTAGCTTTTATTAAAGTTATATTAATAATGTATGTTGTTTGTGAATCAATTAGAATATGCATTTAACAGCACTTAATAAATCTGTATTTACTAATAAATGAAAATGTGTGACTATAATGAAGGCTGAAGGCTTTATTCATTTACTACCTTTATTGCTTGTGGCTTATTGCCTAAACAATACACAGTTCAATGTGTATTAGTGTCATCCCAAAGCAGAAAAATGACAACAGAATGACTTACAACAGGACCAGTAACACCAATAGGACCAGGAAGCCCAGGATCACCCTTACAACACACAAACATACTCATGTTAAGTCCAATCTTCAATGCAAAAACACAACTGTGCTTGACAAGTCCTCAAAAACCCTTCTCAGAGTATGTGTGTGTGTGTGAGCTGCTCTCTTTCCTCCATATGCGCACTGCTGACTTTAGGAATTAATGAGCTGCTTTTAAGTTTTGGGGCACAGCATGCAAATAAACAGCTTGAGATCATCACGCAGCCTCGTGTGGCAGTTGTGGAGTCGGTGAGCGCGCAAAATGCTGCGACTACATCTTGACAAGTCCTTTCTGGGAAGAGTGGGCGAGTTTGATGCCGAAAAAGAGTCTCCATGCACTGGCGCTCTGATACGTGCAGGAGGAAACAGTCGGTTGGACAGTTCTGTGGGCTCCATTTAATGAAGCCTATTATTTCTACCCTCTCTGGTATTCTCGTATTCATGGTCTTTCTCCTGAATTCTCAAGTGCTTTGACTAAGCACTGCGGTGAAATTAGAATACTAACAATGTTTGAATCAGTTCTGTCTATCCGCTACACTCATCTCTCTGTCAGTCAAACGCACACACACACACCGAAACTGCAATGTCATGTCAAATCGTGAGGGTACAGAGTGGAACGTATGGTTGAGCTGTTGGAAGCTGTGTGTAATCTGGGACGCTCAGAAAGTGTGAGAGAGCGTCCAGTGACACGATTCATTCAAACGGGCTTACCTTAGCACCTGGCAGCCCCTCTAGTCCCGGTAATCCCATCAGTCCTGGCTCACCCTGGAATAAAAGAAACACATTCCAGCTCGGCACAGACACCTTCATGCGTGAAAGAGTCTGTCTGTGTGTGTCAGATTTGGGGAGTGACTATGTAAAAGTGCCAATGCAACCAACTCCAGGACAATTTTTTTTTTTTTAAGAAAACTAACAAGCTAGTTATGAGTAGCAGAGAGGCACGCTGTCATTTTGGGTCAGAAGCCACAATTAATTTGCGGAGAAATGCACAAATAGTGATTTTGAGTGAACCATCTTTACTTTCAAATTATGTTAGCTTTGTCACAGTTTCAAAAATTGTGTTAGCTTTTACTGGACTACTTTTGGCCCTATGTACTTTTATAATGGACTGAAGTAAGGAAAATGTTCTCATATTCTGTATTGCGTTTAATAGCATTATAGTTTGGAATAAAATGGCAGGCGCTTTTGTTTTTACTAAAGCTAATTTAAAAGCTAGTATTTTATGCATTTCGTGAGCTTAGAATTATAAGGTTCTATCTCCGTTTAGGGTAGTTCTGAGATATTGAGCATCAAAGTTTTTACATCCCAGCTGGCAAAACTGTTATGTAGTATAATCTTCTATTATAGATTTATCTATTAATCTTTTTATTTTAACAAAAATAACACCACACAGGCATTAATAAACACCTAATGGATCAGATAATGTCAAAAACTCAATTTCGACCAAAAGTGGAGATAGAACCTTATAATTCTAAGCTCACGATTTTACATACATAAATAGAATAAAAATAAAAAAAAAACACGTTTTGGATAATTTAACCAAATTACAGCGGATTGGGGTGAATTTTTGGGACAGTGTAAATTTTGAAGAAAAAATTAATAATTACTTGGTAAAAAAAAATGTACTATTATTACAATCAAAGGTTGTATTGGTTAACATTAGTTAAAGGAGTAGTTCACTTTAAAAAAAAAAAAACTTTTGCTGATAATTTACTCGCCCCCGTGTCATCCAAGATATCCATGTCATTCTTTCTTCATTCGAAAAGAAATGAAGATTTTGATGAAAATATTCCAGGATTTATCTCCATACAATGCACTTTACTGTAACCAAACGGTTCAAGGTCCAAAAGACAGTTTCAGTGCAAACTGCAAACTGTTAAAAGGGCTTTAAACGATTCCAGACGATGAATAAGGGTCTTCTTATTATCAAAATGAACAAATCATTTCAACAAACAAAATGAACGAAATTGACTCGGGAAAAGATCCGTTCATTTTGATGAATGATTTAGAATAGGACATTTGAGCTTATAAACATTTGAGCTTATAAAACGTAAACTTTGTTTTTGTTTATTTTATTTAAACGAGCGATTGTTTCGCTTGATAAGACCCTTATTCATCGTCTGGAATCGTTTAAAGCCCTTTGAACAGTTTGCAGCTTGCAATGAAGGTATTTTGGACCTTGAACCGTTTGGTTCCCACTGAAGTGCATTATATGGAGAAAAATCCTGGAATGTTTTCATCAAAAACCTTAATTTCTTTTCGACTAAAGAAAGAATGACACAGACTCCTTTAATGCACTGTGAACTAACATGAACAAACATCGAACAGCTTTATTTTCATTAACTAACATTAACAAACATTAACTAAAATAGTAACAAATGTATTGCTCATGGTTAGTTCACATTAGATAATACATTAACTAATGTTAACTAATTAACCTTGTTGTAAAATTTAACCAATTACTTTTAGGTACTGAAATGGTACTGTGTATGTGTACAGTATGTGTTTTACTCTTTTTTAACATTATAATGGTTTCAAAATGTACAAATATGATGTACATGATGAATCTGTACATAAATTGAATTTGGAAAATGATAAAAGCATCATAAAAAGTTTCCAAGTCAATTTTAATGTTATCTTTTAAATATAAAAAGCAACCCCTGGGACATAAAAGTGCTTGAAAAGTTGAAGAAATACCCTTAAATGATTGTATCACAGCAACGTTTTGGAGTAGAAAACACATGACGTTCCTGTTTCCTTCACTGCATAAAACTCTAAATGTATTTCTAGTGTATTCCGACTGACGAAACAGATCACAACGGTTTAGCAAACAAACTGGTTGGGGGACAAGCACCAAACGCCATTTATCCAGCATGTCACTGATTATTTCAATTAAAAACCACAGATTTATCTTCGTCCTGACACGTGTGTCGCGTTAACTCTAATTCTGTCGCATTACCATCCTGACAAAGCATTTACTTTCCCCCTTCCATTTTCATTTAGCCTGCCACGATAATAAATCACACGTACTTCGCCGTTAACAGAACAGCTCGTAATTCAACCCCAAGTGATTGGCTGCTACCCCACGCCGAACCTCTTCACGGAGCGCTGAAGAATCTGCGCTCTAGTGTCGTACATTATGTTCGTCTCATGCCTCAGTCGCTACTGACGGACAGCAGCGGGCGCCATGTTAACGGATTGCGACAGTAATTGTCGCACGTGTAGATTGCCATGTATAACAGAGCGCAGACCTACGTGGAACCAAAAAAAGAGGATCGCCTGGAGACAGATGGGTGTAATTCTAGCACAGTGCTGGAGACTGCTGGGACCATTTATTCAAATGTCAAATTAGCATGGCGCTGAAAAATCGTTTCGCAAAAACAGCAAAAAAAAAAAAAAAAGAAACACAAAAATCAAAATTGCACCCGTGAGAACAGGAAGTGCCAGCTTTTTGCCTGTGGGAGCTGAATTGCAGCTATTGTAGGGGTCCGTCGCTGATGTGCTTTTGTTGGGGGGGTGTGTGCATGTACTGCGTTTACAACATCCCCCAATGGCAGAAGAAAATATGCGGCGACAATTTGATTTAGGCGGCATTCCTGATCACTCCTATTGTTGTTGAGAATGCTGTGTGACTAAACTGTTGTGCTCGGCTGCTCTCGGGCTACTTCTGAGCCAGAAACTGTGATTAATGGAGATTAGCCAAAAAGCGAGTGCTGGGCATGCCTGTTTCTCGCAATCCACTGGCATAGAAGGACCACAAGGACGAGGACCATTTAATACAAATCACAGTGAAGCAACACTCACCATCCTTCCTTCATCTCCTTTGGGCCCCTGGAAAAGAAAGGGCACAGAATTAGCCTATGGAACTGATCTTATTTCTATGTGTGCTATCAATTAATCCAATCTGTGTAATTAGCTGGATGACATCTGCTTAGAGATGATGTCATACACTAACAAACTCAAACAAATGACCTATTCGAGGGAACAGACGGAACCTAGCGAGCTGCCTAACAAGACTGAGCGTGATCCCGAATTTAAGAATTAAAAGCTTTTGGATTTTATGAGTGTGAACTTGAACTGTACTAGCAATGTAGAATGTTTCATTAGCATGACAGGAAGTAGAATTTAGTAGATCACACAAGAAATGAATGTTTTGAAGTGACTAAACAAATAATTCTATATAAAAATGGACCAAATATGACAATTTATATGTAGAATGCATTTTTACTCAACAGATTGGATATAGTTAAAAAGCCAAAATAGCCACAGGATGGTCACAAAATGGCCACTTACAATCTTATCAGATGAATATTTGACATGATTTGAATCTATTAATAATAATGATGCTAAACTCCCATCTTAGTCAATATTTTTATCCTTTAAACCTCATTCTTTGATCACCAAAATGACATATTTAAACTTTTTTTCATATAGCCTCATAGTATACACGTTCTATGAATATGAAAATTAGCCCCAGCTCCACTCACTCGTTGATGATCAAACTTTGATTTGATTGGTTACGAGTACTGTAGTTTGCAATGTCAGAAACCCCAACGATTTCAAACTGTATTTTGAGACTCTCTTTGGTTCACTGCAGTTTTAAGGCGAAAATACTCAGCAATGGTGTTGACTGATGACTTTACACATGGTTTGTCTTAAAGCATATGTATAAAAAAAATGCATTATAGACATATAAACAACATCAAAAGCTTGATTTTCACCACATAGGGACGTGGCATTCTGGGAAATGTCTTGGGAAGTGTCCTTTCACCTCAGTTTGTAAAATGAAAGCGCATTTAATTGTCTCTTTTGTCCACTTTCGACCACTTCTGTCCTGATTTCTTCGAAGGGATGGGTCTAGGGGTGGATAAATGCATGGACTATTTTGCTGGGATTTTCAAATCTTTAATGGATAAAATAGGCTCACGCGTTTTACATATGAATCCGACCGGAGATTAGAGAAAAATATAGGGAGAGCAGCAGGTCTGAAAGCAGCAAGATCACGCCAAACGCAGTGAGTGTGTTAGAAATCAGGAATGGAGAGAGGACATTGTGTTTTGGCCTTCATACCAAACTTGGGTCTTCAGCCAACAAATCCAGTCTGGCTTGCACACTTCCAATGTTTACGCGTTAAGGGGTGGTCACACTACACTTTCCGTTCCATTGACTTCTATTCATATGCAAGCGAATGATAGATAGAAAGATAGATAGAAAGATAGATAGCTAGATATATAGATAGATAGATAGATAGATAGATAGATAGATAGATAGATAGATAGACAGATAGATGATAGATGACTTGCATTCAAAAGCTAATTGTACCCTTTAACACCCCAGTGAGCAAACATACAGCGACTCTGCATGATGTCACAACCCTGTCACATCATTCATTCTCCCAACCACAAGCTTTTTGATTGTTCAGATGAAGTTCAAATGAAGTTTAAGTGATCTGTGTCTCAGCGCGCTGCGGCACGTCAACAAGAGGAGCCACGTCCTACTCAGAACAGGTTCAGCTAAGGATAAGCCCAAAACAAAGCACTCTGGGGGACTTGTAAGCAGCTCCTCGTGTCTATCTCAGTGAGGAGGGAGATTGGAGAGTGTCCCCTTTCAGACCTGCTGATAAGGGTTTCGCATTTTTCAGACTTCTGGGCGGTCTGGTAAAGATGGCCCAGGAGGGAATACACTCATGTTCTTCATGGAAAGGAAGGGCACATTAAATACAGAGTAGACAAGTGTGTGTGTCGCTGTGTTGATAAGCTAATCGGATGATTCCACTAGGGCAGAAAAGCTCTTATATATATATATAGCCTATATATTTAATTTTTTCCGCTTGTAAAAGCGCTGCATTTCAATTACCCCTCCTTTACAAGCAGCTACATTGTTGACTATGTGTGACGTGTTTGTTTTGTCCTTCTCCCTTTGGGCTACTGTTATTTTCTGTGTTTCATATTTGTGTCTGTGTGGCCATGATCCGTCCTTCAAATAATGCTGAGTAAAACTCAGCTAAACAGAAAAACAGATTCCCAAATCAATGTAGCTTCTTTGTGTATTGACATTTAAACTCCATTAAAAGTGCAACAATTGATTCCCTGCGGTAGGTTAGCTTCAAAACAGCTTTTTATTTTATGCGGGATATCATTTAGAAAATAAATAAATAAAACGTACAGAGGGTCCGGGTGGTCCGGGCGGGCCTGTATTAGCTGCTCCATTCTGTAAAGAAAATAATAATAGTTTATCAAAAATGAACAGCATGACAAATACAATTACATACTAAAAATACCGTGACTGTTTTAGTATCAGGTTAAAGTTTTACCTGAAGCTTATAGAGACTGCTCATTCCATTGCCCTCTGCAATTGGAACACCCTGAAAAGAAGTAAAAAAAAAAAATCAAAAAAAAAAAAACAACTGTTAATATGATATTCTGGTCTCCAGATGTGTGTGGGTCTCTCCTACAAATATAAGTCAATGAGAGTTTTCTCCAGTTTTATCATTCACCGGGCGATAAAAAGAGTAAGGAAGGTAACAATTTATTTTAAGGCCAAAATCTCATTATTAACTAGTTGCTTATTAGCTTGCATATTACTAGGATATTGGCTGTTTATTAGTACTTATAAAGCACATATTAATGCCTTATGCAGTTACTGAAACTGCAAACTATATATACTATATATATATATATATATATATATATATATATATATATATATAAATTATAAAATGTTTACATGTGTTTTACATCATATTTTACATCGCGCTTTTATGGACAATATAGTATGATATAGTTCACACTTGAGGAGTGGAAAAAAACAACTCAATTTTATTCAGAGGACTAAATTAAAGTAAATAAGTAAATGAATTAAAAATAATAATGCAATATGGTGCAGGTGTTATTTAAAGGGGTGGTAAAATGCCATTTTCACAAGATGCAAAATAAATCTCTGATGTCCCCAGAGTGGTTTTAGCACAAAATATCCCACGGATATGTTTATATAGCATGTTAAAGTTGTCACTTTTTGAGGGTTTGCAAAAACGCACAGTTTTGTGCCTGGCCCTTTAAATGCAAATGAGTTGCTGCAGAGGGCGGGGTTTCAAGAGCTTGAGTGAGTTAACAGCTGATTTCCTCACGCAGACACACTAAAATGACAGAAACTGTTCTCCTTTTAATGTTAAAATGGAGTCAGTCAAAGATGGAGAGACTCAAGAAGAAATGACAACTTGTAGAATACAACAGGATGTCTCTGAATGGTTAGTTGATGAATTTATGTTGCTGATGTGGAGTTAACTATCTTCAATTAGGATATTCTGTCATGATAATCTATAAATCGGTCATATAGGAACTGTTGTAAGATGCACACAGAGTGTCTTTCTATTGCATGTGAAAAGATGGATGCTAAAGTTTGAGCTGACTCACAAATATACTCTTATACAACCACTCTTCATCTTCTCAACATGGACTGCGTGTTCCCGGGGGCGGGGTTTAAGTACATTTTAGGGTTGGTGATGTCACTAACCCGGGAGGAATGTTGTGTAGTCTGTTGTAGTCCTTTTCTTTAAAAGCAAATATCTTCCTTTGCTTTAAACTTTGAGCGTTGTAACGTTAATTAAGTTGTTTATGCTCAAACAGCAACATTACACACTAACTAGTGAAATCATACTTTACCACCCCTTTAAAGGACAAAAAAGGACCCAAGTTGTTTCTGTCCAGTAAGTGTTCATCTTCATTTTTAGAATTATAATAAAAAGGCATGTAGATGATTGTGTACAACAGATTTTTTTTTACAACAAAGATTTATCATGTTGATGATTTAGAGGCCTATGTATAAAATATGATAGAGTAGCTTTATAGGGTTAATCACTAAACTTTGTTGGAAAAGTATACAAATCGCTATTAACTGTGAATCTTTCAGATCTTTAAGAAATTACAAACACAAATTTACAAATAAAGTTTCCCTGGGCTCTCATATATCATTTATAGCTAAAGTGTGGATTTTGTCCCCTCTGTTATCTTTCAAGGACAATTATGAGTTACCATTTGTAGGCAAATTACACAAATCGGGTGTTTGGGTAAAAGTACAGATACCCTCATAAAATATCTATATGGTTGTTGACCAATGACAAACGAGTGAAAGTGTTATGAAAAACTGTCAGAATGCATTCATTGCTTTTGCAATTCCGTTTTGAATTCCTAGTGATGGTAAAAAAAAAAAAAAATGCACACTTTTAAGATTTCACATGTTTAAATTTCAAGCTGAGTCATCCTAAACACTTGCAATCAGCACCAGAACTTACAGGAGGTCCAGGAGGTCCGGGTCTGCCTTGCATTCCTTCGCTGCCCTGGAATAAAAAAGACATTTCTTTTATTTACATGCATAGCACAAACTCTGCCTCTCCAAACACAGAGTGTGATTGCATTGAGAGTCAGGGCCGACACCATGCGGCAGTGTTAGCAAATGATGTGAATAACAACAGGATTCAGATAGAGCCTTTGGAAGTTGTGGATAGACTTGGTGCCCTTAGCTCTTATTGCATTGGCTCTCAGTGGACCCGACCAGCTGATGAAAACGGTGAAAAATGCCTCTATTCCTTTTCTAGTGCATATCTGCACACTGCAGGGCACCGTACAAGCTCGTTGAACACATCGAGCGGAATATTCACTATCTCCCGCTAACCGTTTGTGAGAGCATTAGTCCAGTCGTTTATCAGACAGTGTGTGTGTGAGTCTCATACAGATGCTGATGGGTCAAAGAATGATAATGTTGGGGAAAGTGAGACACAGAAGATCTGTATCACGTTTTGTCTTTATCCCACTCGGAAAATTCAATATAATTGCAGAATATTTACAAAAGTTTTAACATCATATGCATAATCGATGATGTTATGTTATGCATAAAATATACATCATTTTATTTTGTTTGATATTTGAGTAATTAATGAGCAAAATCTAATCTAAAAGTGTTTAAGAGGTCTTTTATTCCAATTTATTAAAATTCTCGCAACTCCGCAAGTGATCGATAATCAATGAAAGTGGCATGAACTGTATTTTTATATCTATGTAATGTGAATCTGTTTATTTTTGTGTCTTTTAACTACTGCCTGTATAGTTAGTTTATGTGCTGCTGAGCCAAAGACAATTTGACAATAAAGAAATACAATACAAGTGGTCCATTTGCACTATATTTCAGGATTTCTGAGATGATAATTTTGTCAAAACATTTTTTTTTTTATTTGTTATTACCTTTTCCATCAACCTCAGCCCTCAAATAAGATGATTTGCTTTGACATGATCTATTTTGAAGGTCCTTAATATTATATTAAAATCTTAAAGAAAAGATAATTAGATTATGCTTACCCGTTCTCCCTTTGGTCCTGGGGGGCCAACAGGTCCTGGTCTGCCAAGAAGTCCCTGGATGCAGAGGAACATGTGTAAGGATTATTTTGATTAGACATAACGCTGGGAGGAAAAAGATTGCTAAGGAAATAAAGCTCCATATCAAAACCATGAAGCCATAATTAGCCATTATTGGGAGATCCTCACCGGTGCACCTGTGCGGCCAGTGGATCCAGGCAATCCTGGCACACCCGGGGTCCCCTGGAACAGAGAATGTCAGATCACAGCTCAAAACTCTTAACTTAAAAAAAAAAAAAAGTAGTGATAATAAATTGAATTCTGTTACCCTTTACCAGTCAACTGTGAGCTTATGGGTAGAATTCAACAACAATACAATGAAAATAAAATACATTCCTATTTTAATTTGAATGAAAATCCATTGGTCCAACTGTCTTAGACTAGGAAAATACAGTTCCATCTGATTGTTAGTATTGCTACAAATACAACTGGATAAAGAAAACGGATTATTTAAATTTTTGGACATAACTGTTTCTTAAATTTGTATTTGTTTGTTGCTTTTCAATATTATTTGAAAATCTACAGAAGAAAAAATTAAAAAAATATATTTTAAAAGTAAAACTTAAAAGTTACCAACTATGCAATTATACACGTTTTCCTGTTTTTTTTTTTTTTCTCTCTCTCTGTATAAACCATAACATGTTTGATTATAGGTACGCTTGCTTGTAAAATATGCTTGGTTTTCAAAAATAATAGATAAATAAATAAATAAAGATGATAGATAGATAGATAGATAGATAGATAGATAGATAGATAGATAGATAGATAGATAGATAGATAGATAGATAGATAGATAGATAGATAGATAGATAGATAGATAGATAGATAGATAGATAGATAGATAGATAGATAGATAGATAGATAGATAGATAGAATTTATTTCAGACAGACAGGGAAAATAAAGTGACTGTTGAAGCTGAATAGTTGTCAACTATGACGCATCGGACAGCTCCACTAACTATAACAGGATGCATTTATGTCGCATTGCACCAGCCGCACACATACTGTACAGTGTAAACACAGTGTTAGTCTGATAACTCACCTCATCACCCTTGTCCCCCATTGGACCGGGAAAGCCTCTCTCACCCTTCACTCCCTATATGATTAGGAGACAGATAAACAATAGTTGAGACAGGAAGCACACGCTTTATATTAAGTTTCTCTGTAAAGAATGTTCTCATACATTATTAATGCTTTTCTTTTGGCCTCAGTTCTTGGCTGTCAATGAATGTCTCACATTCAGGGACTGTGCTGTACTGTACATATATATATATATATATATATATTTTTTTTTTTTTTTGCTTTATTTGTTGCACCGTTTATAAAATTTTACCTCACAACACCTTGTAATAGGGGGAAATGCATGTGATTGTACTTCCAAAAAGAATATATATATATATATATATATATATATATATATATATATATATATATATGAAGAGTTCAGATGCAAAAGCCTCTAAGTGCCATTTGAAATTTTCTTCTAAAATGTCATTTTTGTCAAGCTTGTATATTTAAGTTCAGTAATTTCACTTAAATGGCAATGAAGATTACCTATTAAGTGTCATTTAAGTGAAATTACTGAACTTAAATATACAAGCTTGATAAAAAATGGTCATTTTAGAAGAAAATTTCAAATGGAATTTAGAGGCTTTTGCATCTGAACTCTTCATATATACATATACATACATATACATAGATATATGAAGTTCTGGCATCTGTCTGCTAGCGATCACATCGTTAACTACATAAGGCTGATTGGTTGCTGTTGCATCAGCAGCCAATGAGCTGCGGCTCAACATTTAAATACTGGTAGTGTTGCTGTTAGCAGTGCAGCACGCTTTCAAAAACCATCCACCTTCCCCACCTCCACCTGTATAGATCTGCTATGGGGGTTTATTCATGTATGATATATGTGCAGCAGCAGCATGTCTTACATGCTCACAGCAATGTCTGTGAATGTATAGACCTTATGCACCACCTTAACAAATGTCGACCGGGAATTTTTTTTTACGAGCAGTTCATTCATACCTATGCATGATCGCTGTGAAAATACAAACCGGAAGTCAAAAGACAACGAGTGCAGCACTGAAAAGGGGCGGGGCTACATAAGGTCTATTGGCGGTAGCAAGTCTTGGTACTCGTTCTGCAGCAGTAGCGTAGGAGATCTATTTCGCCAAAACCAAATAAATTACCTTTGGCATAAGCATTACCATGCCAATCCCTCCAAGACTTGTGGGGCTCATATGTCTACTGATCACATGATTCTTTTCTCTAATCTGTGATTTATGGTGGCTTACCTTCGGACCCTCTTTTCCAGGATTACCAGCTGGGCCCCGCAGACCCTGATCCCCCTGTTGATGCCAACATAGACCGTAAGAAGCCAGATCCACAGGACAGACACAAGAATAAGCAGGGGCAAAGACTATTATTTTAACACTTAAAGCTGGAATACACTACACAACTTTATGATATCAAGAGAAAAACTTTCCTTCAAACTGAAGACCATACCGGACATTCTAATAATTCCGAACACAACAAACTCACGCGTAACCGATTAAACAAACATGGATTTGGATCTTACATTAAGATTGAGAGATGAGTGGCGTCGTCAGTTGTTTTGTTTATGCTGAAGTCAAATATTATGTTTTGTTAAACGATTAGTTCACTTTTGAAAAAACTTTTGCTGATAATTTACTCACCCCCATGTCATCCAAGATGTCCATGTCTTTCTTTCCTCAGTCGAAAAGAAATTAAGGTTTTTGATGAAAACATTCCAGGATATTTCTCCATATAATGGACTTACATGGGAACCAGACGGTCCAAGGTCCAAACGACAGTTAATAACAATTTCAGATGCAGCTTCAAATGTCTTTAAACGACACCAGACGACGAATAAGGGTCTTATCATGCGAAACGATCGGTTATTTCAAAACTTATTCCAAAAATGTAACTTTTCTAAGGACAAATGCTAGCCTTGCTCTATTCTGTGAGGAACATTTGTAACGTCACATAATACGTAATTACGTTCAAAAGGTCACGGGCGACGTAGCCAGAAGTACAGAGTCAGAGTGTTTACAAGTTGAACGCACAGGTTGAACGTGCAAACTAACTCAAACGCAGTTTACAAAAAAGGAATTAAAAGGTAAAACAACGATGTCGGACGATTTTGATTCTGTACTTCTGGCTACATCGCCCGTGACCTTTTGAACGCAATTACGTATTACGTGACGTTGCATACGCGCCTCACAGAATAGAGCAAGGCTAGCATTTGTCCTTAGAAAAGTTACATTTTTGGAATAAGTTTTGAAATAACCGATCGTTTCGCATGATAAGACTCTTATTCATCGTCTGGTGTCGTTTAAAGACATTTCAAGCTGCATCTGAAACTGTTATTAACTGTCGTTTGGACCTTGGACCGTCTGGTTCCCATGTAAGTCCATTATATGGAGAAAAATCCTGGAATGTTTTCATCAAAAACCTTAATTTCTTTTCGACTGAGGAAAGAAAGACATGAACATCTTGGATGACATGGGGGTGAGTATATTATCAGCAAAAGTTTTTTTCAAAAGTGAACTAATCCTTTAATGTACTTTTCTGTTCATAGTATTGTTAATGTATTTGTACTGTGTGTTATTACAAAACTAGTAGATGGAGGACCGCCTCATTTTTAGTAGTGAAGCGTCATACACTACGATTTGTTCTAAAATTGCCTCAAGATATCAAACATGTTTTGACATCCTCCAACTAGATGAAATCATATTCTGTAGCCAAAAAAGAGTCTGTGCCCATTATACACTACATAATTGTCTTTGAAATCTGTCAAGTCTGACTGCCCAAACTTTTGGCAACTATTGACTACTCGTCCAGACAGCAAATTGGGGCAAATATCTTAGCTAAAGTCATGTAGTGTATTGTAGCCTTTAGGCCACATTTAACGTATGAATGTCATCACGTTAGAGAACTAAAAAAAAAAAAAAAAAAGAAAGACAAAACAAGCTCATATTGCAAGCAAAACATTTCAAGTTATCGAAATTGTGACGCAGAAAAGGGAAATTAGTTTCCAGATTTGGTATCTAATACAATAACATGCCTGCATTTTTAAGAATGACTTTTGATACTACTTGGGGCTGTTCTAGAGCATTTTTCTTTTCTTTATATAATATACACTGGAATGCAAAAATGTCTGGTGTATTTGTGTCTGCAAAACAAATCATTCATTGCATCAGGCAGACAAGAAGACAGCACTCAGAGCTAGAGAATCTCATGTGGAGGGACAGAATATTAATTAGCGAGGAGATTAAACTGCAGCCGTTTTTACCTTTTCTCCATCCACTCCTGGGATACCCAGAGCTCCAGAGGAACCTTTTTCTCCTTTCTGCCCTGGTAGTCCTGGTACTCTGGTTTGACACACACTGCAGGCATTCTGTCAACAACACATACACAAGCACACACACACACAGTAAGGTAAAGCAGTCCAACTTTCTCTCCTTCTGTTCAGATGAGCTCCGGGTGCAAAGCATTTTAAAATGAAGCTTTCTCCACAAATAAAACAAAAGGATCCATCATTGCATGAAGAAATTTGAGCAGGTAAAATAAAATGTGGATTCATTTGACCTCCATCTCATTATCTGATTCTGTATATTGACTTTAATTGCATATCTGTATAGAATACATGTCTGCTTTCACCAGCTTTCAGAGACACATATGGACGAGCAATCTAGCTTTGCACATTGCTAAAAAGCTAAAGGTCAAACTTAAAAGCAGAGAACTTTATAAAAGGTATGCATTAGGGAAGTACTTTTTTTCTCCCTTAAAGCCCTTTTCCTCCTGATTTTAACCTTGTCAGCCTGATGCATTCAACTCAGTACATTTACCCAATGATACAGAGAAAAACAGGAAAAGCAAAAGTGAATGTGCTTTCAAAAGCGGTTTTAAACTCAAGGGCTAAGCAAGCTACTTTTTTCTCTTCTGCTCTCTTTAAAGAATGTAACTGTATATCCGGGAAGCGGAATCAAAGGTTTACCGTAATGGGTCGCAGTGATTGCGCTGACATTTCACACTGGATGCACTTTTCGCGCATGGCACAAGTGTATCTGAAGGTAGCAATTTACTAGTGCATTAGTCCGACCCGCTCAATAAGTGTAGGACGATCCAGGAAGTGCATTTATATTTGTGTTCTTTGTGCAAGAGTGGCAATTAGCAAAATAGCATGTGACCTGATATAACAGCAGACGTTTAGCAAAAGATTATTCAAAAGATTTTGAGGTAAAGATTTTTGAAGAACATGTAAGAAAAACCTAGCAGAGACATTTATGGATTTGGCTGCAAAAATATGTATCAGAGCTTCATTAAATAATTCATATTTAAGGAATAGTTTAGCCAAAAAAAAAAAAAAAAATGTTGTTAGATGTTCAGAGCTGCTCAATTCCAAAGTGAATGATAATTTATACAGCTAAATGTACAAAATTATTTCTAAAATCATAAAATGTATGTACTTTCATAGAATTTTTATGTTGCTTTTTTGTCCGTTTTTGTTGTTGTTGAAATTAACAATATATACAGTAAATCATCCACATTTGTAATAACAATTTGAAATCTATCTATCTATCTATCTATCTATCTATCTATCTATCTATCTATCTATCTATCTATCTATCTATCTATCTATCTATCTATCATCTATCTATCTATCTATCTATCTATCTATCTATCTATCTATCATCTATCTATCTATCCATACACCCATCCATCCATCCATCCATCCATCCATCCATCCATCCATCCATCTATCTATCTATCTATCTATCTATCTATCTATCTATCTATCTATCTATCTATCTATCTATCTATCTATCTATCTATCTATCTATCTATCTATCTATCTATACACCCACCCACCCATCCACCCACCCACCCACCTATCTATCTATCTATCTATCTATCTATCTATCTATCTATCTATCTATCTATCTATCTATCTATCTATCTATCTATCTATCTATCTATCTATCTATCTATCTATCTATCTATCTATCTATCAATCTATCTATCTATCTATCTATCTATCTATCTATCTATCTATCTATCTATCTATACACCCATCCATCCATCCACCCACCCACCCACCCACCCACCCACCTATCTATCTATCTATCTATCTATCTATCTATCTATCTATCTATCTATCTATCTATCTATCTATCTATCTATCTATCTATCTATCTATCTATCTATCTATCTATCTATCTATCTATCTATCTATACACCCATCCATCCATCCATCCATCCATCCATCCATCCATCCATCCATCCATCCATCCATCCATCCATCTATATATCTATCTATCTATCTATCTATCTATCTATCTATCTATCTATCTATCTATCTATCTATCTATCTATCTATCTATCTATCTATCTATCTATCTATCGTATCTTATATCTTATATCTATCATCTCATCCATCCATCTTCCATCCTAACTACTTCTCTCTGGTATTAAAGGGATAGTTCACTTTGAAATTAATTTTTGATATGTTTAGCTTACCTCAAGGGTAAACAAACTATATAAATACTGTTTTTTTTTTCTCACACAAACCACTCGTTTCGTGTGTGCTTACATAAATGATGTTTAATTTGTACTTCTCTGTGCATGCTCTTTGAGGTGGACCCCTTATACCTCCATTATATGACTGACAGACAAGAACGGTTTGACCTTAAAAATATCAAAATTGAAAATACTGTGGAAACAAAGACACCTACAACTTGGATGCCCTTGAGGTAAGCTAAAACATATCAAAAATTAATTTCACAGTGAACTATCCCTTTAAGATGCATTTTTGTCATTTTTGTCTATTGGATCAAAAGTGGACACTAAATACAGGTGTAATCCCGATCTATCTATCATCCATCAGCTCCAATTTAAACTCTGTAGACAGCAGCCCTGCGCTTGCTTGTTCTTTAAATATTCAAGTATGTTTTGATGCATTTTCTTTTCTTTGTGTTTACATGTAAGCTGGAGATGAACTACAGTACATTAGCTACTGTAAGTAGCTCAATGTGTTGTTGTGGTTGACGGTTCACTCCCAAGAATCTCACTGCGTCAGTATTTCAGCAAATTAGTATTTATCTTGTCAAAAGTGTTTTGTTGCAAAAAGATGAATGCATGATGTCCAGACAGAAACATAAAGAGCAGTGGAGGAGGAAGACAGATCAGAATGTACTTGTACAGTAGGCACAAATTAAAGGGAGTGCGTAGAGTGAACGTTGAAAGAGCTGAATATACAAGAGTTTCAAAGACAGCAATAAACAGCAATAAATAAATAATTTATAAAAGTTACTCGGGTAAAATTGGGAAATAAGTGCACAGGAGGACATACAGTACCTTCAGTAATGTCCCCATGTCTCCCACAATGGGTAGTGCTGTCTGAAAGGGAAACATTATTTAGAACAGCATTAAATACAACATTAACAAACACAAACGCAAAAAATCATTATATTCTCCATGAAGTGCAATGTCAACTATTTTCATTAGCGAACAAAACAGCTGTACTAATAATGCTACGAAATAAAATGTTACGAACCGGTTCTCCGGGAGGTCCAGGCAACCCTGGTCTGCCTTGTGGGCCTGGAGGTCCCTTTCAGATTAGGAAACACATACATGTATGCATTTATAAATATTCAAGGTATTTAAGAATTTTTAAAATAATATAATTCATACATATACTGTAGGGATATACATAGTGAGATATCTCCCCTTTTAACATGATATGCTTACAAAGAATTAAAAGCACTTCTCACCATATTTCCTGGCAATCCAACAGTTCCTGGAGGTCCACGAGGACCCTGTACAAATTACACCGTGATGTTAATTCACTTCCTTTGCTTCATCTTATTCAACACAATCTAGATTCAATCTCTGTGTCTAACTTCTAGAAAAATATACAAAATTCACATGCTTTGTCTACATTCTTGTTACTGAATCCTTTACCTGAATTCCTGTTTCCCCTTTAGATCCCATCAGACCCTATATAAAATAAATAAATAAAGTTATTTCCTATTAATCACTACACTTTTCTCATAATACTATTGTTTTCAGTGTGATATGCATTTACTAAAATGCTAAACTTTAAAGATACTTGGAATGCTTTAATAAAGTTAGGTGCACTGTCCCTTTAAAAGAAGACTATTTAAGTGTTTTTGAAGGACAATAAAGTTCAAATTCAAATCAAACAGGTACTTACAGGGGGTCCCATGATTCCAATCCCAGGTTCTCCTTTCTCTCCAGCATCTCCAGGTACTCCAGGTACACCTCGCTCACCCTGGCAGAGAAAACCCCCCCGAAAAAGTTCATACAGCTAAACTAAATAAACTCGGGTTGAGCGAGTCTGAACAATTATTTTGGTTTAAAATGAATTTGCTTTCACAGCAACACCATACCATCTTCAGCCATTATCTATAATATATTTTAAAATGAAACATTTACATACAGATGCTTACACAGCAGTAAAAAAAATAGATATTTAATGAAATGTTTAGCATTTATGACAGCATGAAATTGGTTTAAAGTAATGTTCTGGGTTCAATACAAGTTAAGATCAATTTTAGTTTGTAACTTGTTTGAACCCGTAAACACATTTCTTCATTGTTCCAAAAATGATAATCTCTGTCAATGATGAACCCAGAACTTTTCTTTAAATTATTCACATCACAATGCTAATAATTCTTACCACACTAATACCAAAAATAAGAAAAAGTGGACTAAAAGACATAGCCAGTGTTGGGGAAGCTACTCTGAAACTGTAGTTTGACAAGCTACAAGCTACTCGTAAGTTAAAGTAGTTAAACTACAGTCAAGCTACTCTTTTGGAAAAGTAGTTAGCTACACTACAAGTTACTATCAAAAAGTAGCTAGCTACATTGAAACTACTTTTGCTTTTTTGAACAACGTATTATTAATAACTGAATAAGTGTCTGAGGACAGAAGGGGACAACAATACTTTTTTAAATCATAATTTTATTGCATTGTTTTAAACACTAAAACAATGCAATAAAATTATGATTTCAAAAACTATTGTTTTATTACACACAACACCCAAATATCTCAGATTGTTTGTCAAAAGTGCAAAATTGTAACCAATAGGCTACAACATTGCAAGAAAAAAATATACATCCAACGTAAATTGCATGTAGAACATTTTCTCAAAAATACCGATTGAACTTGGACAAATAAGGCCATGGGTAATTAACGTTAGTTGTTTCTCCATCCTCCAAATCTGCTGTCACATCTTGCCACATCTCATCTCGTCAGTGAACTGTTAGCCGCAGATGTGTGATTAAACAACAGGTAGCGGTGATGGCAAAAAAATGAGTTTGTAATCTAACAAGAAGAAGAATATCCTAGCAGCGCGCTGATTCGCGCAGGCTCGACAAACACAATGTAGCTTTTGCTCGAGCTACACCGCTACTTGCTGCAAAAAGTAGTTAGCTACTGGAAAAGCTACACTGTTTAAAAAGCAACTGAGCTACTGCCAAGCTACTCAAAAATGTAGTTAAGTTAGTAGCTTCGCTACTTGTAGTTAACTACTCCCCAACACTGGACATAGCAAAGCACAGCACAGGGTAATTTGACTGATATGAACTCTGGGGCTGTTACTTTGCAGATAAACTTAACAAGCGCAAAATTGAATCCTAAAAAAAAAAAAAAAAAAAAAAAATCTTCACAGTAACCAACCTTAGGACCCCGTGACCCCCGTGGACCAGACACGGCCTCCTCCTAGAGCAAAGCAAGAGATAAAATACAAACTCAAATGAATACCATGTTCTTAGAACTTACATAAGATTCTATTTCAGACAGATAAATAGACAAAAGTGAGGAATTGGGAAACTTTTATTGAAATTGTTATCTGTAAAATCTCTCTCTCTCTCTGTCTCTCTCTAAAATTATTCTAAAAGTACTCTCTCTACAGTATTCTAAAACATAAGAGTTACTATCAGGCTACTAATCAAACTATTTTTTCTAAACCACTTCAAATTAGTTGCTTATAGCTTGACAAGATTGTAAAGTAGTTTTCTCAACATTGCTAAATGTTGCATGGCCTTGATTTGACAGCAAATTTTTAATTGTTTTTCTCAGTGTGATACTGTAGGTGCTGACAGTACAAAAGAGTTACAGTAAGCATTATTTGCTACACACCACTGATGGAAAATTGATTTTTGTGGTCAGCAAGAATTAGATTAGCAAGTAGTTTTCGCATTGCAGACATTTTGCATCCCGTGAATTGGTAATACAGGATACTAAAGTATAGTGAACTGATTAAATAAATATAGTAAGTTCTTTTAAAGGGATACTCCACTTTTTTTGTAAATAGGCTCATTTGACCACTCCCCCAAAGTTAAACAGTTGAGATTTGCCGTTTTTGAATGTATTCATCCGATTTTCTGATATTTAGAAGAATATCAGTAACCAGACAGTTTCTGGTCTCATTGACTTCCATATTAGGACAAAAAATATACTATGGAAGTCAATGAGACCAGAAACTGTCTGGTTACTGATATTCTTCTAAATAGGTAAAAACCCAACTGTTCAACTCTGGGGGAGTTGTAAAATGGAGAAAAAAAGTGGAGTATCCCTTTAAGAAGTGGGCTGAAATGGAAAAGTGAAAAGTATTAATAATAATATAAACATCCACTTTCACAATCCATTTAGTTCAAATGGATCAAGTTAAAAAAAAATTAGACCAGGTGCAGAAAGAGACCAGGAATGAGTATTAAACTGTGAATAGTGTTAGTTTTGATTTCATTCGTTCACTCTTATCCACTAAAACAGAAATGATGAGGGTGGCTGCTGACTTCATTCTATATTGATTTCAGACCAACAAACCATCATTCATCTGATCAACAAGTGCTCTGTCTGCCCACCACCCATCTGTCCATATGCTTTGTGCTGGATGTATTGCCACCGTTACAGTTAATATTTTAGAGGAGTTTATCTCCTTCTCTCGCAAACACACCTCATTTCTTAGATCAGATTCCAGCTGGCATCTAACTAGCATGAAAACTGTGAACTCAAATCTGTCGATTGACCTTTTTCGCATTTCCAGGTTCCAGAAGCTGAAGTCGTCATGGTTGGGTCGTCAAAAATCTAAAGCGGTGAATGTGAGGGACTACATTAAATGTACTTTTTTTATTTCCATTTGCTCAAATAGCAAAAGAAATTATCCATAAATGTTTTTTTTTTAAAAGAGGAAAAAGATATAGAGAGATTGATAACGGCAGTCGGAGGAGACAAAGGTCAATAACCTGTCGCTCACATGAGATCGACCAATAGCAAACCACAACCATCCAATCAATACCCAATCCAGTCATACTTTGATTTCACTTGGATATACGTCACAATAGGGAAGGAAAGTTGATCATAACTTCTATATATCTTTAAATAGTGATGATCGTACTACATCACAAACTATAAATGTGACTCTATAACATTCTAGAATCTATCTTTCTGACATGTTGTCTCCCAGTGTCCCAAGTTTAAATTGAAAATTGCAAATTATTGCGAATTGAAAATACGCCAATTTCGCGAAAACTCCCATATATATCGCAAAAAATTTTCTACACTCGCATGAGGTGGTTTTTCAGGCTATTTGAAAAAGGAATATCTGCAAAGCTGCAATAGAAGCAGTTTTTCCAATTTACAGGTCATCTGGCGTACGTAAAAGTTGTTCATTCTTTAAAGATGGCGCGGTATGTTTTGACAGAAGACGAGACAAGGTTCTTTACTCATAAAAGACAAAAGACTTACAAGAATACTGGATTCTAAACAACAAAGAAATGCCACAATTTATCAAGACCTTGAAACAGATACGTAGAAGGGAGAAACACCCAGAACACCTCATACGTGGCTGGTACCAAGTATAAGGGACTTCCTTGTCATTGATCATTGGATAACACACCAATGTATCCATTGATTAAAAAAGGGCTAGCGCGATGGCTATCAACATCCTTTGAAATGATTTTCGGAATGACTTATCGCAAGAGGAAAAAAATATGTTTTTGTCGCATCACATTGGTTAATGGAAACGCTATAAATAGTTAAAATAAAAATATCGCGAAAGTTTATGTAATTGAAAACCTGTAATTTTTCAATTAAACCTGTAAAAATCACAAAACTGTAATTGAAATGCGACTAGTGTTGAGATCTCTTCTAAAACTCTAGATAAAAACTCTAGAGATTTGTAGCTTTCTTTCCAGTCTGAGAAAACCAAGAAGCCATAGGGGAGCGCGGGGCACAACCTAACGCGGGGTTAAATGTAACACGGACTTTTTACATAGTTAGTCAGGACCAAGCAGGTTGTCTTTCCGCTCTTGTTCTCTTGCTGCCAGAAGACGGTCTCCCGCGAATTTGCGGAACGTTTTGATAATATTTCGTGAAGATACTGGACAAAGAGTGTTTTGACACCATGCAAGTACATTTTTTCATCATAGATTTTGTTTTGGTTTCTGAGTTGGGTGTATACGTTTCCAAATCTAACTTTATATTGCCTTAATCACTGTCTTGTTTGCTCAAACATAGCACCGTTTTGAAACATGTCAGCTATTCCTAGCGACTGTTAGCTAGGCTTAAAATATTTAATACACAGCGGGGTTAGTAAGTGTACAACGATCAAATTAAATGAAAACAGGGAGCCACACAACTTTTCAGGTTTGAGTATTTATAGATTAAACTTTGTTGGACAGAGTTGTAGTACTCGAGACTCGGACTCGAGACCATATTTTAATGGTCTTGGTCTTGTCATGGACTCGTGTCCATTTGGACTCGGAATTGACTCGTACTCGAACATTTTTTTTTTTTAGGACTTGGAATTATTCCCGAGTCCACTCGAGTTCAATTATAAATATTTTTCATGATTATTAATGTATGTTAATAAAATATTTCTTTAAATTGATTGACACGCCCAGTGATTGGTGATTTTCTAGTGCGCAACTGCGCATGAAAAATTGTAATAAAATTACTTTTAACACCACCTACTATGTGGCCTTTTTACCCTAAACTGATCATATTTTTTTAAAGTCTAAGTAAATTCAGTAAAAAAAAAAAAAGATTTCTCTAAGTAAATAAAAGTAAATTAGGTAATCAACCCTCACTGGTCTCGGTCTCGACTCGGACTCGACCGTCTCTAGTCTCGGACTCGACTCGGACTCGACTCTCTATGGACTCGGTCTTGACTCGGACTCGACTCTCTCTGGTCTCGGTGTCGACTCGGACTCAAGTGAGGTGGTCTCGACTACAACACTGTTGTTGGACTTTCACAAACAATGTTGGAATTTAAAATGTTTAAAATTTTGTTTACTATGCATTTGTTTATTTATTTAAAATATGGCCTGTTTTTAATACAATAAACTTTTTAAATTTTCATTTTAAGCTCATTTGTATTACTATTACTGTTATTAATAATAATAATTTTACATGCAGCTGTTACACACAAATCTAATTTAATTGCAATTACAATATTTTATGATTTTTTTTATTATTATTTATTTTAAAACTGTGCAGCCCTTTTCTGTCTCTATCCATGATATTGATACACACACAAAAAAATGATGATTGGATGAGGGATGGATGTATGGATATCTGTCTATACAGATGCACAAACAATATCAAACTATACAAATAAAATTGGACTGAATTATGTGTGTTACACACAAGTGTTACAACTAACCCCTCTATCCGTTACAATTAACCCCGCATATGGGGTAAGTTGTAACATTTGCACTTCTGTCACTTTCAGTGCAACTGTACGAAAATGGTAGGTCCTAGAATAAAACTTTAAGTGTTCATTTATAGCAGAAATGTGTATGTTGCTTGTATAAAATAAAAAAAAAGTTAATCTAACTTAATAATTTTTTTTAATATTGACCCAAAACCAAAATGTGTTAGGTTGTGCCCCGCTCTCCCCTACTGTTGTGATGACTGTCTTTTCATGTTTAGCAGTTCCCTGTCATGTTTATTAGTCTCCCCAGGTGTTTCAGATTAGCCACGCCCCTTTGTTATCTTGTTTACCTTGTTTGGCCTTGCATTTAAACTTTGTGTTTTAGTCCAGACTTTATGAGTTCTTGTGTTGTCACGGTCGATGTTGGTTGCACTGCTTCTGAGTCTTTGTATGGATTTCAGTTGAATTGAACAAAGTGAATAAAGTTTCAATTGAATAAAGTGTGCTGTGTGCGGATCCTGCTTCCTCCTCGTTTCTACCGCATTGTGACACATGTGCTGTCATTTAATCTCACAAGTGTCTAAGAAAACCAACTGAACAATTCAACAGATCTGATTGGTGTTTTCTCTCTCTCACGGCTTGGACAGGTGACCGGTGTACCATTAGGACAGTTTTACCAAAGCGGTGTTTAAGCATGAACAACATTTTTCTTGTCATAGCTGCAAACAAGGCTGTCATCAATAACCCTGGCTGCTGGCGGACCAAGAATGTGCTCGCACTAGCTGTCGGATATATTAAGGCATATTTATGTCATTGTCAGTGTGCCTGAGCTGTCATCGACGCGGTGGGATGTTGGATAAGTGTCGGATGATATTCTGTTTGTGTCTATAACTATAAGAGGTGATGAAAGACAAGATATTGAGTGGGGAACATGCAGGTGAAGTGAAAAAGAAACACAAGGATGGTGTTGTGTAATTACCCCAGTGCAAAGTCCGACAGAGCAGGGCTCTCCAGGTTCACCCTTCAGGCCCTGGGGGCCGATCGGTCCCGGTGCTCCGCCTGAATCACCCTGCAAACACACACCGACAGCTGGCATTTAGAGACGCCACCACCTCCGGTTTGTCACTTGACAGGTTGAGGAGCACCGCACAAATGCACACACATACGCGCTTCACGCGCACATACAAAAACAAGAGCTGGACTTAAATATCACAGACATCTGGGGCAAATGCCACCAACATAGAATCACTTCATGGAGATTTAGAGGCTAAAAAAGCTCACTATACATCTACTACGATGAACTCTCACATTATTAAAAACGCTGTAATGATTGTTAGATATTGAAAGCATTTTCGCCAGTCGACTTTCTCACAATAGCTTTCATTTTTGTGGTCGGAGCTAAAAAGAATGAATCAAACATATTATTATTAGAGGGAAATTAAATGCACTTAAGGCCCCTTCCTGCTATAATACAATAGCTTAGTGTACTTAGTATACAGTAATGATAAAATAAAATGTAATAAAAAAAGGTAACACTTTACTTAAAGGGGACATGACACCTTCATAAACATATGACTTGAATATGAAGTAGGGTTTATGCATGTTTATGACAACTGTCATTAAGTGTCATTCGCTCAGTGATGACATTTTGAATGCAAATATGACATTGTTTAAGATGTCTTTGTTATGACATCTTGACATAAACCATAACAGCATAACCTGTCAGTGTCTTTGTCATGACAACTTGACATAAAATGAAGTTAAACTGTCATGTGGTTGGCTTTGACATTGGCTGTCATGAGGCCATTATAACTGTCATGAACATTTTTCGTGACCTCAACTACAGTGGTACTAATTGAATTTTTCATTAAAGAGTTATAATGGCTTCATGACAGCCAACGTCAAAACCAACCACAGACAGTTTAATTTAATGTTAACCAATAAAGCTTGGTGGTTTCTTAAGTTTGATAATTAATCTGCTATGTCATGTTTATGACAGATTGTGTTGTCTTAGTAATGCCAAGCTGTCATGACAGACACTGACAGGTTATGATGTATTGGTTTATGTCAAGGTCTCATAAAGTATTTGCATAACATAATATTTGCATTCAAAATGCCATAACACAGAGAATTAGACTTAATGACAGTTGTCACAAACATGCATAAAACTTCCTTCATATTCATAATATATGTCATGTCATGATTATGAAGGTGTCATGTTAGTCTTATGCACAACCCTTCAAGTAAAGTGTCACAGTAAATAAATAATATAACATTACATATTTTTTCAGCAACTGAAATATAATAACATATAATAATAAACAACTTAAGTTCAAAAAGTTGTCTTGGCAATTAACTGAAATAAATACGTGTGAGTTGAAGTACTAAAATAACAAACTAAACGTAAAATAAAAAAGACAAAAACAACAAAAGCATATCAAATCATTAAAACTTAAAAAAAAAAAAAAATCAAAGAAAAAAAAATAATATAGACCATTCAGAAGAATAATACATAACAGTATACTATAATAGTCTATAAATTATCCAAAAAATAAATAATACTGATGCACGATAGCTTTAGTGGAAGACTGACCTACCAAAAAAGACATTTTGCATAATCACTCATTTTAATTATAATCGTCATTATTACGTCCTCAGGTTCTGTCACTAAAAGATGGGAGAATTAAATACATTTGCCATCCCTTAGTTCTTTAAACCATCTGAGGATCAATTTTGGTATAGGCCTTCAGATCAGAGGTAGTAGTGTACTTTAGACTGGATATCCAGTTTCATTACGCTTTCCCGTATCTCTATACACAATGCATTTTGACTTCCCAAGAACCCCAATAAATCACAAACATAAAGCAATTGAGATACCTCAAGTAACAAGCTATTCCTACAGCTTTTTATCCACTTACAGCTGGTGCAAACTGTCGAAATGCACAAGCAAAGCAGCTCAGTGAAGCCTAAAGTGAACATGACCCTGTGCTTGCAGAAACATGGAAAAGATCACACTAGAAACATGTGGCCTCAGTCACGGTGTACTTCCAAACGGTACCTTTTCTCCTTTCATTCCATCTTTTCCCGACAGACCTGGCTGACCGGGAGAGCCCTGAAAACAAAACAAAAAAACAGGAGTGATAAGACACATGCAGCTTTAGCAGTTCCTTCTTTTTCATTTTGGGTTTGATCCCCAACACCCCCCATCCCTGTGTCCCCATCTTTTTTGGAATAAAGGCAGATGCTTGTTAGCAGAAGCAGGTGTCGAGAACAGATTGTGATGCTGATGCTGTTTCTTCCCACACGTAGAGAACTCAGATGCACCCGTCCCTGAAAATTAATTTTTAGATTACTGATTGATTACTGATTGTCTGCGCAACAATTTACAGCTCTGCATCCTCGTTTTTCACGCCTCTGTTATTTATATGTGCATTGTCTTTTTCTGTGAGTGAGTGCGAGTGGGAAAAACTAAAAGTGTCTGCCCATACAAAATTCCCTGTTATTACGCTAAGACATTGTGCGTGATTGCGAGAGCCTTGCAATGCGGTTGCTTAGATATTCTGAGAGGTGTTTAGTGCGCTGCTATGTGATTGCTGGGGTTTTCTATGTTCATCCCTAAGTCTCTACACTCTTAAAAAGCCTCTTTATTGAAATATGGTTGAATGAAGAACCTTTAAACTTCAACTTAGCTCCAACTTCAAATAAATACACCTGAACCAGGTAATCAGTCTTACTAACTAGGTCCTATGATGACGTATTTACCAGTGTGAGGGCGGGACAACCTGCCACTCACATAAGATCAAAGCAATAGCATGGCACGCGTGACCTCACGGCTAGTGCAAGATGAGCTTTTTTGGTTTAAAAAGTATATCAGTTGATTATTTTTTTTATAGAAAATGACTGATGGTTTAGCTATAAGACCTTTATTCCTCGGCTGGGCTCGTGTAGAGAGTATTTTCTTCCACTTTTACAGAAGTTAGCAAAAAAAAAAAAAAACATGCATGAACATTAAAAGATATCAAAATGTATCATGTAGTCGCTCAATCTGTCTTTTAACCACATAAATACCTCATAAAACAACTTGTGAACAAGGTGTCACTTAACATTGCATTTACCCCAGGAAAGTTTTCCAGTGTTCACAGTTTGTTAGTGAGCAATATTTTTTTTTAAACACTAGACTGCAAATCAGTAATATACAAACATTTTAGTTTTTATTTGAGTGTAATTATTATATCTGAAAAATAAATAGCAGTTGACTATAATAGTTTGGGCTCCGTTGATACGTTTAATATAATATTATAGTAATGTACCAAATGAGAGGGTTCCCTGTATAGTTTATTTGTTGTTTTCCCCTAAAGAAAATCAAAATATCAGTATCAGCGCAGAAATGCAGAAATTCGGTGCATGTAAAAAAAAAAAAAAAGGTTCTTAAATGGCTTCTCAAACCTTTAGTTTTAAGATTGTGTATTCTGGTCCCAAAATGTTTCAAGTTACCCCATTGAAGCTATTGATATGCATTTTACAAGGCATTGCGGGACAAGTTGAGACGCTAGTTGTTTCCTGCTTACCGGGTCTCCTGGAAGACCACGGAGGCCAATGGGACCAGGCTGACCCTCTTTTCCCTGTAAGAACACACACAAAAAAACATGTTAAGATCTTTCCATAAGAGCAAGTATGAGATCAAATGAAAAACTCTTGCTTCAAGTACTCTGATTTTGTACCATCTGGGAAAATTGAAATATTTTGACTGCTGTTCTTAGAGGCCCTTTTCTATGCCCTAAACTAAAATGAAGGCCACAATCAGCTGCTTTTTGTAACCGAACCCATTTAACCCAGCAAGAACTCTTTAGAAAGCTTTTGGCACTAGCCAGTAAACCAGCGAGATCATTGCAGAGCTGCTCTCTTATTGAAAAGGTCAACAATAATTCCATCATAATAAATGTAGAACAACTTTAGAGTTCTTTCTGTCTTGATCAAAACACATGGAAGGTTTGTTACAATGGAAGGTTTAGAGAGACAGGAGGTTCATACCTCAAGTCCTGGTGTCCCCGGCAGTCCAGGCAATCCACTAATGCCCTTTGTGAGTTGAAGGAAAGAAGAAAAAAAAATACAGTGAGAAAAGGAGAGTAAGAAAGCGAGACATCTATCTTTCTCTAAAAATTGTGCCATTTACAAGAACATTTCGGAATAGATATTATAATGAAAGCAAAGGGAAAGATTCTGCATTGCAGAAAAAAAGAAATAACAGACAACGAGGGCACTGGGTGACAAATTAATTTCTATAAAACTACATTTCGATAGACGATTTTTTACTTTATTTTGCATTACACATTAAAGGGTTAGTTCACCCAAAAAAATGAAAATTAAGTCATTAATTACTCACCCCCATGCTGTTCCAACCCCGTAAGACCTTCGTTCATCTTCGGAACACAAATAAAGATATTTTTGATTTAATCTGAGGGCTGGATCACTCTTCCATTGGCTTCCTAAGGGACTGGCTCTTGACGGCCCATAAAGTCATTAAAGAAAAGGTTTAAATATTCCATGTGCCTACAGCGGCTCAATTATAAGTTTATCAAGCGACGAGACTACTTTTTGTGCGAAAAAAACATAAATAACGACTTTATTCCACTATTCCATTACTTCCTTATGGGCGCATGCGCGAGAACTGAGACGAGGACGTTCTCATTCGTCTACTTCTTGTTACCGGCTGCTCACCGCTTAGGAGTTTTACCGCCACCTACCGTATAAAATTATGATCCATATATAAGGCGCTCCGGATTATAAGGAACACTGTCGTTTTTTGAGAAGATTAAAGGCTTTTAAGTGCGCCTTATAGTGCGGAAAATACGCTAATTGAAAAGCGTATGTACAGCGCGCATCTTCCTCTGCTTGTAAACAGAAAGTTTTGCGCTTCCAGCTATATCAGCACATCATCTTATACGGTAGGTGGCGGTAAAACTCCTAAGCGGTGAGCAGCCGGTAACAAGAAGTAGATGAATGAGAACGTCCTCGTCTCAGTTCTCGCGCATGCGCCCATAAGGAAGTAATGGAATAGTGGAATTAAGTCGTTATTTATGTTTTTTTCGCACAAAAAGTAGTCTCGTCGCTTGATAAACTTATAATTGAGCCGCTGTAGGCACATGGAATATTTAAACCTTTTCTTTAATGACTTTATGGGCCGTCAAGAGCCAGTCCCTTAGGCAGTCTATGTAGGACTGATCTAGCTCTCAGATTCAATCAAAAATATCTTTATTTGAAGAGTTCAGATGCAAAAGCCTCTAAGTGCCATTTGAAATTTTCTTGTAGAATGATCATTTTTATCAAGCTTGTATATTTAAGTTCAGTGATTTCACTTAAATGGCAATGATAATTACCTATTAATTGTTTTTTAAGTGAAATTACTGAACTTAAATATACAAGTTTGATAAAAATCATCTTTAAAGAAGAAAATTTCAAATGGCATTTAGAGGCTTTTGCATCTGAACTCTTCATTTGTGTTCCGAAGATGAACGAAGGTCTTACGGGGTTGGTACAGCATGGGGGTGAGTAATTAATGACTTAATTTTCATTTTTGGGTGAACTAACCCTTTAATAAAGACAGTTTAACGTTTCATTTCTCACTAATTTAATTTCTCACATAATTTCTCACTAACAATGCTGACTGCTTTACGATCTGTTCCCCGGATGTGCATCATACCAAACATTGCACAACATTTGGTCACACTTTATTTTAAGGTGTCCGTGTTACTGTTTAATTAAGTACTAAGCATTAATAATTAACTATGTACTTACTATAGGGTTAGGAATAGGTTTCAGTTTCGGGTTAGTTTCATGTAATTATGCATACTTTATAGACCTTATGTAGCCCCGCCCCTTTTCAGCATTGCGCTCGTTGTGTTTTGACTTCTGGTCTGTATTTTCACAGCGATCCTGCATAGGTATGAATGAACTGCTCGTAAAAAAAATTCCCGGTCGACATTTGTTAAATGCTTATGATAAACATTACAATGCTCTTGATAACTTTTGTTAACTCTACAATAAGTAAATCCACTTCACCAGCTAATTACTCCTTGACAGCGATGCCATAGAAATATACAGAGCGACCGCAAAAACGGAAGTTCAAAGACAATTTTCTAAAGATGACGGCGCCCACGTTTCTCTGGTGCATAAGGTCTATAGTTATTGCAGGCTATATTTACCTGTAGCCCTTGAGAGCCTTCAGAACCTTTTTCACCCTGGTGAAAAAAGAGAAAATGCTGAACGCAATGCATGAAAGATTTTACAAAAGAGACTTTCAAGGTCGAAAAATACATCAAAACATCTGACAGATCAAAGAGAAAGCCGGACTGATCGTTTTGATTGGCTGTCCATTGCATTGATTAAAATGCAGCTTTTATTTGTTTCTTGTTTTGGGGGAGACAAGACTTTAAACACCATCCGGCAGTAGTTAAACCTTTTAATGATCTTACAAACTGTTGTGGATGCATAACAAATGATGTTAATGTGCGGCTAACCTGGTCTCCTTTCTCTCCTTTCTGGCCTTTATCACCTCCTTCCCCCTCATAGATTAAAGAGAGCGGAAACAAACGAATGCATAAAGGTTATTAACGGAAGAAATGCTTGATTATATTTCCAAAGTACACAGCAGGAGGGAGATTGTTTACAATAATTGGCATGGCATGCTATCACATGACTAAAAATAATTTCGAAATGCACTGCACTTGTAAATTTCGTGCAAGTTTTTAGGTAACATTAACTTTATTTTCACTATTATACAGTTTTCTGCCTTTACACAAATAACATAAAATAAAAAATATATACTTTTTACGATAAAAATAATATTATAATTATAAATTCAAATTACATGTAACAAATATACAAAAAAATAAAATGGTAACACTTTACTTGAAGCAGTGTTCATAAGACTGACATGACACCTTCATAACCATGACATGACATATGACTTAACTGTCATTAAGTGTTTTTTGCTCAATAATGACATTTTGAATGCAAATATGACATTGTTTAAGATGTCTTTATGACATCTTGACATAAACCATAACATCATAACCTGTCAGTGTCTTTGTCATGACAACTTGACATAAAATGAAGTTAAACTGTCATGTGGTTGGCTTTGACATTGGCTGTCATGAGGCCATTATAACTGTGTCATGAATATTTTTCGTGAGCTCAACTACAGTGGTACTAATCGAATTTGTCATAAAAAAGTTATAATGGCTTCATGACAGCCAATGTCAAAACCAACCACCTGAAAGTTTAATGTAATGTTAACCCATAAAGCTAGGTGGTTTCTTAAGTTTGATAATTAATCTGCTATGTCATGTTTATAGCAGGTTGTGTTGTCTTAGTAATGTCAAGATGTCATGACAAAGACACTGACAGGTTATGATGTATTGGTTTATGTCAAAGTGTCATAACAAAGACATCTCAAACAATGACATATTCGCATTAAAAATGTTTGACAGTTGTCAAAAACATGCATAAAACTTCCTTCATATTCATAACATATGTCATGTCATGATTATGAAGGTGTCATGTTAGTCTTAAGCACATCCCTTCAAGTAAAGTGTTACCCAAAAATTTAGCATTTTACTAGTGAAGAAGACAATATTACACGTCTGAGTTAAGGCTGCTCAAATTTCTGTTTGACGATCCTGAAGAAATAATGCCGCTCTGACCCACTTCACCCCCAGTATCAACGTTTACAGTTATAATTGCTATGCAAATGCATTTATGCCACCCCTGAGCATCATTAAACATTCAGTGTAAATGCCATTTCAGACTTTGCTGTGTACATTGTAAAAAGCCTAACATCAAACTTACAGTTCCAGAAAGAAGTCTTAGTCCATGTGCTGTGATGACCTGTATAAAGAAAAAAGATGATCTTTAATATTGATGTCAACTTATGCTGTTGCAGAAAACCATCACGACAGTAAGCACATGTGCTAGAATGAACCCATCGCTTGTGATTTAATGTTTTCTCACGCTCTGCTCTTAGATCTCAGTTTAGAGAAAACCTCAACATCTCCACACAAGAATAAAACAGAAGCTTCCTCTCTCTCTGTCCGGATGGCCTCTATGTGAGAGATTAACATTAATCCAGGGCTTATGACATTTAAAATGCCAAGAGCCTTTTACTGCTACAAGAACCTCGAGAAATACAGACCCTCTTCAAGGCACATTGAGGTGAATTCTGAATCTGCTTTATGACTTTCCATTTACCCATTAACTACCAGTGCTCAGCAGGGTTTAGTAGCCTGTCAATCATTCTGACGGCTTTCAGTCAACAGTGAAAGACAGATCGTTTCGTTGGATGTATCTGCGGATTCATCTACTGTCTTTCATGCGGTGTAAAACAATCCATGAATAAAGATGAAACAACAGGAGGCCGGATGTAACTTCAAGACAAAGTTGGTCTAGGGAACAAAATGGAGATTGTTTTCTTGTTCATTGTGAGGAATAAAAGCATGCAAAATATAGCTCTGCACCAAACCTATAGTGAGATTATATAGTGAGACAAACCAAGAGAGTGTTGCACGACCATTCAATAGTATAACTGGGTTTCTAACAATTGGAAGCTTAATGCAAATGGGTGGAGTGTCCCTTTAAGGATAAAAGTGATACCGCCTTGAATTATACCAAAATTACAGCATCTTAGAAAGCAGATTATTTTTGCAATTGCTTGGACCTGCATCAGCAGTGAAATTAATTTATGTATAGGTAGGCAGCTCACAAGCTTTAAAAAAAGAGCTTTGATGTGCAATACATCATCATAAAACAAGTGAAATAAATAAATAAATAAATAAATACATTGAACTCAGATGAGCACAACCCTACGCTGACTTGCTCTAGTCTGAGCTCAGAAAAAACAGCTAATTACCATTTAACAAGAATGTAATTAAAATCTTGAAATAGGATTTAGGTTACAGTTGTTCAAAGATATTTTTTTTTCTCCTTGGACAGAAAAAAAAAAACATTAATTACACATCCTTAATTAAAAGAGAACTAGCTCTAAACAACACACTCCATTCAGAGCCAGTTACAATCAAATTACGAACTAAAGAGGAAACCATAAGAGAATAATCAAACCCTTAAAAGCCGGTTCATATTTGAGTCACCCATCATCGTAATTAGCCGTTTCAGAACAGGAGAAACAACAAAGACAAGATTCTGTAGTCTTCCTCAATCTTTGTAAATTGGTTCAAAAGGGCCACAGTCATCTCGCTTTTCCCATTTAGCTAGAGATTCACACAGCAGGCAGCATCAATTGATTTTGTGCCCTGCTGTCAAATCGCACCTCTCGTCTCCCCCCTTTGATTTAATTGACACTGCCGATGCTGTTCCAAACCTGCAAATGTCTCGATAAGTGCGACAAAAAAGCTTTCGGCTTCCCAGCTCTCAAAGTTTTTCTTATTACTGGCCAGTCAAGATGAAGCCGATGAACAGTGCTGCATTGATGCAGTAAACTCTCCACTGTCTGTATTAGGAAGAAATGTTGGTGCTGGTAGTTCATTTCAACTTGGATGAACATAAAAATACAGAATGAACAAGAAATAAAGATCCTAAATCACGTTTTCATGGGGACGCGTCTTCCCGGGTGTATACAAGTGAGCGAATTGTTCTTATCGGTCATGTGTCTTTTCAAATAAGCATTGAAGTTCAAATTAAATTGAATTTAGTTTGGAAATTAAAGGGTTAGTTCACCCAAAAATGAAAACTATGTCATTAATGACTCACCCTCATGTCGTTCCAAGCCCGTAAGACCTCCGTTCATTTTGTATGAAAAAATATATACAGTATACTGTCCTTGTCCAGAAAGGAAATAAAGACATCATCAAAGTAGTCCATGTGACATCAGTGGGTTAGTTGTTTTGAATTATCAAAAAAACATTTTGGTCCAAAAATAACAAAAACTACAACTTTTTTCAGCATTGTATTGTCTTCCAGTTCTGTTGTCAACAGAACCGTGAGATTTCGCTTAGTGTATATTACACAAAGCTTCTGTGTTGCACGTCACACATAGGCTCACTATTGGCCGAACTGGTCATGTGTGTGATGCATGTGACATACAACCTAGAAGCTTTGCGAAGTTTTACTATGTGCCAACAGAGAAGGAAATGAATAGTTGAATAAAGTCGTTATTTTGTTCGTTTTTTGCTCACAAAAATGTATTCTTGTTGCTTGATAAATTTAGGATTGAGCCACTGAAGTCACTCTTACTATTTTAACAATGTCTTTCATAACTTTTGGGTCAGACAGTTTAGATCCCTTAAGAAGCCTATGGAGGAGTGATCCAGCTCTCAGATATATAATATAATATCTTAATTCGTGTTCTGAAGATGAATTAAAGTCTTACGGGGTTGGAACAACATGAGAATAATTACTGACAGAATTTGAATTTTTGGTAAACTAACCCTTTTAGCATTGAACGCAACAGGGTTCCTTTTAGAGAATGGTGGTCATTTATGTGGTCTTTTAATTAAACATATGTAAGAAAATGTGAATTTATTAAGCAGAATATACAGGAAATTGATAATCGAGTTACTAAAATATCTGCATTTTAACATATGCTACTGTTCAAAGTTTGGTGTCAGAGTTTTTTTTTTGTTTGTTTGTTTTTCATTCACCAAGGTTGCACTAAATTGATCAAAAGTGAGAGTAAAAACATTTTTTTTTTACAAAAAATAGATATATTTCATATAAATGCTGTTCTTTTAAACTTTCTATAATCAAGGAATCTTGAAAAACGTTTGAACGGTAGTACAAATAAACATTTGTTTACACCATGTTCGTACTCATAACATTTTCTACCAATGATAGTTTAAAATGTACGGAGCCCTTAAAGAGACATGGTGAAGGAAAAAAATGGGAGTCGGGAGATAATACAATAATAGATATTCGAAAATGCGTTCCATCGCAAAACTTTTGCGCTCCACCGAGAAACTTTGCTTTTCCTTGCAAAATTTTTACAATCATTTTAGAAACTTTGCGTTCCATCCCAAAACTTTTGCATGAACCCTGAACAAAATTGCATTTCCCACACAAATTTTGCATTCCCTTCTAAAACTTGCCGCACTACTTCTGCTATGCACAGCTGCGTTTATACCACAGCTAGGCAGGCTGCATCGGCACTACAATCGATGGTCGTACTGCAGATCGTCCAAGCCGATCTTCTCTGAAAACTGGATGAGGAAGGACCGGAAGCTATCAGCATGCCGGATTTAAGTAGAACAACGGACCTGGCTGTTCGCGCGGCAAAACCTGCAGCACAGGCCATTGGCCGAAACATGGCTTTTCTCACCATTGCTGAGAAACATCTATGGCTGACGCTATCTGAGATACCGGACTCCGCGCGCTCCGTGTTCCTTGACACGCCCATCTCCCCAGCTGGCCTCTTTGGATCATCCATCAAAGATTTACAGGATAGATTCGCTGAGGTTCAGAAGATGTCACAGGCTATGGAGCACATCTTACCAAAGCGCTCTAGCTTCGCAGCAGGTCGCCCAAAACAGCCGTCTGCTTGAAGCTCCCAGCCACAGCCTCTGGCCGCCGCCAAGCCTGGGACAAGAGACCACGCTCTCGCTCTGCTGGAAACCACCCCCATCCGTGTGGGTGCCGGCCAAAGATTGAGATAATGAGATAAAAATGCCCATGACAGCACAGCCCACCACAGTACAGGGCTCGCACAAATAAAATAGACTCACTATCCAGTGCCCACAAACACTACACTCTGCATGTCCCACGATTTCTGTAAAAAAGAAACCAATACACAATCAGCTCAGGCCGACGTTGTTTTCAGTGCAGTAAATGCGCCCACTGTCCCGTCCCCACATTCACTCACAGACATGTTAAGCCCCACAGGGTTTTCCCCGCTCGCTTTCTCTCAGCAAACTGCCAAAAGGGAGTCGAGCATGGCCAGGCTGCCAGCCTTGATCGGCGTGCCCACCACCTCAAATGCTGCAAGCACTTAGCATTCATTTTACAGCACATTGAAGCTCTCTGGTTGCCACTATATTGCGGCCAGAGCACAGATCTCATTCTACCTCTAGCTATTTATGCAAATGCGTGGATAAAGCTTCCCGGGGTATCAGAATCGGTTCTGAACATTATAAAAAGAGGCTATTCGCTGCACTTCGCTCGACGTCCCTGCCGCTATACGGCATGGTTTGAAACTACGGTAAAAACCAAAGTAGCTCATCTACTTCGAGCCGAAATAGCAAAACTAGTGAGCAAAGGGGCCATAGAGCCTTTAACTCAAGCTCAGAGCGAAGGGGGTCTATAGAGCAGATATTTTCTGGTACTGAAAAAAGAAGGGGGTCTCAGACCCATTCTAGATCTAAGACAGCTGAATAAAGTGCTTGCGAAATGCCAGTTCAGAATGCTCACAACCAGTAAAATCCTTGTGCAGATTTGCCAAGAGAACTGGTTTGTTTCAATAGATCTGAAGGATGCGTATTTCTAAATACAAATAGCATCATGTCACAGGCGATTCTTGATATTCGCCTTCGAGGGCCAGGCATACCAAGTCAAGTATATTTATATAGCACTTTTCACAATATAGATCACATCAAAGCAGCTTCACAGTATCAATCAAAACATGTCAGTTGTGGCCTATATTAATCGCCAAGGTGGCGTCAGGCCCCAAAACCTTTAAAGGCTGACGGAAGGCCTCCTGGTCTGGGCTCAGCACAATCTTAGCGGAACATGTGCATGATCACCTGAATTTAGGACCAGACATACCATCCAGAAAAAATGTTCCAGCAGGAGTATGGCTTCTGCCCCCGCAGACGGCCCTACTGTTGCCCTACTGTAGACCGGTTTGCGTCCCAAGAAAACGCCCACTGTCCAAAGATTTTCCCCAAGAGCAGGGATGCGCTGGCCCACGTTTGGCCCCACTGCTCACTCTATGCCTTTCCCCCCGTCTCGCTCCTGCCTCAGGTATTGGAACGAATCAGGGAAAACGGATGCTCAGTCCTACTTGTGGCTCCGCTCTGGAAAAACCAGACTTGGTTCCTAGTTCTAATGCAGCTGACAAGCACTGCCCCATGACCAATACCGATGAGGAAAGACCTCCCCTCTCAAGCCAAGGGCTCGATTTAGCATCCTCGCCTGGAGCTTTGGTCCCTAGATGCGTGGGCCATCAACGGATACCTGCTAACCTCCGTGAAGGACTGTTAAACAAGATGACGCAGGCTAGAGCCCCGTCTACTAGACGACTCTATTCCTCAAAATGGTCAATGTTTTCTGGTTGGTGCGAAGTTTGAGGCTTTTCACCCCTAGACTTCAACCCCTAGTTCTCTCCTTTCTTCTATCCAGCTACTGGATAAGGGCAGTACCCCATCAATGCTCAAAGTTTATGTGGCATCCATAGCAGTGTTTACTAAACCAGCGACTGGCCAGCCACTGGGGAAGAACGAACTGGTCATCCACTTCCTTAAGGGAGCTAAGATGCTGAATCCTCCCAGACCCCCTTCAGTCCCCATGTGGGACCCTGTTCGAGCCAATCCATTTATCAGACATGAAACATTTGTCATTCAAGAGGGTGTTTCTTATAGCTCTTGCTTCAATGAAGCGCATAGGGGATTTACAAGCACTCTCAGTAAGCGTGACATTTATAGAATTTGGGCCAAATGACTCGAAAGTAATACTCAAATCAAGACACGGGTGCGTGCCTAAATCCCTCAACACACCGTTTAGGGCTCAGGTTATTTCCCTGTCTGCCCTGCCAGTTTACAACGAGGGAAAGGACGCAAGCTTCCTTTGCCCAGTCAGGGCATTAAGAGCTTATGTGTCTGTTTTCAGACAGACTGAGCAGCCCTTAGTTTCGTTCAGTGGATGTTCTAAGGGACTAGTCGCATCGAAACATAGCCTATCCAGATACATAGTTGATGCTATAGTGCTGGCCTACACTTCTAAAGGCTTGCAGTGTCCTTTGGGCGGCAGTGGCTCAGTGGTGCATGTAGGTTGTCTACAAACCGAAAGGTTGGTGGTTCAATCCCCGGATCCACCTGACCAAGTGTTGAGGTTTCCATGAGCAAGACACCTAACCCTAGTTGCTCCCGACGAGCTGGATGGCGCCTTGTTTGGCTGACACCGCCGTCGGTGTATGAATGGGTGATGAATGTGAGGCAAATTGTAAAGCGCTTTGGTGGCTATTGGGTCTATGAAAGCACTATATAAATGCAGTCCATTTACCATTTGGGTGTCAGAGCGCACTCCACAAGAGGTGTGGCATCATCGTGGGCTTGGTCTAGGATATCTGTATGGCGGCAGGCTGGGCCTCCCCATCTACATTTATAAGGCTTGATAACCTAGAGGTTCCCGCCTTACTGGCTAAACTACTTTCGGTCTAAAGATCAGCACTGCCCTGTTGCTTCACCTCAGAATATTGAAAGTACTTGAGCACCGCTCTCTGATTGATAAAATAACTCCATGGGCAATGAGTAAGACCCATACTGTTACCCAGTTCAGGCCAAACATGTTCACTCTGACTCTGTGGAACACTGTTGAGGTAATTAGATCACTTAGGATGCTACTTATTGGGAATGATGCTTATAGCCTCTCTTCTCAGACTCTCTGTGAGTCCCTGGTGTTTATGCACTATATGAGCCCCGGGCACCTGCCCTTGGGACTTTGGTTTTGGATTCCATTACGCACAGCGTTTTACATTGTGTTCCCGTAGAGTTCCCGTATTTTTTCCAGTGTTTCATGAGCAGAACAATCCGAAAACACATTAAATAACAGTACAGCCCATTGAAGAGATGCAAGTCTATCCCTCACAGCCTCGCTTTCATTCTCATTAAAAATCAAAGATGGCGCTGCCGTGAATAAGGCGTATGCAGTACAAGAGGACCTCTCGTAAGAAAACCTCTCTAGAAGAGGGTTCTCTCTAGAAGAGGGAATGAGTACTGCATATCTTTGCCATGCCTGCAACACGCTCTGGTTCGCTTCGGCAATTATATCAGCCCTTCGAGCTGAATTTATAGGCCCAGGCCACGCCTGTCTCTGTCCACGGGATGTGACGTAGTGGGCGCGAAGCGCCCCCATTGGATCTGACGTCACCTCTCAATAGGCTGCTGCAGTTGCCACAGGACAGCCAATAGGCACGCAAGCCGTTTTGCCCATGTCTGCATGCTTCCACGACACATTTTACATTTATTCAAAATTAAGAATAATTTCTGGCTTCAATATCTCATGGAGAAGAGGTTTTCTCCTAGTGTAAGATATTACACAAGTATATCACAAGTACACAAGATATTACGTAAGATATTATTCCCTCTTGAGAGAACCAAGGTTACGTTAATAACCGAGTACGTTATTGTGAGTGAAAACAAAGTTTCTCGGGGGAATGCAAGGTAATGCAAAGGTTTTGTGTAAGAACGCAAAGTTTATCAGCGGAACACAAAACATGACATATACCTTTTCTTCCAATGTCATGTTTTTCATCATGTCCCTTTAGGGGCTCTGTAAAAATTAAAAGTTCGAATGAATCCTAGAGCAAAGGCTCTGAATCATTTATCGGAGTGGTTTATGGCATGAAGGCCGGTATGTCTACAGTAAATACTATGTAGAGAGCATCTGCATAAATCAGAACTTCTGGCTGAACCTCTGCCAGTACTCACGGGGCCCGCCGGTCCTTTGGGTCCTTCTTCACCCTAAGGGAATAATAATAAAAGACACACAAACAAAGTTAAATCTGAACTTCAGTCAGTCAAAAGTCTGTCTACACGAGACTACAAAGATCCATCAAACAAGTGAAAAGATCACCCTCCTTCCAGCACAAACGCACAGAAGTAACAAATAAAACATGCATTACAAACCTTTTGCCCTTTTATTCCACCGGCTCCCTCCAGGCCAGGCAAACCCTGTGGAGTGAAATGTTAGAAGAGATGGATTTATCATGAGGTAAATAAACACACAGAATCTGATGGAATTTTTAATCAGGCCTCTGAGATGTTTCATACAGCGTTCCCTCCATCACCCTTCTGTCCATCCATTCCTGTGAGGCCCGGGTCACCCTTCACCCCCTGAAAGACAACAACAATCACACATACGCATACAACATATGAGCACACAGATAATAGTGTAAATTAAGATGAATCTAAATATTTTAAAGACGAGCATAAATAAAGTGAAAATTAAATTTCAACAGCACTTCACTGACTATTATTTATTTTCCTGACCTTTTTTCAGGCCAAGAAAAATCACAATTTGTAGCAAAGACTAAACTGCAATGAATGTGACATTCAAAAACACATCAAGTTTTGACAAGTCAAAGATGGGAAAACACAAAAGACAACACCATTTCAAACAAAGCAGAACAAAAGCAATCTGAAGCTGTAATATTCATGATTCATTCATGCTGTGATGCATGCAGGGAGTCTAGCATCCAGCACCGCAGATATCACAATTTTTTTTTCTGGTGGTGGTGGTTGTTGATGCAGTGTTATATGGCACAGTCAAACTGATCTCTGAACTCTTATTTGATCTAACTTCCATTACACAAATGTTCTCATGTTTGCATAAATCAGACATGTTGGTTTACCACTTAATTACAGCCACTAAACCTGAAATCAATGTTCCGTAACTCACCACAGCACATCAAGACACACAGATAGGACGGGAATTTATCGGCCAATAGATGGCACTTTCTCACTGAAGATGAATTCCTGTCTTATTCTGCATCCATTTTGAGATGCTGTCCTCTCTTTAGACAAAGCAAGCTGGGCATCTTTTACACTAGCAGACGTGACAGCAGTTACTGTACGGAGTCTGAAAACCATTTTTGGGTTGGATACTCCAATTACACAGGGTTCAAAGTTAAATGATATTAAGATGAAGGGTTTAGAATTGCATGCCATGTTTTCTTTCAAATGAAAACACCAATAACCACATCGAGAGAATGTCTTAGTTGGTGTTGGAGAGAAGGGACCATCACAACACAATCATGTGGTGTGCTTACTGGCACACACTACATACTGTACACTGTTCAGCATGCGGTAGAGTCTGACACATTACAATTCCTGAGAGAAGCTCTATGGAAAGGTAATACAATTTGTCTACTCAACCTGGAAAATGTATTTTCTCCAAATTGTACAAGTTTTTATTTTCAATAAAATTGCTTACAGTTACAGGAACAACCAAGCAGACACAAAAGATACCAGTGTGTTTGATATAATGCCAAAGCTCACAATCTCTGTTCTTCTCTGTAATTGCCACCTCCCGAGTGATCAGATTGCTGTCTGTTTTGATTGCGTCTTTGAGGGCTCTGCAACGCACTATGCAATCAAATCAGTAAAAAAGCACCAAAAGCTTTAAGTTATATTCGAAAAGTTGTCATATGTTTTCACTGTCGCTTTAAATACGTTAGAAATTCATGTTTTTTTTTATAATCGGCTTTCTGAATGTTTCAATCTCATGATGCAATTTTGAGAGAAATATGGAAATAAAAGCCTTCCCTAGTATGTCCCCAGTGTTGCATAGCATTTAAGAACCTTTCTTTATTGAATATCATATCATATATCATTGGAATATATTATTTTTGTCATGATTCCTGCCTTGAGTTCCCCTTGTCTTGTGTGGACTTTTATTGTTTCCTGTTTTGTGCCGTGTGGTTGTAGTCCTTTGTAGTTTTTTCTGTTGATTAGTTCATGATTGTTCTCAGGTGTATCTTGTTTCCTCATTACTTAGTTTAGCTTGTTTGTCCCTGTGTATTTATAGCCTTGTGTTTCACTTGTTACTTTGTCAGTTATTGCATGTGTAATGGTTGCCTCTGTGATCCCCTGGCTTTGTTCCTTTTTTCCCCGAGTTCTATGTTATCTGTTTTATTTGAAGAGTTCAGATGCAAAAGCCTCTAAATGCCATTTGAAATTTTCTTCTTTAATGATGATTTTTATCAAACTTGTATATTTAAGTTCAGTAATTTCACTTAAATAACAATTAATAGGTAATTATCATTGCCATTTAGGTGAAATTACTGAACTTAAATATACAAGTTTGATAAAAATCATCATTAAAGAAGAAAATTTCAAATGGCATTTAGAGGCTTTTGCATCTGAACTCTTCATTTGTTACTTTATTAAATCACCCTGCGTTTAGATCCTCGTTTTGGCCTGCTTTCCTCAGCTTCATTACAATCTTAAAACACGATTTATTCAAAACTATAATTAAAAGCTGTCCTTATAAGTTTCCTTGAACAAAAATAAACGTTATTGATTAAATACATTTAAAAAAAATAAAATAAAATTATGAAATTCAAAATAACCAATTATATAAAAAAACATTTTAAATAAATACTTTTTAAATTAATTAAAAACACTATATTATATGTCAATTAAATTTGAAATACATATAAAATAATGTAAATAACCAGATTTAAAGGACACAATGCTGATTGTTATCAGATATAAAAGCAATAAAATGTCCGCAAGTTTAAATGATCCCGCAGTAGCTTTAAACTATATGAAATTTCATTTTCAAATTGTATTAGAATTGGTGTGAAACTTCATGGAATAAAAACTTAATGGAATAAAAAAGGTCTAAACGATCAATATATGTATAAAAAAAAACTAAATATATAAAAATGAACAGCTTGGGGAGTATTCAAAGAATATTCAAGAAACAGTTGTTTATGTCTTAAGTGCAGGTAAACAGCTGAGAGAAAATATGATGTTTATCAGTATATTATATCCATGCATTCAGTCTTAAAGTGACAGCAGTTTAATAAATAGTTGAAAAAAACTTGTTTTGGTTTCATGTTTTCTTGTCTTTCATTTAGCAATTCTATATCTATATATATATTCCATATATAATAGTCTGATATCCGGTCATGGCATGTGTTCCCTCTTCCGATCTTGTCATGTGTTTTCCCTGTTCATGCGTCCTGTTCTGATTGGTTGTTCTGATGATTGTTTTTCTCTGTTCTGTTTTGTGATTGGTTAATTTTAGGGTTGTCAGTTAAACACGTTACAAACGGTGTTAACGTAAACCCATTTTAACAGCGTCAATTTTTTAACGCGTGATTAAGTCTTTTTGGCCTACCAAACTTTGTAGTTTTATTTCATATGAATTTGCAACGGGATGCGGCATGTGCGGCGCTGTGCTACGCACGAGGAAGACATTTTGTTTTGTTTGTCGTCGACCAAAGCGCAAGCGGATCTAGCTAGACCGGAAACAAAACAACAGGCAGGCCACACACACTCATTTGGGCTTGCGAGCCAGCCAAAAATTGGTTAATGTTACGTTTTGAGTGTATGACGAGTGCGAGACGCCGAAATGGATGCCAATGAGATTCTGAATGGAAACTTTACTTTACTAAAAAGTTGCGAAATGGTTGAATTGACAAGACCAAAGTGATCTGTGTTTTGTCGTTGTGAACTGAGCTATCATCATCGCAGCAGCAGTTCCAGTCTGAAATACCACTTGATTGCCAAGCACACACAGACGCACACACACACACACACACACAGCTGATGCGACTTCTCTGCCCCCTCGTCAATATCAGGACCTTGTCAGTATTTCTTTCACCCTTTTATTGATGGAGAGTGTTACATTGTGTGAGAGATTATTTGCTCCAAGTGAGAATGTTTCAGTGTGAAATTGACAGCCCGTTCTCATCCTTTAACGTCATATAGAACGCTATATGCAAAAACGGCGCTATACTACGCACCCTTTATCGTTAATATAACACGCGAACCCAAGACGTTATAAATCCTTTAGCGTGAATATGACACGCACACCCTACCCCACACCTAAACTTAGCCCTCACAGCGCGTGTTATATTAACGATAACGGGTGCCATGTGCGTAGTATAGCGCCGTTTTGTCATATAGCGTTCTATATGACGCTAAAGGATGAGAATGCGTTGGAAATTGAACACATATGCCAATGTTGATAAGAGCATTAAAATGAGAAAAAAAGAATGTGTGAAAAAGAAATCAAGAGACATTTAAAATAGATAAAAAATGTGCGATTAATCGCGAGTTAACTACGACATTAATGCAATTAATCGTGATTAAATAATTTAATCGTTTGACAGCACTAGTTAATTGTCTTGATTGTTGTTAAGTGATTCTTCTGCATATAAATAACCCTCATATTGGGTTCTTACTGTAACTTGCCTCAATGGACTTTAGGTTAGTAGGTTGCTAAGGCCGAAAGTACGTTAACCACAAGCAACTCCGAAATGAAAAGCAGAAATTACTCAGCTAACTCTTGAACTCTCTTCACACTGTCAGGACAAACGTATGCAGACTGCTACACTGTTCTCAGAGTCCAGTCACAGTCCAATGCCCGTGTGAACGGGTGGAGATGACACACACACACACACCGCTCTTAACAGCAAATTGGAGCACTGCATAGTGCATACACACTCTCTTTCTGTCTGAGCTCAAAGGTGCAGTGAAGCAAAAAGCCTTTCCCTCTGGTCCTCTTTGTCAAGCACCAGCATGCTCGCCAAACCCCTGTGTAATCCTGAATCCCTGTGAGAAGATTTATAGGAAATGTTCTTGCTGAGGGAATAGTGTATTTTACGGCCAGCTGATGATAGACGGTCACTCGTGATCAGTAATAAAAGCCACGCAGAATGGACAGAGTCTGAATAGCTCTACTGTGAGCTCGACGACACAATTGCTTTTCTCACTTTGGGGTCTCCTGCTGAGAAAAGCAACTTGAACCAAGATGGTTCACTGGTCATGTAGCTTGGCAAAACAGCAGTTTTATAGTCAAGTTACACTCCCTGCTTCACCACTCCAAACCACTCATCAGGCTAATCTAACCAGCTGACGAGAGCCTAAACCCCTGTTTAAATCAGTAAATGCAAGGCCATTTACACTTCCATTCGTAAACGCAGGTGCTGTGTGCACATTTGACCTTGTCGACTTCTAAACTCATCTCACAAATAAAAATAAACAAACTACAACAAAAACTCCCTTGAAAAACACCTTTTAACTTTCCAACATTGTACATGCATCAGAGAGTAATAATAATGTTTTTGACATTCATTTGGAACCATAAATTTTTTTTCTTT